CTACTTACTCAATAGAATTTAGAGCTGTCATTGGAATTATTAGTCTTTAAATAAACCCGTTGTCTTTTTAAAAATATATCCATATCTCTACTTTTAAAAGTCAGAGTCTTTACTTAAGGAAATGATAAAAGCATATACTTTTTCCTAAACCTTTCTATATACAGACTTTACGTAGTTAATAGTAAATTAACACTGAAATATACTTTACAGTCATGGTCTCTTTTTAGGAAGTAGTGAATTGATTCACATCAAGTTCAGGCACAAATTCAGTCTGTGTTCAATTTTGCATGACTATCTACATTGTAAAATATATGAGCTTTCATTTAGCTAAATGAGTACAAGGGACAGAAAAAATATGGAAAGAAATAATGGCCCCAAATCAGTCTGCAGGTTGAGGACGCTGGATGACCCAGGATTAAGATACCCAGACTGCACACAGTTACACTGTTGAAATCTGGGCCTAAGGGGACCGTCTGGAAAGCAGCAGGAGGAAAACCACTCCTTATGCAGGGGGAGCTTTACACCGAGTGTGTGCCCCCTCAGAGTTCACGTGGACAAGTGTGACAGTATTTGGAGGCGGAACGCCCGGGAGGTGCTGAGGTCTTCCCAGGGTGCTGGCTCTGGGAGGGTCTGCATTCTGCCTCGCTCACCCTTCACCGTGCTCAGAGCCGTGTGCTCTGAGCTCGTGAGCCAGTTGGGGGCAGCGTCTGTTCTGTCTCCCAAGGCTCACCATTGTGGTTTTTAACTGTCGCTTTTAAATTTCTGAAACTTTAGTTTTCTTTTTTATTTTATGTTCAACTATGTAACACATTTCCCCGTAATCTAGCCAGCAGTTCTTTGTGTTTGTGGCAGGGGAGTGGTGTGTTCTGCGGGGGAAGGCCTGGGTAGCAGTGATGAAAGCCTGGCCAGCCATGCCTAGTTTGCCCTGTTGCTGGAATGGCTGTTTTCTGTGTCACTCTTTAAATCAGACACTCTCAACCTTGGCTACATACTGGGACTACCTGGGATATTTTAGTAAGTACCGATTCCTGGATCTACTGCCAAAGACTCATTTGATTGGTCTGGGGTGAGGTCTCGGCGTTGGAGCTTTCCAGAGCTCCCCAAGTTGTTCTTACCTGCAGCCAAGGCCAAGAACTACGTACGACTACTCTTAGCTGAAATACACTGAGACTTTGACAGGCTTGGGAGGCAGTTGTTTTACTGGGAAACATAGATGAACTTTTTTGGTAGTTTTTGCTACTTCTCATATCTTTAAAGTCCAACTTTTCCAGGTAGATTTGTGTCAGCCTGGTGGATCAGGTCACAGTTTTCCTCCACCTCCGCTGTTTCCCCTCGACCCTGTAGACTTGAGAGGGTTTTGATTAGGGTGAACAGGTCTCTGAATTAGATTTATACCTTTCTCTCTACTTACCCAAATACTTTCCCTATTGAAGATGTTAGCAATAACAGAAGTGGTAGTTAGTCAATGTAAGATGTGTAAGTGCAGTGTGTTTGCCAGCTTTTGTTTCGACTTGTTTCTTCTCTTGACCTTTTCCAAGTGTTCCGTAAACCGTGCTGATTGATGAGTCATAAACATGTTATGGGGAGAAACTTGTGTTCTGTACTAATGAGAAAGTCAGGCATGTCTGTGGTGTTCCTGCTAAGTGTAAAAGGGACTTGGGTGCAGTAGTGACATGTGAGAAATGGCATTAAACTGTAAAAAACAGAGCTCACCGCTTCTGCTGCTCACGAATGGATAGAGGGTGTAACCGTTGGGGCTGCTGAGTTGTTTAATACTCTTTGTGGCAGAGTAAACGCAGTTCTTTAATCAAGGACCGTACTGATTGCCAGACATTTGGTTACAAATCTTTCTCGTGAGAGGCCAGTCATCTGTCGTGTGTGAGGATGGACTGGGCTGTGTTTGTCCAGGGAGCCTTTACGCTGTTGCGTGCTGCTCCTCTGTGTTTACTCCTGGAAGCTGTTCCACAGCCTGCACTTGTGGTTTCAAAAGGGAAACCTGGATGGATTTCCTGACAGATCGCTCAGGGAGGGTGAGGTTCCACTGAACATGGATGGCTGTCTCTTCACTCGCGAAAGATAAAAACATTATTTACATAAGTAATACATATACATGGCTTAAAAAGTTCAAATAGCACAAAATGGTATATGATTAAAAATGTCAATATCAACTGTGGCTCCGGGCGCTATATTGGTACTGTGTACTCTTGATACAATGTGATAACAATAGCACTTTCCTTCTAAGGATACACAACCCCAGTCTAATACGAGTTCCATTGGATGGTCATCCTACAGAATCCTAGACTGTTATTCCTCAAAACCGTGAAGGTCATCAGAAACAAGGAAAGGTGAAGTGACTGTTACAGACAGGAGCCTAAGGAGAAATGACAGCTAAATTTAGTATAGTGTATTAGATGGGGTCCTGGGACAGAAAAAGGGCATCAGGTAAAAACTTAGAAAAAGCTGAGTAAGTGGTGGGCTTTAGTTAATAGTAATGTGTCAGAACTGACTGGTTCATTGTGGCGAAAGTGCCATCCTAACGTAAGATGGCAACAATAGAGAAGCTGAGTAGAGGGTGTATGTGAACTCTCCTGCACTGTCTTCTCACTTTTTGTGCAAATCTAAAGCTATTCTAAAAATAAAATAGTCTTCTTTCTTTGAATTTCTAGTACCCTGGTCTGAAGGGAACTCACTTCTTGCCATTTTCTTGTGACTCCTTTAACAATATAAATATAATGTATATATTATCCCTTTCCCTCCTGCTGGGAAAAAAAAAAGAAAGCCCAGCCAAATGGCAACATACTATATGCAGTATTCTTCACTTAAAATATATTCGGAGATTGCTTTATGTCAACACATATATTCATTAGTATGCACGGTATTTCATTGTATAGATACAGCACAGTGTAACGGGTCCCCTACTGATGAGTAGTCAGGGTTCTCCTGTGTGACTGCGCTGTGTTGATGTATAACCCTGAGATTTAGAACAGAGTGAGGAGGTGGGAGTTGGGATGATGCAGAGGGAACAGTCAAGTTTTATTTTATTACCTAGTTAGATTGCTTGATTTAATACTCTACTTCTCTCCCAAAACAATCAAATTTTATTTCAGTGTTTTGTTGGATTTATTTATTTATTTAGTATCACACCTCTGTAAGAGGATTTGAGACAGGTTTGGTGGTGTGTCATGTTTGGTTTTTTAAATCTACTTGATAAATATCTGGGAGATGCTCCTGTGTTCTAGTCATAGTACTGAAAAGTGCAGGTGATACAGAAATGTATTCTGATACAGGCCCAAATATGGCTCATGATGGGATGAGAGAAAGATCCAGAAATACGTTCCCATTTCTGTGATCTGGGTTAACATCATATCATAGCCTGCTGTAAAAAAGACAGGAGGAAGTGACTAAACTATACATTGTTTTTTCATTGAGTTTTAGGTGACATTCCAGATGAGCTCAGGAAAAAAAGGGAGCTGAAGGTTCATGGCTGACTCAGTGAATAGTCTTTGTCACCAAGGGAAGGGGGTGTCCTCCATTTCTTTTGTTTATAGCACACAGAGTCAAAGATTTCAGCTTTGTAGCGCAACGTGAGTTAACCTTCACCGGAAGTCAGCCAAATGTCCTGTAAATTGTTGGGATTTATAAGTAGTACAAGATGGTAACATAGCTTTCTTCTGCTTTAGCGTCTGTCCAGGAAGAGTGTGTGTTCTGGTATCGTGATGCTGCTCCGCGCAGTTGTTAAGCTGTTGTTGATCGTTCACTGAGGGATGGTTCCATCTGAAGATGCAGGAGAACAAGATGGACAAGAACATGAGAAAGCCTTGTGCTTTTTAAAAAAATATTTATTTACTTCTAGAGAGAGGAAAATGGGGGGAGAAAAAGAGGGAGAGACACATTGATGTCTGAAAGATAAACAGCACCTGGTTGCCTCTCATACTCGTCCAACTGGGGACCTGGTCCCACTTCTCCACAAAAGAAACCGTTCATGCTCTCTGTTTGGTGTATATGGAAAGGTGTGTGTTTGTGTAACACTAATGGTGTCATGCAAAATGCACTGTTCCATTTGATTTATTCAATGAGCAGTGTGTATTAGAGGGCATTTCAAGTCGTAACACATTGATTGACCTTGTCGCATTTCATGGACGTAACAGAATTCATTTTACCTTTCTACTGTTATTGGCTTTCTAGGCTGTTACCATTTGGGGTTGTTATTACAACTAATTCTGCAGTGAACCCCCTTGTACATTCCCTGTGCATTGTGGGAGGTTTCTCTAGGTTATCAGGAGTGGATTCGATACTCATAGGATTTGAGGATTTTAAATTTTACCAGATACTATTTGCGTGTTGTTGCATGAGAAAGACAAGTTGTAGATTGCATTAAGTGTGATATCATTTATTTTGGGAGAAACACCCATGTATGTTACAGGAATGTGCCATTAGTCAGACCGCTGCTAACGGTTGAAAATTTGGAGCGAATACTAGACTTGAGAATAGGAGCGAAAGGGGATTTGGCCTTTTCAGTGATGTTTAGGTTTTTATAACAAGAATGTATTCATGTATTACTGGGGTTGCTATAGTTACCAGTAAACTAGAGAGATGTTTGAATAATTTATATCTGTATTTATGCATAGAATAATCCCTGTTTTCAACCACATACTGACCATATATTAGGGTGTAGGAAAAAATAATCTATTTTACAAAATAAAATTAGGTGAGGGTTATATTTTTTGGCTACTATTATTGTCCCAATATAATAATTAATCACCTGGGGTTTTCCAGATTTTATACTAAAATGCTGTATGTATTCTAGCTTTCTGCTTACAATGTTTGGAGCCTAGTACAAGTGACTAAAATTTTTAAAATGTTACTGTTGGCCTTAATAACCTTTAATGGAAATATAGCACTTAAGTGTCATTTGTATGAACATGGTAAACAATTGATTAAATTATGTGACTCCCAAGAATCCATGTTATTTTAATATATAACTTTTGTTTTTCTTAAAGAGATGTGAAAGCAGGAAATATTCTTCTTGGAGAAGATGGCTCAGTACAGATTGCAGGTAATGATTAGTATTTCTTTTCATTTTGATTTGATGGTCAGTGGAACCACATTACATGTTTCTTAGCCAATTTCAATTTGCTCTTTTATGCATCCTGTGGTGGCACATCCTGCTGACTCTCAAGACGTTCTTCATTACTCAATCTTAATTTTTGATCTTAGCCATTTTTCTGACCATTACTCGTTACTTTCTGGTTATCCACTCCTTATTCCCCATGAGGGTCTTCTTCTCTGGGTTCTCATAGTGTTCCGTACCTTTTTTTAAAGGAGAAGGAGTCAAGAAGCCCCATTACGTTTAAAAATACATACGCTGTAGAAGGTGATGCAGAGCTGCTTCTGTACTGGGGGAGACAGGGTATTTGCCAGTTAGGAAGAGGCATCTGACAGGTGGAAGTGCACTGTGGGGAGATTCAGAGCTGAAGAGATGAAAGAGTTGGAGGCCAGGGGCTGCCATAGGTGGCTCTGCTCTCCTGGGGAAACGACCCTTGCGTCAGGCTGAGACCCCCGCACGGTGGAGCCGCAGGATTGCAGAACAGCCAGATCGTCAGAGGAGAACCTCCGCTTAGTCCCATGTGCACTGCACAACAGCCGGGTGGTTGGCAGGAGCCGGATAGTTACCCAAAACTTAGTTCTTTGTTCAGCTTCGGAAGATAATTTGCGTAATTTTCACAGTAAGGGACCCTTTTGACCAAGCCACATAATGCTTGGTAAAAACTGGTAAATTTGGCTCTTAAAATTAGCAACTTTTATTCATCAGTAGAGGAACCGACAGCTTACATTAGGAAAAAAAATCTGATTAAAAAATAGATACATAAGACTTCCCAAGTGAAGACATCAAAATATAAATATAATGAAAGGTGTTTGCATCGCTGGGAATTAATGAAGAGTGAGGTAGAGTAACGTTGGGCTACCATGTACTGACTGAGCAAAACATCTGACAGTACCAGGTGTTGGTTTGGATGTGAAGCAAGGAAAAATCTCATACTCTGATTGCGCGAGTGTAAATTAGTACAACCACTTAAGTTAAAAATATACGCACCCTGAAACTCGGGCCTCTAGATGGATGGCCCAGAGAAACGCACGTGTGCCGTTCATTGTGCTCGTGAGCCTTGAGAGTTGAAACGGTCCCAAGCCCTCCATTAGCAGAATGGATAAGTAAATTATGGTTAATTATACATTAGAATACCATCTAGTGATGAAATTGAGTAGAATTACAACTATATACAAAAGCACTAATAAATTATAAAGACACAGGATTAATTAAGGTAGCCAAAATAGGATACAAGGTTGGGCAAAAGTAGGTTTACAGTTGTGAGGATGCGAACAGTTTATTCTTGTATTATTATTTATTTGCTAATTATTGTATTTATTATTATAATTATTAACTTACTTTTGCTCACCCCTGTATATAGCATGTGATTCCATTTATATAAGTTCAACATCAGGGACAATGTGCTGTATTGCTTAGAGAAGCAAAATGAAGTGGAAAAAACTAAAGACAAGAGGATTCTGGGAAAATGGTGAGTAGGAATCACCAAGAATCTGTCTTCCACTTAGCAGTTGAACTGACCGAATCTGCCTAATGTACAGTGGAGTCCTCAAATAGCATTTTGTTCATCATTTTGTTTTAGAACATTGATGAGATGCTGTAGGCACTCAAATCGTGTTTACATTAATTAGCTTATGGTAAAATTGGTTTCATTATACATGTTTCACTTAAAGTCACAAATGTTGAATGAGGACTTACTGTAACTGTTTTGAAATTCTATAGACCATTGAAGACTTGAAAATTCTAGGGAAGGTCTTGGAAGCTAAATCATGATTGTCAGTAATTGGTCAATTTTAGAGCACCCATTCCTTACCCAACAGCCACATTGTGGGCAGCTGTGCATATGTTTTTGGAGCAGTTTGCGTGAACCATGGTGGGCAAAAAGGATTTTGTTGTCTGAATATCAGGCATCTGTGCTCTGATCACCGATTGCTGTTTCTGATCTGAAAGGTGCAGGCAAAGAGCCAAGCAGCCATTATGGTTGCACCCCGTGCCCCACAAGTGACTTCCAGGGGACCTCACAGGCTAGCACCTTTTTTCCTTCCATTCATTTTTCTGTTCTTTCCCCTTTGGAAGCCAGACATTAAAGACTAGGGCATTAAGAAACAACTACACTTTCAGGAAAAATTGAAAGATAACAGTAAATGCCAAGGTAAAAGTGCAGAAACGATCTCAGAACTTAGGTTTACACCTCAGGGTGATGCTTGACACACAGTCTACAACAACCCCCATGCCCCCCCAAAAAACCCCAAAACATTAACAAAACAGCAAACACTGGAAAGGAGATAGAATCTGATCTTCACAGTTGCCGTATTTTTAGATTCAGATCTCCAGTTTTCAACAGAAAAATTATAAGGCTTTCAGTGAAACTTGTCAGGGGAAAGACATAAATTAACAGAAACTGTCAGTGAAAAAGACCTGACGGCAGATCTACTAGACAAAGAGTTTAAAACAGTCGTCTTAAAGAGGCTCAGACAAGTAAAGGATGATGCACAGAAACCAGTGGAGGCAATGTGTGAGCAAAATGGAACTATTACTACATAGAGGAATCCTAAAAGAAACCAAAAGAAATTATGCAGCTAAAAAAGTACAGTAACTTGTACTGCAAAATGAAAAACTCACTGGAAAATTCACTTGCATATTTGAATTGGCAGAAGAAAGACTTGGTGAGCTTGAAGACAGGGAAATGGAAATTAGCAGTCTGATGAATAGGAGGGAAGAGGATTGAAGAAAAGTGAACAGAGCCCAAGGGACTAGTTGGACACCAGTAAGTGGACCAACATACGCATTGTGGGAAGCCCAGCAGAAGAGAGACAGGTGTGCAGAGAGTTGTTTGATGAAGTAATGGTTGACAACTCCCCAAATTTGATGAAAGACATGAATATAAGCTCTAAGAAGCTCAACAATCTCCAAGTTAAAAAACAAACAAACAAACAGTAACAGACACACAGAGATGCATTATAATGAAACTTATAAAAACCGGGAACAAGAATCTTGAGAGCAGCAAGAAAGAAATGAATTGTCACAAGGGCTGCCAAGTAAGGTGGTCAGCATATTTCTCATCTAAAACTTTGCAGGCCAGAAGGCAGTGGGCCAATACATTCAAGTGCTAAAATTTTCAGCCAAGAATCCTGTATCTGGTAAAACTCTGTGAAAAGTGAGGAATAAACGAAGACATTCTCAGATAAGTCAAAGCTGAGGGAATATGGGAATGTTTCCACTAGGCCTGCTCTGCAATAAATGCTCAAAGGAATGAAATTCCTGCAAAATGAAACAAAAAGACACTAGACAGTAACTCCAGCAGTATGAAGAAATACAGATCTCAATAAAGGTAAATACATGGGCAGATATAAAAGCTATGATTGTAAGTATTATTGTAGCAGTGATTTGTAGCTCTACTTTTTGTTTTCTATGCGATTTAACAGACTAATACACTACTAAAAACAATTGGTCTATAATATTAGTTTGTAATTCATCTTGTTTTCTACTTAATTTAAGAGACTAATACATTTAAAAGAATTATTTATGGTTTTGAACACAGTGTATTAAGATGTAATTTTGTGATGGCAGCAGCCACAAAGGGTGGGAACAGGGCTGTAAAAGGAAGAGTTTTTCTGTGTATTAGAGGTAAACTGGTATAAATTCAAATTATAGTGTTTTAGAATTCCTGTGGTTGCCACAAAGGAAATAGCTATAAAATATAGACCAAAAAGAGAGAGAGAAAAATTAAGCTTTCACAACAACCAGAAAAAGTACAACTAAGCACAAAAGAGGTGGTGCAGGAATTACAGGACAAAACTTTAAGACATGAAGAAAATAACAGGACAAAAGTCCCTTCTTATCACTGATTCCTTTAAATGTAAATGGATTAACTCTCCAACAAAAGACAGATTGGCAGTGGATAAAAAACACATAATCCAACTATGTGCTGTCTATACAGGTTTTTCCACTATCCTAAAGTATAGTATTTCTATGAAGTTTTTCATAAGCCAAGACAACTTGAGGCAAAGAATATCTTTTGTTTTCAGAGAGTTCATTTGAAGTCACTTGCTTTCACAAAAAACCTACATTGGTACAGTAATGCCTTTTTTTTTTTTAAGTGAAAATCCTCTCTGAGTTTCTTTTGGTTAGTGAAAACAGTACTCACGTAGATCTTTCATAAAAGTGAGAACTAGAAAGCAGGTGGCACTTGTATTGTGAAAATGTCAATGCTACCCCAAACTGTTGACAGATTCAGTGCAGTCACTCTCAGAATCCCAGTGATTTCTTTTTTGGGTGCAGAAATAGAAAAACCCATTGTAAAATTCATATGGAATCTCAAGTAACCGCAGATAGTCAAAGCAATCTTGAAAAAGAATGAACAAAGCTGGAAGATTGACATTTCCTGTTTTCAAAACTTACTGCTAAGCAACAGTATGTTACGGGCATAAAGATAGACCAAGGAAATAGAAAAGAGAGCCCAGAAATAAACCCTCACAATCGAGGTGTGGCCATAGTCGGTTTACAAGTTGTTCATATGGAAAATAATGCAATAATTAATAAATAATCACACAAGAGTAAATTCCACTTCTTGTGTTCACACATCTAAATCTAATTCTGCTCCATCCTGTATATGGTGAAATGGTTTGGACAAGTGTGCCAGGACTACTCCATAGGGGAAAGGACAAAAGGTGCGGAGAAGACTGCAGAGTCCCGTGAAAAAGAATGAAGTTGGATCTTGTCTTAACACCATATACAAAAATTAAAATGGATCAAAGTTTTAAATGTGAGACGTAAAGCAATGAAATTCTTCAAAGAAAACCTAGGGTGGAGTTTCATGTAATTAGATTTGTCAGTGATTTCTTAGATGCTATGCCAAAGGCACAGCTTAACAGAAGAAAAAGTAGACAAACTGGCCTTTATGAAAATTAAAAATTTTATGCCTAAGAGTCTACCAACAGTAAAAAGGCAACCCATGAAATGGGAGAAAATATTTGCAGGTGATATATTTGATAACAGACTAATAATATCCAGAATACAGAGAACTCCTATAATTTAACAACAGAAGAACAAGGTCTTAAAAAATGTGCTTGAATAGACATTTCTCTAAAGATATTCAGAAGCCCAGTAAGCACATGAAAAGCTGCTCAGCATCACTAATCATCAGGGAAATGCAAATTAAAAGTACAAGGACATACCACCTCACACCCAGCAGGATGGCTACTGTAAAACAAATGAACAGAAAATAACACAGACGTGGAGAAATTGGAACCCTTGCTCACTGTCAGTGGTAAAATGGTATAGCTGCTGTGGAAAACTGTGTGGTGGTCCCTCAAACAACTGAAAATACTATGAGACCCAGCAGTTCCACTTCTGGGTATATAACCCCCAAAGAACTGAAAGCAGGGACCCAAACAGGTATTTGTAACACCCATTTTTATAAAAGCATTATTTACTGTGGCTAAGTCATGAGAGCCAACTAGTTGTTCATCAATGGCTAAATCAGTACACAAACTGTGGAATATACCTACAGCGGAATATTATTCGATTTATAAAGGAAGGAGATTCTGACATGCATGAATGTCAACATGGATGAACCTTGAGGACATCATGCTACGTGAGATAAGCCAGTTGTAAACAGACAAGTACTGCATGACTCCATGTACACGAAGTACTTAGAGTGGTCAAATTCATAGAGACCAAGTAGAATGCTGGTTGCCAGGGCTGGGGGAAGGGGGCAGTAGGGAATTCTTGTTTAATGGGTATAGAGTTTCTGTTGGGAAGATGAGGTGAAGAGAATGGAGTTGGAGCAAGGAGGAGAACCCGGGGTTATGATGCTGTGTCGGGGTGAGGAGGAATGGGTGAAGGACCTGACCTGTTAGATTGTGTTTTATTTCAGTCAGGAAGCAGAGGCGCAGCTCACTGAGTCAGCCCGGGTCCCCTCGGGTGCCTACTCTTTGCTTCTTCCACAGCAGCACCTGTGCCCTGGCCACCTCCTCTTTCTCTGCCTGGATAAAACTCACTTTGTTCTCACACACACAAAAGAAAAGGCCAGCAGAAGGAGGAGGTCGGGCTGTTTGTATATAGAACTATAACTACATCGTATTTCCCTGTTCATTTATGTTACTCACTGTACTTCTAATACCTTGCTGTTGTGTTCTGTTTCAGACTTTGGTGTTAGTGCTTTTTTAGCAACTGGTGGTGATATTACCCGAAATAAAGTGAGAAAAACTTTTGTTGGAACCCCTTGCTGGATGGCACCTGAAGTTATGGAACAGGTACTGTGTCTTTTTTAAATGGCTTAGGGTTCTGTTGTGAAATAGAAAAACACTGAGTGGTGTGTGCTTTTGTTTGGTGCACTAGGTTAGCTTTGGGAAACACGGTCTTCTGTTTCTTAGTTAAGACTTTCGTTCTCCCTTAAAAAAAAAAACTTTACAAAGGACATGTGAAGCTCAGGATTTATGTGTATACGTAGCAAAGAGTTTTATTGCTGGGTTCTTGAGGGACTGGTTTTTTCCGTGTCCCTGTCCCCCATTCGCTCCCGAACAACTGCACTCTGATGTCACTCGTCCTGTCATCACGGAAACCGCTAAATCTCAAAACCTCTTCTCATTTCTTGTTCCTTGTCCCATTCTCTTTGTGGCATTCTACACTCTGGGCCATGCCCACCTTTCACTTCCTTAGCTTCCCTAGTGTAGTGTTCTTATTTTTTTCTGTTTGTCGGGCCAGTTCTCTGACTTTTTTGGCTTTCCTTCTACTGCTAGATGACACTGCTCCCCAGGACCTTGTTCTTGAACTCAGCTCTTCTCTGACATACTCTCTGGATATTCTCTTTACTTTCCACTTGTTAATTATCAATTATATCCAATCCAGTCTTGTTTCCTAAGCCTCTAGGTAGATGTTTCCAACTCCCTCTACAATGGGTTCTGCAGAAATGTCTTACTGGTAAATCAAACTAAGTATGTAGAACTGAATTTACTGTTCACTCTGTTACAATGCCTGTGTCCCCCTGTTGCTGAGGGAAGGATTCGCACCCTAAGGCTCTGACAATGGTTGAACACACAACCCCTGACACGGGGCTGATGAGATGGACAGCAGTTTGTTGCACTGCATCCACATAGCTGGGGGAGGGGAGTGCCGTATGCTGCACAGGTTTGATGCAGGAGGATAGTGAACAAACGGTTTCCATGGGAGACAGGCTTCATAGTATCTAGAGAGTAAGGATGTGCCTTGGTTTCTTTGTGAACCTGGGATGGGCTTGATTGAAGAATTCCAAGTGCTGGCAAGGAGTGGAAACCTGCTACTCAAGAATAAGCAGCGCTGTTGGGCTAGGGTACATCGTCTCCAGGAGCAGAGAGGGGAGGGGAGTTTGGGCGGAGGTCATTAGAGACCCTCTTTTTTACCAAATGTCAAGACAGCTAAAATGTGGAGCTTTAATTTCAGGTCTCTCTTGGTCCCAAAACGTATTTCTCCTCCACATTTATTGCTGAGGATAGGCAATGAAGACATAGTTATGGGAGCCATAGTTTCGTAATGTGCCGGTGGCAATATGAGAGGAATTTGGCAATATGTTCACACAAGTAGCTTTAACAACATTCACATCCTTGGTAACGTTTTCATTATAGAAATTAGGATGATAAAACAATACCGTAAGAAATTTTGAAAGCATGACCACCTAACATTGCCTAACATTTCTTTTTAGAGAAAGGGGAAGAAAAGGAGAAAGAGGAGGAGAGAAACATCAGTGTGTGGTTGCTTGTCATGAGCCCGTACTGAGGACCTGGCCCGAAACCCGGGCACGTGCCCTGACTGGGAATTGAACCAGATACCCTTTGGTTCACAGCCTGTGCTCAATCCACCGAGCTACACTAGCCAGGGCACATTGCCTAACATTTCATTCTAATTAATTATTTCTTTTATAGACTTCTTGTAATACCTGCTTGTAATAATGGTATCAAAACTTGTGAAAAATTTCATGGTTTTTTTTTTCATGTTTTATCACAGGTTGTTTTTCATATTTTCAGGTGGAATTCATTAACCTTGCTTCTGGTTACCTGTATACTATTTCTTGAAATGAATATGCGTACTTAACAATTTCCCCATTGTTGGTAAATGCTCATTCAGGTAGCCCTCTTTTTATTCCCTTGTTCTCAAGTGTATTTAGCTTTTGCCTACTTTAGATTATTTTATTGGTTTAAAGCTGATGAACACTGTCGTGTTTCTTGATACGTATTGGGAGCTACCTTTTAAAAGTGCTTTTAGGGTAGTTAAATTAATCATGTTGTTTCTCTGTTCTTTACAGGTTAGAGGTTATGATTTCAAAGCCGATATCTGGAGTTTCGGAATCACAGCGATTGAGCTGGCCACAGGCGCAGCTCCTTATCATAAGTATCCACCAATGAAGGTGAGGTTCCTGTTCGAAATACCACCTCAGCTCATATGTCCGTTCTGTTTCAGAGCGGTTTTTTGTTTTTGGGTGGTTGGTTTTTTTTTAGCTTTTACTTTTAGCTATAATTTAATAAAGCAAATTGATTTACTGGCATATAGCTAGCTAGGCTTTTTAAACAATGGCTTTGTTTCTTTGACATTTTTACTCATACAGTTCTGCTCTGCATTCTTTTAACTCCTGTAGCAGTTAAAATCTGTGTTAACGATTTGGTGTTCAGTACTGAAGGACTGTACCTTGGAGTTGACCTTTTTATATGATGACTGTCTACCCCCTGATTGTTACTAGTCTGATACTAGGATCTGATGCTTCTCGTTTTAGTGTGTGTTCCTTACAGTCACCCTTAATGGGGATGGTGATCGTTTCCACTTTCTAAGGGTGTTGGAAGGGTTGTGTATTAATAGTATTATAGCTAACCTTCACTGAGCATTTATTTTCCCAGGCACTGTTTGAAGTGCTTTTCATGTCTAAAATAAGATAATCTATGCAAAGTGTTCATGTGTCATACATATGTATTATGCTCATTTTATTAATAAAAGTTTGCTTTGTGGTAGGACACTAAGCAGCTTATAAAAGACCTAGTATTATTTCCTGACATAGTAGTTACCTGAGATGCAGTTGCTAATCCTGTCTCCAACATTAGGAACGGGATGAGGTTTTGTGTTTAAGATGACGCTGCCAGCACTGTTAGTAACCATTTTTGTTTGTATGACTCCTTAGTTATAATATGCTCATGAATTCTGTTCTCTTTGTAGTTGTAGCTATTGTTTATAGTTCTTTTTGCCCACTGTATCAAGATATCCTATGACTTTATTTTTTTATTGATTATATTATTACAGTTGTCCCAATTCCCCCCCTTGCCCCTCTCCACCCAGCAGCCCCCAATCCATCCAACAGTGCCCTTCCTTTGTTCATGTTCATGGATCATGCATATAAGTTTTTTGGCAACTGTATTTCCTATACTTGCTCCTAACATCCCCCTGCCTATTCTGTAACTACCAATTTGTATCTCTCAGTCTCTGCAGCTTTTCCCTCGGTCCTCCAGATCCCCCTCCCCGCTGGCCAGCAGCCCAGTGTTCTCCATATCTGTGATTCTGTTTCCATTCTGCTTGTTTGCTCAGTTTGTTTTTTAGACTCAGTTGATACTTATTGCCATTTTAATGTTCATAGTTTTGATCTTTTTCATAAATAAGTCCTTTTACATTTCATATAATAGTGGTTTGGTGATGATCAACTCCTTTAGCTTTACCTTGTCTGAAAACACTGTATGTGCCCGTGGACTCTGATAGCTTTGCTGGATGGAGTCATCTAGGTTGTATGTCCTTGTAGGTCATCACTTTGAATACTTCTTGCCAGTCCCTTCTTGCGTGCAAAGTTTCTTTTCAGAAATCAGCTGACAGTCTTAAGGGAACTCCTTTGTCTCTTTCTCTTCTCCTTCTGGCACCCCTGTGATGTGAATGTTGGAATGCTTGAAGTTGTGCCGGAGGCTCCTTACACTATCCTTGATTCTTATTGGATTCTCTTTTCTTCTGACTGTACTGATTGGATGTCTTTCACTCCCTTATGTTCCAAGTCATTGATTTGATTCTCAGCTTTATGCACTCCAGTGTTGATATCCTGTAAACTGTTCTTTACTTCAGTTAGTGTCTCCCTCATTTCTGATCATTTTTATTCTGTCGAAGCGCCACTGAGTCCTTGAGCATCTTTATAACCAGTTTTTTGAACTCTGTATCTGATTGCTTGCTTACCTCTGTTTTGTTTAGTTCTTTTTTTGGAGTTTTAATCTCTTCTTTCATTCGGGCCATATTTCTTTGTCTTTTCATTTTTGGAGCCTCCTCGTATTTGTTTCTGTGGATTACATAGAGCTGCTTTGACTTTGTTTTGGTAGTGTGGCCTAATGTAGTAGGTGACCTGTAGGGTCCAGTGGCACAGCCTCCCCTATTCTCCAAGCTGGGTAGTCCAGGTGTGCCCTCTGTGTGCACTGAGTACTCCCTTCTTTTGCAGTTGAGTCTTGATTGCTGTCAGCAGGTCAATGGGAGGGATTTACCCAGACCAGACAGCTGATGGGACTGGCTGTGACCACCTCCCTCTGTGGCTTGCAGAGGTAGATGGGTGTTGGTGCTCTGATGTGATCTGTAACTGTCTGCCAGGTGCACAGGCTCTGGCATTTCCTTGGTGGTGTAGGTCAAGGTCAGCCACCACATGTGTTCTGTCTGGGGCCCCTTGGCATAAACTATAAACCAATCTACAGATGGCTGCTGCTAGTGCTGGGCCTAGGGACACTCAGTGAGAGGTATGGGGCTGGGCTCAGTCGGTGCTTGTTTGGGCAGATTTAGGAAGGTCTGAAGCCTGTACCTAGCCTAGCCATTCATATGGAAAAGCCACTGTTACCAGCATGGGTGGGGCTATAAGTTGGATGGGGCCGAGTCTTAGGTAATTGTCAGGGCACATATGAGCTGGGTTGATGGAGACACACACATGGTGCTGCAGCACTGTGGCTCTGTGGTGGGGAAGGACTCAGAAAAGGAACAATGGCTGCTGTCTGCAGTTCTGTCTGGAAGGGAGCTGTCCCCAGCTCTTGCCCTGATGCCAGATACTTCAGTCCCTCCCTGTGTGCCACTGGTGCTCCTCAAGGTGCTGCTCTGGTTGCTGGAGCCAAGAGGGAGTGAGTCTGAGTAAGTCCACGTGCGGAGCCACCCAAGAGGAGATGCCTGGAAATCCCAGTTTCCTCCGCCAACACAACACCCACTGGTTTTTATAGCCAGAAGTTATGGGGACTTACCTTCTTGGCACTGGAACCCTGGCCTGGGTGGTCTGGTGTGGGGCTGGGATCCCTTGCTCCCGAGGTACCCCTTCATTTTATATCCACCACTTGTGGATTTGGGACTAGCTGGTTCTGCATTTCTGTATCACTGGCCCTTCACCCCTACTGCTCATCTGGATGAATGTGGTTTCTTTAATTGCCTAGTTTTCAGACCTCCATGCACTTTGATTTTCTGACAGTTCTGAGTGATATTTGTTCTGTAGTTTAGCTGTGACTTTGCTTTGGTCGTGTGAGGAGGTGAGCTGTGTTTTCCTGTGCCTCCATCTTGACCAGAAGTTCTGATGTCCTGTGACTGTGTAAAATGGCAAATCACCATTGTGAATTGTTGTCATGTTGATATTGTTCACATCCGTGTGATTGTGGCGTGCTTGGGGACCTTTAGGGCTCTAACAGTGTAGAAGAGGAACAAAACCAGTAAAGGTGTATTATAAAAGAAACTCTTAACTCTCCTGTTCAAAACATGTATACACATACACACACACACACACACACAGAGATAAATGTTTGATGGGTGAAGTTTTGATTCTGTGGGAGATTAGTGATATTTTAAGGCCATGATTTTCCTAAAAATTAAGGACTCCTAGGAGATTTCTCCACTTTCACAAGATTTTAAGAAGGCTTTTTTTTTTTTTTTTTTTTTAGTATAACTGCAAGGCCAAAGACATGGCTTATTTTTAAAATTGAAGTTGGCAAGAGGAGGATGAGGTTTATTACTTTTAATCCATTGTAGGCAGTGACTCCTCCAATTATTGCCAGACATATACATGCTAACCTAGTTGCTCAAAATAAGAACTATCACCAACCTTAGTAATTTTGTTTCAGTAAATATAAATCTGAAAAGCAAGTAATCTAATTGTAGCCCCCCCCTTTATTTTTCACTATTGACTTTACATTTAGGAAAATGGTTGATGCTTTTTTAAAAACATTCAGCAGCATAGAAAAACACAAACCCCCAGTCCTATCACACACATAATGCCTTTGTTACCTCCACCTCTGTCCGTCGAGCTAGTGTGTGGCCCTGGAAGTCGAAGCAGGAAGAGACGGACAGGACAGTGAGGACTGTCAGTTGCTCTGGGGAAGGTGGGAAGAATGAGAACAGTTACTCCTATGGTAGAAGTTTCTGGGGAGTTCTGTGAAGAGAAGGCCAGATTATCAGGTGTCAGGTTGAAACAGAGCCATGAATAGGTAAAGTCAACAAGTTTACACTCTGAATTTTGCTGTGGTTTTAATTTTTCTAAAGATAGTTTGGTAGTATAGGAGTGGGGACAGAAGATGTGAAGAAAGGATTCTAACCAGAGGATGTGCTGTGCAGATGCAGCGGAGCCCTGGTAGGCACGCCATCTGGGAAGCCAGCTTTCGGTAGGATACTGTTTATGTGGATGACTCCAGGTTCTGAAACACCGATCCAGATGTGAACTTCCAGAAAATAAAATCTTCTTGTATGTTGGGGACTGTTTATAGAAAAAAAAATCTTGGCCACAATATTTCATTGAGTTGTCAGAAATTTTTATTATATTGAAAATCTTACAGGTTTTGATGCTGACACTGCAGAATGACCCGCCATCTTTGGAAACTGGTGTTCAAGATAAAGAGATGCTGAAAAAATATGGAAAATCATTTAGGAAAATGATTTCGTTGTGCCTTCAAAAGGATCCAGAAAAAAGGTTATATATGAGATAAAGCATATTTTTCTCTTCATCCAATATGTAACTAGAATCATGTACATCTAATATATAACTAGAATACATGGACAGGAAATATACAAAGAAATAAATACAAACTATAAAAAAATATATAGAGATCATTACCCTAGATTGGAAATGAATAAATTACTTTCTACTTTTTAGTATACAATGTACCCTAAATAGTTCTGCTATTTCCTGCTAATTTCTTACAATTACATATTTGTATGTTGTGAATTCTCTAGTAATAAAACATCAAGTGAGTGGGAGGGGTCACTTTCAATTTGCATTTAAGAGTTATAAATAAATAATGCTGTTTATAATGTTAATAAGGGAAATATACATAGTAAATATATGACCAATAATCTTTCCTTATTGGAAAGATGTTTTAATAAGTGGACCAAGGCTTGAAAGAGTTTTATCTTGTTAATACTAGACTGGATGACAAGCAGATGAATAAATATGGTCATCTAATGTGTGTATATCTGTGAGTTAAACAGAGTCGTAGAATCTTGAAGATCCTGAGTACAACCTTTTGTCTTTGAGGTTGAGCAGCTGTCTAGTCACAGACATAGACATAGAGGTGGGACTTGAATCCAAAACTCTCTCTTCGCTTTCTCTCATGGTCAACAAATGACTTTAGTGTATTTCATGGGTCTTCAGAATTTATTGTTGGGAATATCGGAAAGGGTAAGAAGTATAGGGAGCAAAGTTCAAACCTCTGTTTAGGACTTTTTTTCTGTTTCTCAATAAACTGGTATAAAAGATAGGGACTACTTGGTTTCTGCCAACTTAGTTGACTGAAATAACAGAATTCTCTTGTTATAAATACCCAGAAGTTCTGGATAAATCTGTCAAATTAAAAAAAAAATCCAGACAAGAGCTTTCAATAAAGGGAAGTCCTCAGATTTCAAAAGAAATGAGGAAACCATAAATTAGAGAAGAAATATCATGAACTAATTCTGTGCCTGTCCACAGTGGGACACTGTTCATTCCCACTTCCACACAGGGACTGGATATGAGATAACGGGTCAGCCCAGTTGGGATTTTAAACTGAGACTAGATCTTGAGTGAAAGGATAGACCAGAAAGCAAACAAAATCTGTCTATTATCACAAAGATAGAGCAAAAATCTCTCCTGAATAATCAAGCCCTGTGTCCTGGATATTCTTCAGGTGTTCAGTCTGAATTTATTCTAACCATGCCATGCAGGAAAGCACAGGATTAGAAAGCAAAATTATTACCTTGCCAGGTCCAGCTCCTATGTATAGCACTGTTTACTCTTTATTCTCAATCATACTCAGTAAAAATTGTAAAATTGATAATGATGCCTTTACTTAAATGAAGAAAGTAAGTACAGTTGAGTTAAAATTGAGTTTAGATTAAATTTGAGGACTATCCATTACATTTAGAATCCTGTTTGTTCAGAGAAATGGTGAAATCTGTTTTTAAAACTATGTATCACCCGTGTTGATGGCTAGCAGCTAGCCACATAGAAAGAAGCGGGGGACTTTGTGAGATTAGATGTATTTTTATGCCTTGTTAAGTAAACATTATCTAGCCTACTTCTTGGGAAATAATATCAAATAGCAAATATAGTGGAAGTCACTATGAAGTCATGCTTTCAAAAGAAACATTTCACTAATGATTTTGTCAAAGACCTACAACACTTATTATCAGGACATTTCTATGAGTTTTATTCTCTATAACGTCTTATACCAAGTTTATCTTACTTTTTTTTTTTTTTTAGCAGGTTAGGGAGAGTGGAGTACACTGAGTTTTTATCTTACTGCTTAAGAAACCATTTTCCTATTTTTGAAGAAGAAAATCCCACATCACACTTGAATTGACTGTAAAAATTTTCTTTTCTGGTTTTAGACCAACAGCAGCGGAATTGTTGAGGCATAAATTCTTCCAAAAGGCAAAGGTAGGAAATTCTAACTTATTTTGAAAAGATTTGATATATTTATTCTTTAGAGAGAAGGGAAGGGAGGGAGAAAGAGAGGGAGAGAAATGTGTGGGTTGCCTTTTGCGTGCTCCCAACTGGAAGCTGGCCCATAGCTCAAGCATGTGCTCTGACCAGGAGTTGAACTGGCCACCTTCCATCCACTCAGTCTGCTGAGTTATATCAGCCAGGGTGGGAATTCTAACTTTCGATTTTATGTATTCATTTGATTTTCTTCCTAATTTAGTTACGAATTAGGTTTACCATTCAGAAGTTTTATTTTTTTAAGATGACTATGTTGTGAAGAACGATAATAGATCAAATAATTGCATGATCTATATAGTCTTTGGTAATTAAGATGCTTTAGAATATGTAAATTTATTTTTAAATGTCAGGGTAAACTTAGAACAACGAATATTAAATTTTGCCATTATAAATATAATCTGTATAAAGTACTGAGCTCTCATTTCAGGTGAGTAAACATCTCATTTCCCAAAGAGGCAAATGAGTGGATGTTACTGTAGTTGGAAGTGTGGGGCCATGGTCCCAAAGGACACACGGTAAAAAGCAAACTTTTCATGGAAATGGCTCGTCACCGTGCGCTGCAGCTCTGTTTCGGTTTGTAGACCCGGGGTACAGTGTCCTAAAGGGGCTTCAGAATGGAAGAATGGCCCTTTTCTCGAACTTCTTTATAAAACATTTACTTGGTCACATAATTAATATTGGTGAGTGTTTCTTTGTCAGTTTTTTTTGTTTGTTTGATAAAATCTTGTAAAGAAGAAAAATTCTTATTTTTCCTCTCCAGAATAAAGAATTTCTTCAAGAAAAAATATTGCAGAGAGCACCAACCATTTTTGAAAGAGCTAAAAAGGTAAATGGGTATTTAACTCCATTTTCCTGGGTAATTGCTTAGAACAGATTTGCTTTTGCATTTGGAAAGTATGTGTTAAGTAATAGTTTGTTAACAGTATGAGTGTTACTCGGTTTCTTTCAGTCCTTTCACATTCTTTAATACATTCATTTATCAAATATCCATTGGTGTACTGAATGCTGCCTCAGTATTCCTTTGCTATCTGCTAGAATGGAAAGTATGTTAGACGCTTGATGAATTAATTCTAACCTGTGCTGAGTCACTGTGTGCAACTTCCAGAGTGAGTTGTGAATTGGGCCCTTTCTTCCCACCATACGGAAATACCCCAGATACCACTTCACACCCATTAGAGCGAGTGCACTGAAAAAGACAGAAAACAAGTATTGATAAACATGTGGAGAAATTGGAACCCTCACACATCAATAGAAGTAAATGTAAAATGGTGCAACCGCTTTAGAAAGGAGTCCGGCAGTTCCTCAGTCTAAATAAGGTTGCCATATGGCCTGCAGTTCCACTTCTCAGCATCTGAAAGAGAACTGAAAACACGTACACACAACAGTATGTACGCATATGTTCTTAGCAGCATTATTCATAAACTAAAAAGTGCAAATAACCTGAATGTCCATCTGCTGATGAATGGACATGTAAGATGTCGTGTATCTGTATAAGAGAGTATTATTTTGCAATAAAGAGGAATGAAGTACTGATACATGCCATAGCAGATATGAGCCTTTAAAACATTATGGCAATTGAAGGAAGCCAGTTACAAAAGACAGCAGGTTGTATGATTCCATTTATGTGAAATGCTCAGACCAGGCCAATGTGTAGAGACAAAGTAGAGTAGCAGGTGCGAAGGCCTGGAGGGATTGTAGATAAATGAGCAGTTAGTTGGTAATGGGTATGGGTTGTTTTGCAGGGTTGGGGTGGGGTGGGGGATGGGGAGGGAGTGATGAGAGTAATCTAAACTTGATTGTGGAGATGGTTTCACAGCTCTGAATAAACTAAAAATCATTGAATTCTATACTTGAAATGGGTTAATTATATGCTACATGAATTATATCTCAATAAAGCTGTTTAAAAGAAGCATTTAGAGAATGGCAGCACCCTGACAAAAAGCTCATGGAAACTGAAATATTGAAGAAGAAATGAAAAAATTGAATGCAAAGCTGTAGAGTCGAGTTAAGGAAATTTCTCAGAAAACAGAGCCAAGTGGCCAAGCAGTAGATAATAGGAGAAAAAAGACAAAAACATTAGAGGATCATTCAAAATGGTTCAACAGATGAATAAAAACAGTTCTGGAAAAGGAGAACCAAAAAAAACCCAACCAAACAAAAACCCAAGAGAAAGGAAATCTTCTTGAAGTAATTTCTGTCTGAAAAAAAATTTAAACTGATGGTCATGAATTTCCTGATTGAAAGAGTCTAAGTACCCAGCACAATGAATGAAAATAGACCAACACTGAGGCCCACTGCTGTGCTAACTCAGAATTCTGGAGGCAAAAGGTAATAAATAGGTGTGATCACAGACAGGTTCACCAGTCCGAATGGCCTCAGCAGCACCTCTGGAAACCAGACCACAACGGAGCAGTTATGTTCAACATTATCAAAGAACAAGGTTTCTAACCCAGACCAATTTTTTATCAGACAGGCTATAAGTGAAATGTGAAGATGCAATAAAGATATGTTCAGAAATGCATGGCTTTAGTAAGTGAGTAAATGTATGCTAATAGTGGAGGAAGTGCTTAAACCAAGAACAGAGAAGTTACGTGATGCAGGAAGCAGGGTCCTCTGGGTAATGGTAGTGTGAGATCTGAGGCAGCAGACCTGGTGTGAAACCTTTCCAGGGGGGAGCAGAGACGAGGCTCTGGGGGGAGGCTTCCTCAGGAAGATAATGCTGATGCAGAACACATGGTACATGTTAATGTGCTAAGAGAAGATCTACATAGCCGGGAGAGAATTGGGGAGTAAATACTGACAAGTACATAGAAATAGGCAAATATTAACTCCAGGGAGAACAAAAATGTAGCAAAGGAAGGTAACTTTAATGTACAGTAAGGCTCAGCTGTATCATTTATGTACTTGTAATCAGGTTATGTAAAACTAAATATTGATTTAACCCAAATTACAGTGTATCTTAAGAGTAGAGGATTGATAATAGGGTTAAATTCTTTTTCTATAGTGGGAAGTTCAGTGGGTAATTCCTAAAACCAGAAACCTTAAAGGGTAATAATGAGACAATGTTATATGTAGAGAGAAATATAAATTCCAAAACAATAACTTAAAATGAGTTGAAAATGGTTGCTGGTGGTAGAAAGGATGAAAGGCAGGAGATTGTTGTTTTTCTGAACAAAACTTTCATAGCTATACTACTCTTAAAACTAGGCAGGTATAATTGTGATTTTAAAAATTAAAATTAGAGACTTCCGCCAAGATGGAGGCGTAGGTGGAAACACTTTCCTTCCTCGCACAGCCAAATCTAAAAACAATGAAGTTTTAACAATAAATGCAACCAAACCACAGAAAATCGAACAATACGGAGTCCGGAAACAACGCACTGCTCAGCTAAACTGGTGAGAGGGGCGAAGCCAGCAGCGGAGCGGGTCCGGCAAAAAAGATTTTCCCTACCCGGGCGGCACGCAGGCAGCCGAGGGTGCAGATCCCAGGTGCAGGGTAGCTACTGGCGGACCGAGGGAAGGCGTGGCGCGGCTGTCTGACTGTGGTTGAGTATTTGTGCTCAGATAAACCAGTGAAGAGATGAGCATTGAGACAGACCGAGCAGGCCTTGGCACAGGGCAGTAGGCTCACACATTTGCACTCTCAGATAAACAGGTGGGGGCGAGCGGTGAAGCCAAGCAAAGAGGACTGCCATTGCTCCCTCTCTGACCCCACCCCCACATACAGCATCACAAACCAGCAACCTGGGTGGCCCCGCCCTGGTGAACACCTAAGCCTGCGCTCCTCATACGTAACAGGCACAAACAGATCAAAACATGCTCAAGAACAACTCACAGCCCCAGAGCCAATAAATCTAAGCGATGAAGAAATAGCCAAACTTTCAGATGCACAGTTCAAAACACTGGTGATCAGAATGCTCACAGAACTGGTTGATTTTAGTCACAAATTAGAGGAACATATGAAGGTTAAACTAATTGAAATGAAGGGAAATGCACAGGAAACCAATAGTAATGGAAAGGAAACTGGGACGCAAATCAAGGGAGTATACCAGAAGGAAGGAAAAAATGACCAAACAGAAAAGAATGAAGAAAAAAGAATTCAAAAAAAATGAGGAGAGGCCTAGGAACCTCCAGGACATCTTTAAACGTTCCAACATTCGAATTATAGGGGTACTAGAAGGGGAAGAGGAACAGTCAGAAGTGGAAACCTTATTTGAACAAATAATAAAGGAGAACTTCCCCGTTCTGGCAAAGGAAATAGACTTCCAGGAAGTCCAGGAAGCTCAGAGAGTCCCAAAGAAGTTGGACCCAAGGAGGAACACACCAAGGCACATCATCATTACATTAGCCAAGATTAAAATGAAGGAGAGAATCCTAGAAGCAGCAAGAGATAAGGGGACAGTCACCTACAAAGGACTTCCCATGTCAGCTGATTTCTCAAAAGAGACCTTACAGGCAAGAAGGGGCTGGAAAGAGGTATTCCAAGTCATGAAATCCAAAGACCTACATCCAAGATTGCTCTATCCAGCAAAGTTTTCATTTAGAATGGAAGGACAGATAAAGTGCTTCTCAGATAAGATCAAATTCAAGGAGTTCATCATCACCAAGCCCTTATTATATGAAATGTTAAAGGGACTTATCTAAGAAAAAGAAGATAAAAAAGATGAACAGTGAAAGGACAGCAAACTCACAGTTAGTAACAACCACACCTAAAACAAAAGCAAACTAAGAGGACAGCTAGATCAGGAGCAGAACCATAGAAATGAAGATCACATGGAGGATTAGCAACAGGGGAGTGGGAGAAGGAGAAGGGGGGAGAAGGTACAGAAAATAAGTAGCATAGACAGTAGATAGAAAATAAATAGGGAGGAGGGCAAGAATAGTATGGTAAATATAGAATCTAAAGAACTTGAGACACGTGTTCATGTGCCGCGGTCCGGCCGCAGCGGGTCAAGGGGTCCCACAGGTGAGGGTAGGCGTCGGCGCTGGGTAACAGACGACAACACGCCTCAAAGGACAGTGAAGCTCTGTTCCGTTTATTGCAAGTACAAGCAGGTTTTTATAATTTTCATTTCAGGTAGTGATTAATATTTGCAGTATAACATGATCATTTAAGCAGAAAAAATCAATACAAAGGTAATCAGTAAAAGTACAAAAGTTCCCATAGATTTAGTTAAAAATTATTTTAACTAGGAGAGCCATTAATCAGACAGTTAGAAATATCTTATTGTATATTAAAGTTTCTCAGAATTTGGTATAGGGCATAAGGATACGCTAGATTGAGTAGAGAAAATAGGAAATTTATTATAAGGCCCTTGTGATGTCTAACTTAGCTATCTACCTTTTTTTTTGCTTAAAATGTTTTTCTGTGTACTATAAATTCTGACTCCTTAGTAACTGTTTAGTTTAAAACTAGCCTTTGTTATTACTTTGCCTGTCTAGTTGATATATATTCCTATTCAAGGTAAAGGAGGGGCTATTCCTATGTTACAGGGGGCTTTAAGGGTACTTCTTTTAAGTTTCTCTAGGAGTTCTTTTATAGACATGTTTTGTACTTTGATTCCCTCTGAGAAAGTAGTGAGATCATCTCCTGATTTCCTAGAGTATTCTATCTTATCTTGGGTGTTTTTCTAATGATTGTTATTGATTAAGCCTGAATTCTCAGATTGTTCTGATTGTTTCCTTGTGCCTATATTCCCTGACGTTCTAGTATGATATTACTATTCTGTTCATTGAGCCGGGAAAGGTCCAGGCACACTATCTGAATCACTGCCAGGGTATTCATAATGATTAAAGCAAAAAGGGGCATGATCCCCAAAGCAAGCACAATCACAATAGGTATTGCAAGGCCTTCCATGCCACGTCCACCAGGTTGGAAACTGCTTCCTTGAAGTCTTACACCCCCTCTCAGGACCTTGTCACGGAGAGAGGGATCCAACAGTGGACACGGCAGTGGACGTGGCATTCATGAACTAAGGGGGGGAATGGTGGGGGAGGGGTGTGCAGGGTGGAGGGGAATGAAGGGGGGAAATAGAACAAATATAATGGCATAATCAATAAAATTTTAAAAATAAAAAAAAATACTACTGTTAAAAATAGTAAAAAATTAAAATTAAAAAGAAAATATTCATTTGACCTATGACTTCACCTAGGGAGGACTTAGCTGATGTTCAAGTTCAGAGTATAGAAATACAGGAAAAGTCAGTGGTTGTGAGTGAAGAAAAACTAAAGATTGTAAACAGAGCCAATGAGGAGTGGAAGATACTTGCAAGGAAAGTTATTATTTGTTTACTGCGTTGAAGTAGTAGGAGAGGAGAGGAAAATATGATTGACTTTTCTATATAATAAGTGTCAACCTGACCATAGTGTATGTCTCTTCCCGTGAGCAGGTTCGGAGAGTGCCAGGCTCCAGTGGCCGTCTTCATAAGACGGAGGACGGAGGCTGGGAGTGGAGTGATGATGAATTTGATGAAGAAAGTGAGGAAGGGAAAGCAGCAATTTCACAGCTCAGGGTAAGTTTTGTGACACTGTGCTTTAGCTAGAGCCCTGCCATTTTGTCTGAAGCCTGGGGGATAATACTGTATTCTGTGATTCTGGTCAGCCTACCCAGGCAAAGTATAAAAAATGCAAGTGTTAGTGACAGAATTTCATTGACCAACTCACCAACATAGGAGCCCAATTGATTTTACCTGGGAAAGTGGGCTGGCAGGTCTGTTTGAATATGATAATATCCAGGGCATGTACAAATGATTCAATCTAGAGATGAAAACTACAATGTCTGAGATAATACACTGGGTAGGGTTAATGCCTGATTAATACATTGCAAGGAAAAGATTCGTGAACTTGAAAGACTAACAGTAATAGAACTTTGTTCCCGAGGTCTGCTAATCTTCTACCTGAAGAGTAATAGTGTATCTCTTTAATTGGTATATCCTGGATGATGATAATATTGCTGATGGTGTATGTGTTAGTTCTTGCCAGAAGCAGTGAAGACACGGGTCTTACTTTTCTATTGCTTTATCACTCTTGCCTAAAGTTAATGCCTCCAGTTGATTGTTAGGACTCAATCCAAAGAATAGAAAACAAACACACACAAAATCAGATTGATAGACTATTGCAATGCCCGAGATGAAAAATAAATCAGATGGGATTAGGAGCAAATTAGACTGTAGAAGAAAAGATGAATGAACTTGAAGGCTAGCAATAGAAATAGCAAAATGAAACTGAGAAAAAAAAGAGTTTTTAAACAATGAAAAGAGAATCAGTGAGCTAATGCAAACATTAAACAGCTTATTCTCAAAGTTACTGGAGTCTCCAAAGTGTGTAGGAGACATGACATTTGAGGTCATTACAACCTTGACCGCTCAGAACTCTGTGTGGGATGGGCGGTGGGTAGTGGCAGTTTTGCCTGCTTTCAAGAATGAAAGCTTCATGGAGAAACGGCTGATGCCCAGGCTCACACAGATAATGCACAAGATGAATCTGGGGTACTTTATTTTGTCAAAAAGAGGATATCTGTTATTGAAACAAAAAGTTTAATAATATAAGAGCCCTGTTGACAGGGCTCCTAGTGGCCAAATTAGCCAGAATATAATCATCAAAATCATTAAGTACAGTAATAAATTATAAGTAATTTGAAAAATAGGAATCTCTGAGTTCATAGCAATACATAGGAGAAAGGTATGCTTTTTCATTATCGTGACTGGCCAGTACTGACTGGTAAATGTTGAGGAGTGTTGAAGAAGGAAAATTATCATTTTCATCCATCATAAAGCACTCATAAAGATTAGATCAGGCAAGGAGCATCAACAGATGCTAGATATAGGGGAAAGTTGTGATGAGCAGTACATTTACAGGGCTTTAAAGTGCCTCTCCACAGAATGGCTTTTAGTTGCAAGGGACACAATGGTTCCTGCATACTGGAAAAACCAGAAAATGCCCTGAGTAGATGATTAAAATTAGCATCACTAATGCAGGGAAGATGTGATTCCCTAAGATATGATACTCTAGGAAGGAAACCTCCTGTGTGGAATTCCAGCTGGGAATTCCTGTAGCAGTCTAAATGAGGAGGCGACCATCAGACGCACCACAGGCAGAAGCATTGCCTTCAGATAGTGTGTGAGCAGGGAGGGGATTCTTAAAGGATATTTATGTGCCAGATATACACCATCTGAAGAGACCTGACGCTGACTGCAATATATGCTCCTACAGGGCACCCTGTACTGGAGGCAAAACAGAGGGCTATCCGTGGGATTATGGACGATAAATAAGATGAAAAGTATTACTGTTATATTTGCTGAAGTTGGTTACTTCAGTAACGGTACATAAGAGAATGTCCCTAGTAAGAAGTACACAGTGACCATTCAGTGGTAAATAGCTGTGACATGCAGCTTACTCTCAAATGGTATGGGAACAATATGATTAATTACATATATATTTTATATATTTATAAACATTCTGTATGTTGTACTAAATATATACTATGTATTATGTGTATTATATATGTATATATTTAAAAGACAGAACACGAACATTGAAAAGATAAAGCAGATGAGGAATCGAGGCTGTTAACGGGTCAGCCTGGGTAAAGGGTATGCTGGTGCTCTTTGTGTTGTTCTTTATGTGAGTTTGACATTTTTTCTAAATATAAAGTTTTAAAAAAGGTTTGGATTGGCCATTTATTTGCTGTGATACATTAGTTTTACTTAACCCTCGGTTTTCCTTAATAAAATGATGATGAACATTTTAAAACAAACCTAAGCTGACCTTTTAAGTAGTCTAAATCCATACTTGGTAGAATTTACCATAAATTGGTACTTGTTTAGAGCTTAATCTCCAGTAGTGTCAGAATTACTACTGACTTTTCTGATTTATTAAATGAAGTTAGCTTAGATTTTCATAAGGCAGATTATAATTGGTTTTGCAACTTTGGTTCAAGAGTTTTCCCCATTAAAGCCCTTCATCAGCCCTGACCCGTGGGACTCAATTGGTTGGGCATTGTTCTGTAAAGCAGAAGGTCCCCTTTTTCAATTACTCGTCAGAACACACGTCTGGGTTGCCTTTGGGCCTCTGTTGGGGTGCATGGAAGAGGCAACCAATCAGTGCTTCCCTCCCCCTCCTACTCCCTCTGTCACCCCTCTCTCATTAAAAATGAATAAATAAAATTCTTTGTTTAAAAAGCCCAATATCAGCCCGGGCTGGTGTATCTCAGTGGATTGAACACGGGCCTGAGAACCAGAGGATCACGGTTCGGGATTCCCAGTCAGGGCACATGCCCGGGTTGCAGGCCAGGACCCAGCAGGGGACACACGAGAGGCAATCACACATTGATATTCTCTCCCTCTCTCTTTCCCTTCCCCTCTAAAGATAAATAAATAAAATCTTTAAAAAGCCCAATATCAGAATTACTTGTGTTGAAAATGTGTTATTACATAATTAACTCAAAGGCTGACATTTAGTCTGGGGTATTGTGCGCATAATGTTTCATAATTAGAAAGAGTTGGACTTGGAAAATTTATCATCTGTGAATTCAGTCTCATTGTGTTTGCTTATAAACCTCAAGTTGTGATGTCCTCAAATACTGTAAGTACAGGCCACCTGGACAAATAATACAATAGTCTCGTGATAGTTTTCCTTTTTCAGAGAACTCTCACTGGCATTGCCGGTGAGTTAATGTGTGCATCAGAGTGAAATGGGGTTGACTTGCGTTTGCACGTTCCATGCAGTGCGGAGCTGGCTGCAAGTAACCTCAGTTTTGCATTAACAAGCCCTCTGTTTTTGTGTTTCTTTTAGTCTCCCCGAGTGAAAGAGTTATCAAGTTCTGAGGTAAGTGGTTGTGATTTTTGAATCGTTACAGTATATGGGCTTTTGTGAGGGTTGGGTTTTAATGATAAGCATGTGTTTTACATGTGCCCGTATGGGAATGAGAGTTTCAGTGAGTGGAGTTCAGAGATAGCGATTCCGAGCTTGAACGGGCTTTTGCAGCAGATCAGAGTCACTGCACTTACTTTAAAAGGTGACCCACAGCCCCAGAATGTTCTTCCTTGTTGGTTTGACCTTATGAATTACTTGTTTGGTTTGGCCACCTGAAAGGAAAAGTAGTATTTTTCATTAATCTGTCCAGGAATTTGTCATATGCCATCTTTACTTTTTGGATTTCTCCCCTAGCCTCTTCTCTTGTTACATAGATTCCTTTGTCTGTAGTTGCTGCCTCAGTGTAATAGAAAATTCTACTACACAGGCCCCTGTTCAGCTGGCCTGTGTTGTGCTCATTACCGGAACAGTGTATCATTCCTTGTGTGTGTTCTGTCATGCATTTGTCCATCTGGCTGTCTGCATTCTAGCTCAGTATTTGGTTTGATGGTACATGTCTTGTTCTTAAAACAATTTGGTTTTGCCCCTATACTTAAAAGTACCTATTTGTTCCACTTCATTTGTGTGCACAGTATACAGTTTGGGTCTGCAGTAATGCACAGGGTTTGTGTACATAGTATTGTATTGTTTAAGGCTGAAAATACTGTGCTTCAGCATATTAACAGACTGTATCTAGCAGTTTATACTAGAACTATTATTCCTTAAGACTTACAGCTCCTCTTCTTCTTGGCACATGATAGAATTGCATTTTCCTGCCCCTTGAGGTTATGCATGACCATGGCAGTTACTTTGGCCAATGTAATGTGAGCATAGGGAAGAGCCACTCCCCCTCTGCCTAGCTTTCCTGGCCTCTGCCACCCTGACCTACATCCCTGAATGAAGATGATGCCTCACTGAGCCTCTGCTGGCCAGAGGGAGACAGGAAGTGTGTGCAAGAAGTAACTTTTGGTTTTGTAATTACTGAGAATTTAAGATTATTTGTTATTCTCTAATTTAACCTACCTTGACTAGTTTTTAGTTTCTCTGAAATTGAACGAGGGGTTATTTTAGGGATTATCCAGAGTTTTTCTTTTTAGTCTGCTTTTTCCTTTGCCTAAATAGCTTCTTCCATGCTCATACTTAACATTCTCATCCTCTTTCCTTTTTGTTGATTTTTAAATTATGGTACAATATGCCTAACATAGAATTTATGATCTTCACCATTTGTTACACACTCAGTTCAGCGGCACCAAGTATATTCACTCTGTTAGGCACCCACCACCACCACCCATCTACAGAATTCTCTTCATCCTTCAAACCCGAGCCTCTGTGCCCAGTGACGCCTCAGCCCCTCCTCCCCCAGCTCCCGGCAGCACCACTCCACCGGCGTCTCTGATCTGACTTCTCCCTGTGCCTCATGTAAGCGGGGTCGCACAGTAGTTGCCTCTTTGTGACAGGCTGCCTTCACTTAGCACAGTGCTCTCAATGTTCATATAGGTAACATGTGTCAGAATTTCCTTCCTTCCTTTCTTAGGCTGAGTAAGACTTTGTTGTATGTACACCCCACGTCTGTTTGTCCACTCGTCTGTTAGTGGACTCCTGGACTGCTGGCACCTTGCGGCTGTGCTCATAAGGCTGCCATGAACGTGGGGGCACAAACCCCTGTTGGAGCCCTGGCTTCAGTTCCTCTGGGTCTGCACCCGGGAGGGAGTTGCCGCATTGCACGGTGACTCTAGTTTTAGTTTTTTGAGGAACCACCATCCTGGTTTCCCTGGTGGCAGCCCTATTTTACGTTCCTGCCCGCAGTGCCCTGGGTTCTAATTTCCCCACATCCTCTCATGACTTTGTTTTGTACAGCTTTTCTATCTTTGTTATTGGTAAACATATATTTGAAATAGTGTTAATAATTATATTAACATTTTGAAAATTGACCATAAAGTTCTGTTTTTCTACCAAAATCCAGAACAAATGAGTAACTTTTGATTTCCTCAATGTGAAGCAAAATGAGCACAAAACTTTACTCCCTTGTCTCCTTGATTCTGCTTATATATATTCTGAGCTGTTAGACCTCTTGTATTGCCCTTCTCATTCTTTTTCACTTTTAACTCTCAATTTTGACCATTGCATTGATTTTTTTTCATTCACCTTTTTTCTCCAAGTTACAGAATTAAAATTTACAAAAAATTTCAAACATGTAAAGTAATATAATAATGTCTATATTAGTTATAAAGTATCACATCCATTTTGAAAAGCATTTGTGTTAGGGAATCATTGGTTAGTGTCTTTCTTCAAAAGTAATAGGTGGTCCCTAGACACAGAAAAATGTAGCTTCTGTAAGTTTGTATTGCATACCTAAATCTGTATTTTGGACATTTTATTTTTCTGGGCAAAGTGGACAGAGTAGATGTAGTTAAAAATAAATGTGAGCCCTGACCAGTGTGGCTCAGTTGGTTGGGCACCGTTCCACAAAGCGAATGGTCGCTGGTTTGATTCCCAGTCAAGACACGTGCCTGGGTTGCAGGTTCGGTACCCAGTCCGGGCAGATGCAAGAGGCAACTGGTGGATGTTTCTCTCTCACATCAATGTTTCTCTCCCTCTCTTTCTCCCTCCCTCCCCCTCTCTCTAAAAATAAATGAAATCTTTAAAAAATAAGTAAGTATAGTAAATGAACTGCTATTCTGAAGAAAGAAATGTGAACTATTACCTGCTGCAGCATCACTGACCCTCAGGAAACTGTGCTAAGTGAAAGAAGCCAGACACAGAAGAATGCATGGTTCAGTGACATTGAGTGAAGTGTTACTCAAAGAATGCATCGTATGTGCTTTTGTTACAGCTGTTTGCAACAGCTGATCCCGTGGGTACTTTACTTCAAGTTCCAGAACAGATTTCTGCTCAACTACCTCAGCCAGCTGGGCAGACGCCCGCACAGCCAACTCAAGTCTCCCTCCCACTCCCCACAGAGCCGGCAAAAACAGCTCAGGTAATGCAGGGGCACACGTTCGCGGTTAGCTTTCTGGGAAGGTGGAGAAAGCAGAGAGTAATGTAGAACACAACCTGATGTGATAAGGTCAGTATCTTAGTAGATTGTGAGACAAGTTAGAATTGTTTTTTCAGTTTGAAATGTATGCAGATAAGAGAGTTTCACAAGAATCACACTGGTTTTTATGCCAAAAAAAATAACAGTGGAAACATTTCAAACATCAAAAATTTGGGAGTTAATTTGTTTGCTCTTTATTAGATCCTCACTATGTTTAACTTCAGTATGCATCTGACAGAGTTATCTTGACACCAGGGAAATCATCAGTGGCTCTCACTCCATTGACTCATGTTTGTGTTAGTAATACTGCCTCCAGTCCATGGTACTACCCTTTTTAAGATATTTGTCAGTCAGTGTTGTAAGGGTCGATTCTGTGCAGATGAGGTAACGTAATCTGTAAATCCACACAGTCAGGCACATACAGACTAGACACGAGGGCCCCACTGTGAGCCCCCCACGCTGTGCGGCTGCCGTACCTTCCTCAGGAAACCTCAGCTACTCCATGTAATGTGGGCCCTTGTGCTCAGTGGTTAGAGCAAGGGTTTCAGCGTCGATTCACGTACTAAAGTTAGAGGTTTCATTTTTTCCCCAACATTTTAGATGGAAAGAAATAAAAATGGAAGTTCCAGTTTTCTTTTTCTCTGACACCCCAGTGGCAGTCTGCCTTTGAAAAGCCCTGAGCGCTTCCAGTTTGTTACGGTGCTATAACTTCCTGTGACCCATTCGTCACCCAGGCTGTCCGTTGCTGCCCATCACGTGGGAAAAGATGCAGCTGTCTTATGAAAAGGGATGCAAAAATCAGATTCATTTTATGAACAGCTTACATAGAATGTGTGTCCTCCAGTAAGCAGGAGATGTCAGGTTTCAGGAGGGATTAATTAATTCAGCCAGTAAAGACCAGGAACCTCCAGGTTGGGAGGCTTTCCCAGGGGTGGCCAGGTCAGACCCTGCCTGTGTGTTGCCATGTGATACACTGGCAGGTTTTTTAAAGGGAAAAGCCCAGCTTTGTGTTTTTCACCCTTGGAGAGAGAAACAGGGATCTGAAAAAAAATACAGAATTTAAACGTGGCTCCGTATGGACTTCCACGTGGGTTTGAGAATTACCTTTCCAATTGTGTGTGGCTTGGGCTGACACTCAGCTCCTTTGCTGCCTTGGAGTGCATGTGCCCCCACAGTGGGGGGCGTCCTGGGGACTCGTGTGGCCTCGCCTGGAGGAGTGCTGCCAAGGGGACACTTCCCCTGCAGATGCCCACTGGTCACCCGCACACTTTGTTGTCTGGGCAGTGACTTGCCGCCTCTCCATGCTTTTCAGGCTCCGTCTTCAGGAGGAGACTCACAGGAAACCAAGATCCCCATCAGTCTAGTGCTAAGATTAAGGTGAGTAGACATCTTTGTTTTGTTTTGTTTTCTGAGTACTCCGAATACACTGTCTTCCCTTCAGAAGTCACTCCTTGTTCCAGCAGTGTGTGTGCCCGGGAGTAACTGGAGAGGACCGTGTGTCTTCCTGGCATCGGGTGCCATTTGCTCACAGGCGTATTATTTCCCGCGGAAATAGTAGGGACACTGTGAGGACCTGGATGTTAACAGATCAGCTGATACAGTCTCTCAGTTGTTTCTCCACTCACCGTGACCGATTTGTGCATTTGCAGTATTCGTAGTTCAGGTTCAGGAATGTGATCCATCATGGCGGAGCAGTTTATAGGAGAGCAGCACTAAGTTGGCTTCTCTGGAATTAGTCTTGTAATTGTGTCCGTACGAATGCTGTGGACCCTGAGAGAACTGTCGGAGAGTGGACTGCTTTCTGATTGTGATAGATCACACAAAGGCCCGATTCTTAGAAAGGAACGGGAGAACCTCGAAGCATAGATTTGGTCTGTTTCTCTGCATTCCAGCAGGTGCTCTAAATTGATGCTTCTTGGTGGGGCCGTGACACACTGCTCACAGGAAGTGCCCTGGGTGGCAATCTGTTCATTGAATCCTCTTTCCCTGTGCAGGCAGTTGAATTAGGATGGAGAGCATTCTTGTCGGAACAGCTGTGGGTGTTGTATTGCTGTCCTACTCATAAATGCACTAGAAAAACGATGAGTTCTACAAGCATCGCCTAGATGGCTCAGGCCTTCTTTAACTGTTACCGACATTTTCAAAAGAGTTCGCTGAATTATATTGACTCATTCCACCTTGCACTTATGAAGTCCTGGTTTTCTTCTTACTAGGACCATCATTAGAGATAGAGGTAACAAGAGTTGTTATGAGAATGTTTTGATTTTACCACGAAGAGCAATGAAATTGTGGCGTAACTGTGAAGAAAGCAGGTTTGGTTGACTGTCCTATACAGAAGCCCACTCTGCACCTCATCTCATCTCAAATAGCTCTTAGTAATGGGGCATCTTAGTGACGTCACCCTGTCTTAATTGTACATAAGGGATGCCTCTGGTCTCTCTTTGAGAATTTGTTTTGATACAGCAGTCAGTTGGCAGCACAGAAATTCCATTTGACATGTGCTTCAGGAAGGTGGGGAAGACACTTGTAAGTGAGGTCGCTGGCTTTCTGAGACAGCGTTTTCTTAATGGACTACATTGCAGTCCGGTTTACGGAGGGGGAGGCTAGATTCTTATTCGCACTGATGAAGACTTTGAAGTTAAATGGCCAGAGGAGATTTTGACCAGTTAGCATGTTACTGTCTTTAAAGATGTGTGTGCTTGGCATGTCAGTTATATCAGTAAAGTGATGCTGAACATTTCATTTTAAATTTAATTAGCTTTCAGAAAGACCACACGGGACAATTATGTGGTCGGCAGAATATATATGACACTCTGAGCCCTGGTGGAAGGGTACCGAGAGAAGAGGAAGTGAAATGCCTCACTCCATACTCAAGCCTAGGTCGGACGTTGATTTGAGTGATGTAAAAATGAATTCCAGGTAGCGCACGCGCAGAAGCACAGGTCTGGGTACAGGCAGGGCTGTACCCACACAGGGCTGTGCAAGGGACAGCGTCCCTTGGGGGCAGGTCGTGTTGGAGGTGGGTAGCTGTATTTTGAGCAGAATTTCAGTAACATTCTCAAGTATTTGTCAAATAGACGCAAGCCCTTTGCATTGTTACAATAAAATTTGACCCCTTAGGAATCAGACACATCTGCCTTTAGACATGATGTTCTAATTTCTCCACCCTCAGCCGGAGCTTCCAGGGAGCCTGGATCGTTTCAGTGTGTGTAGTGATTGCTGTAACTTCTTCGCCCGTCACGTGTTTGAATCTGTGGGTTTACATATTGACTCTGCTGCCTTTATGGGCCCAGCCATTTTCCCGTGTTCTCAGACTGCCCTGGTTCTGCCTGCTATTGAGTCCTGTTGAAACTGCTCGTGGATTTCCCATCCCATCAGCACCGGGTGGGTGCTCTGTGGGAACAGAGCAGTCTTTCCCGAGGCCCGGCCTTCCTGTCGCATGTTCGCAGAGTCTGTATACATAAATTCAAAATTGATTTTACACAGTCTGTTTTTTTGTTTTTTCATAGGAATTCCAAAAAAGAACTAAATGACATTCGATTTGAGTTTACTCCTGGGAGAGGTGAGTTATCAAAAACGGTAGAATCAAAACACCTCCCGGTTTCTTCCGTGAGGTCTGTTGTGAGGGTTTGTCCTTGAGATGTATTTTGCTGTGTTAAAGGACGACAAAATGTTCCTGATTTAAAGGGGTTTGGGGGCATATGAATGAAATTAAAATGTAGTTTATTAACTGCTAACTCATTTGGAAAACCTAGTACAGTTGACCCTTGAACAGCAACGGTTTGAACTGCATGGGTCCACTCATACACAGATTTTTTCAATCTGTACTGGAAACAAATCCTGTCTTCCTTAATCACATTTTCTTTTCTCTACTTTATTGTTTGACTATAACACACAATACATGTGATGTGCAAAATGCATTCATTGATTGCTTATGTTATTGTTAAGGCTTCCAGTCCACAGTAGACTGGTAGGAGGTACGTTCTGGGGGGAGTCCACAGTTGTACACAGATTTTCAACCACACTGGCGTCAGCAGCCCCTCACCACCCCCCCGCGTTGTTCAGAGGTCAGCCGTGTAATGCAAACCAGCAGTCAGAATAGATCTAAATCAACAGTTTACTGGAGGCCAGGTGTATGCTCTGGTAATGTGCGTTATCTCATTAAATTCTCAAAACATCCCTGTAAATAGAGGTGATTATCCACATTGTTTGGATGGCGAAATCAGGAGAGAGGTGAAGTAAACTGGCAGTTCACACAGCTGGGAAGAGGCACAGCTGGAATTCAAACCCTAATCTGACTGAGTGCGAAGTTCTCACTCTTATCCCCATCCCCAGATACGGCTGTCCTCCCTGACAATAAAGAAACGAAGCTTCCAGTCTCCTCTGTCCTGGGGCTGAAACTGAGCCTGTGGTGCATGGTTTCTGGCCATGAACTTCTTCCGGGAACAAGGCTTGTTGTCTTTGTTACTCGGGTCAGGTTTGGGGAGAGCAAGTGGATACCTGTCCTTCGTACCACACTTAATCTTCTTGCTGTCTTGGTGTCCTCAACAACTAAGTATTAAAGAGAATACATGCAGATATACAAAGGTGCATTCACCATACTTTTTAAAAAAAGATTTTATTTAGTTATTTTTAGAGAGAAGGGAGGGAGAGAGAAGGAGAGGGAGAGAAACGTCAATGTGTGGGAGAGAAGCATCAGTTGGTTACTTCTCACAGGCCCCGAACTGGGGATCCAGCCTGGAACCCAGGCATGTGCCCTGACCTGGAATTGAACCGGCGACCCTTCAGTTCACAGTCTGACACTCAGTCCACTGGCCCCACCAGCCACGGCTGTTTCTCTTTCCTTTGTAAAAACCAGGCAGAATCACATGTCGGATAACAAATTGAAGTCACTGGTCGTTGGCACAAGTGTGTGCACACACCCTCCTGAGGTCCTCCCACTCCCTCTGACAGGCTCGGCGTTCAGCTCTTGGCAGAGAGCAAGATGGAGTCAGTTGGAGGCGAGGTTAATTGGGGATACTCTGTCTTCATCTTTTTAGTTTTTCATTGCACCCATTGTTCGCATGACACCATCCAAAATAACTAGATATGAAGAAAGGCCCATCATAATACAGAAGTGACCTTAGCAAAAAAGGTGGAGTGTGATCCCCCAAAATTCGAGATTACATTCTGCTTTTCCAAGATTTAACTGAGGGGGGAATATACCACTGTTGTATCAGCCCTGGAGATGTCACGTGCTTGTCATCACGTCTCAAAGTGCATGGGGCCACAGGTGCAGGGTTGCCCTTGGAATAGGAGTTTCCTCTACGGCATCACTGTCAGTTGCTCTCCCAACGAGGGCCTGAAACCCCTCTAACTGACACCATTACTTAAAAAGTTACCTTCAGCCCTGGCTGGTGTAGCTCAGTGGATTGAACGCGGGCCTGTGAACCAGACAATCGCATTTCGATTCCCAGTCAGGGCACATGCCTGGGTTGCAGGCTGGTTCCCTGCAGGCCAGTTCCCAGCAGGGGACACACAAAAGGCAACCATACATTGATGTTTCTCTCCCTCTCTCCTTCCCTTCCCCTCTAAAGATAAATAAATAAAATTTAAAAAAAAAGTTACCTTCACATTGACCCCACCTGCCTTCTTGGTGCTGTAGATGTGGCAACAAGTCGGGCGGTGACATGCATGCACAGGAAACGGAGCACCTTCTTCTTTGTCCTTGCAGATACAGCGGAGGGTGTCTCTCAGGAGCTCATTTCTGCTGGCCTGGTTGACGGAAGGGATTTAGTCATAGGTAACTCTGTTCTGTTCTGCCCTTATGCCCCTGTGTCTCTGTCTGGTACTCAGGACTAAGAGTACCAGGCTTTGGTTCCATTGAGCATCAGTGGTCCTTGGAATAGTTCTTGATGTGGCCAAAATAATAGGTATTGGGGACCGTCCCTTACAAAAAAGAAAATTGCACTTCTGAGTTCGCTGTGCGACCTCCGGTGACAGTAAGTGAAAGCCCTCTGGGAGAGCTGATGGCAAAAATTCCAAGTTAAAGTAAGTTTGGCCGTGTCTCTTCCATTTTGGAGGATGACCTCTACCCTTGTGGAGCTAAGAGGTAAGCAGAAGTTTTTAAAGACTTCTATAAAAAGCAGGAAGTAAGAGAAGATAGTCAGGCCATACTTACTTATTACTGAGAAAAAAGACCACTGTCTAGGGCAAATCAGTACGGTCTTTCTGCGAGGGCCACATGGTAATTTAGGCTTTGTGGTCACGTGCAGCCTGTGATATTTACCGACCGTTCTTAGCTCAGAGGCAGAACAGAAACAAACCCCGGCCACAGTTCGCTGGCTTTCGGGTCTGAATAGGCAGATTATACCTCTTTAACCTGAGCATCTTTTGTCAGTACAGCATGTAAAAGAAAGTTCATTTGACAATGATTCTAGGTTTATTTGTGCTACTTGGAATTGAGGTTAAAAGATACCATCCTTTGGGGAGTGAGTTACTTTTCTGCCTCCATTTTAATTGTACATAGAAGATTCTAAACTACCATTTAAGTCCTTAAAATGTGGTTGAAAGTGGATTTACTAAGCTTCTCAATTCTTTCTTTCTTTGTATGATTACAGTGGCAGCTAATTTGCAGAAAATTGTGGAAGAACCTCAGTCGAATCGATCTGTCACTTTCAAACTGGTATTTGTCTGGCTCTTCCCCTTACTTTTTACACACCAGCAGCCTTTGCAGACCAGCTTCCATATTCCCTGTGTGATGAGAATTTTAAAGTATCATACATTGTGTTCATCTAGTGCCCCAAGACCCTGGGCTGGAGTCTCCCTTCCTCCGCCCCTCCCAGGCAGCCTCCTACCCGGGGCCCTTGTCCGTTCTCAGGAGAGATTGTAAGCCGATTTGGCTCCCAAATCTGTGCCCAGCCCCCATCCTTTCTGGAAGAGACACCTTTGTCCTCCTCCTATTTGTTTCCCAGGGACCTGTCTCCAACTGCCAGTCTTCCCATAGTCCCCCTTTCAGCTTTACTTGCCACCTGCAATTTGTGTATAAATAGCCACAGCTTCTTATTTTTGTTTGGTTCTTAGGCATCTGGTGTTGAAGGCTCGGACATTCCTGACGACGGTAAACTCATAGGGTTTGCCCAGCTCAGCATCAGCTAAATGACAGCCCTGGAAGAGGAGGCCTCAGGAGAGTCCACACACGCATATCTGTTGCTTCTGTTGGCCTGAACCCACTTCTGCCAAAGAACCCAGCAGCAAGCCTCCCAGCTGGGAGCTTTAGAGGTCTTTCTGTACGTTCTTCCTGCCGCCATTCCCCCCTTTCCCAGAGGGAAAGAAAAGTTGGATCGCCAGTGGCCAGCATCCCTTTTAAAGAGTTCCGTTAGTAAACTCACTGCACACGCCCTGTCTTTTCCTTCGTCTCCGAAGTGGCCCGTGTGCCTCAAGGCCCAGGAGGGAGATCTTCCAGCTCGCCTCGCCTGGCTCGGTGTTGGCACGGCCCCGGGAGGAAAGGAGCGGCTCTCTGGGGCTTCCTCGTGTGGTCTGTTTTCCCACACCCCGACAGGGTGTGGGCGTCTTGGGCTCTCTCTGCACCCCCACTGAAGTAGCGATTAAAAGTCGATTGCTCAGCTGGAGCCCAGAGAATTTAATTTAGCGATTTTTTTTTTTTTTTTTTGTATCTGATGTGAATTCTAGCAGCCTTTGTTAGGAAAAAGCACAGCCTCGGATGGAGGCAGCCCAAACTGTCTTCTGGTTTTGTTCCTGGTGTTTCCTAAGTGTTCTACTGAAGCTGCTCTCGGGCACCCTCGTCACTGCTCCCTCCGGAAAGGGGTGCTAGCCTTAACTTCAGCTGGTGCAAACATCCGACTGTGGTCAGACTCCAGCCATCGGATCCTTCACAGTGGAACTGTGAACTGTTTTTAGAGAACACATTGAGTATTGGCTTGTAAAAGTGAATTTTCTCAGCAGTGGTTTTGGACAGAAAAATCTTAACTCGTATCATTGTAGAAGTTATTTATTTTGAGAATTGAAAAAAATTAAACTGAAGCAAAACCGCTCCTCAGTCCTCCCTTGAAAATCCGTTTGCCTGGCCTCCAAGTCCTGAGGAATCGCAAGGCCGAGATTTCTACAGCAATAAAGGAGGCTCACGCTGGGCTGGCGAGGCCTGCCTCGGCCGCCTGGCCCACACCGGCCCTCGGAGGGCCCTCCCTGTGCTACGCTGCACCCGACCCAAGACGGAAAGGGAAACCACATGTGCCGTGACTTAGGACTTCTGAGTAGACAGTATTCATCCGATTTTCTACAGAAATAATATAAATTATTCTTTAGGTCTTAAAAAAGAGCACTCATAATGCAATATGTGAATAATCAGTGGGTGGTTTTTCCCCTGCTGTCTCACAGTCAGCCTTTGTCCAACTGCAGGTAGCCCTAACACGTGAATGCGAAGGGACCCTCAGTCTGGCCTTAAAACGACATGCGCAGCAGGGCTTTGGCCCGTCGGAGAGGGGGAGCGGCCCCTTCCACGGTGGTGCCGGCCCTTCACGGTGCCGCCGGTTTGTCTGGTTTCCTCTCGGAGCGTCTCCGAAAGCTTCCCCACAGTTGGCTTGTCACACTCTGGTGTCACCCTGAGCTTGTAGTTTCAGTCACGGGCTTACTTCACCTACTCTGGATGCAAAGGCATGTTGGGAAAGGGGTGGATGTCGGGCAGTAGGAGAGGGGACGGGTCTGAGATGGCGTTGGGGGAAAGCAGGTTAGAGAGGGGATCGGACACCAAAGTCCAAGGTCCCGACAGGATTGTGAGCAGGAGGGAGCCTGCTGGGCCTGGAAAGAGGAAAGGAGGGTGGTCAGGTTGCTGGGGAAAAAAAAAAAACTTAGTTCTTTTCTTTTTTCTTTTCTTTTTTCTTTGGAGGCGGTAGAGGGAACGAGGACAGGGAGGGGGGAAGTTTGAAAAGGAGGTGGTATCCGTTTGGGCCAAGACTAGTGGCTTCACGCATCTGTTTCAGTGTCAGGTGAGCCCGTAATAATCTATGTACAAATCCACGGGGTGTGGCTTCGCTGGTCTAGCCTTCTGTTTGGGGGTGATCTGTAGCTCAGGCTGGGGGTAAGCTGCAGCCCATCCAGTTCAGTCTCCAGCCAGCTGCTACCCTTGAACTGTGGTGGGACAGGCATGGCCGTAGAAGTAAGCTGGGGCTTTCTCTTTCCTTTCAGTCCATTTTTTTGCCCTGTTGGGAATTAGGAGTTGTCACCCAGCGCTAGGACAGTGTTATTTCTTCTGCATGACAGTGGGCTCTCTCTGCTGACTGCACAGGGATGCTGAGAAAATCAGTGAACAGAAACTTCCCGGGTGGGACAGCACGTGACCTATTGAGAGACCTCCTTTCCAGAAGTGGTGGGCGGTTCAGGGCACACTTCTGTCCTGAGGTCCCTAGGAGTCCCTGGTCCCTGGGGTAGGGGCTGACTTTAGCACAAGGTAACATGTGCCGATGCTGTTTGTGAAATGTATGGTCTTTCTAAATGACTGTTGGATTTGTTTGGGGTTTTTTGCTTAAGTTTTGAACCAAGTCCTAGAGCCAGCTGATAACTATTTAATAACCTGGAGGATGGAATAATGGTGTATCACTAAATGGAGGTTCCTCCCTATGACATATGCTAGATTATGGAAGATGTAAAATACTTGACGACTCCCCCTATTTTGACTTTGTATTTTGCTGCATGTTTTCTTCATTTTTAATCAATAAAGAGTAAATTGTCTGGTGGTGTAAGGAATGTTTACTTCAGTGGGGGGTAGTGGGAGTGGGGCAGGGAGTCACTACTGTAAAGTTTAATTTTTCATGCAAATACAGAAAAGCCAAAGTGTACATAAATTTTTTTTTTTTAAAGTGTGTGTGATCAGCAAATCCGAACAGCTTACAGTCGTTTTACGAACAGGGAATGGCAATCCCAAAAGGGGGCAGAGAGAGAATCTGCCCAAGGAAATTTGACAGGGCAGGATAGAGAGCTGCCTGTATTGATCTTTTCTGATTGACTCTGCTTGTGGATGGGGCAGGGGAGAGACGTTTGATTCAAGCTCTCGGGAGTTCCTTTTGGAAAGTTCAGAGCAGGACTGAGCTTGTCTAATTTGGCTTTGATATTGCAATGGTGAGGTTTCACGGAAGATTCTAGGCCCCCATGTCTTCGTCCATCTTCTGGGCAAGTCAATGTCTGATCATAATTCCTTCCCAACAGAAGGTGACCTTTGACTGACAAGAGGACTGCCAGTGGTTCTTGGTAATCCAGAGCTCAAGTCCTGGAGCTCTGGAATTGGCACTATCAGATCTGATGGATTTGTTCTTTTTAAAAAAATTTTTTTAATTTTATTGATTATGCCATTATAGTTGTTCTATTCCCCCCCTTCATTCCCCTCCACCCTGCACCCCCCGCCCCCACCATTCCCCCCGTTAGTTTATGACCATGTGTCTCAAGTTCTTTAGATTCTATATTTCCCATACTATTCTTGCCCTCCCCCCATCTGTCTTCTACCTACCGTCTATGCTACTTATTTTCTGTACCTTCTCCCCCTTCTCCTCCTCCCACTCCCCTGTTGCTAACCCTCCATGAGATCTTCATTTCTATGGTTCTGCTCCTGATCTAGCTGTCCTTTTAGTTTGCTTTTGTTTTAGGTATGGTTGTTAATAACTGTGAGTTTGCTGTCCTTTCACTGTTCATCTTTTTTATCTTCTTTTTCTTAGATAAGTCCCTTTAACATTTCATATAATAAGGGCTTGGTGATGATGAACTCCTTGAATTTGATCTTATCTGAGAAGCACTTTATCTGTCCTTCCATTCTAAATGAAAGTTTTGCTGGATAGAGTAGTCTTGGATGTAGGTCTTTGGATTTCATGACTTGGAATACCTCTTTCCAGCCCCTTCTTGCCTGTAAGGTCTCTTTTGAGAAATCAGCTGACAGTCTTATGGGAAGTCCTTTGTAGGTGACTGTCCCCTTATCTCTTGCTGCTTCTAAGATTCTCTCCTTCATTTTAATCTTGGCTAATGTAATGATGATGTGCCTTGGTGTGTTCCTTCTTGGGTCCAACTCCTTTGGGACTCTCTGAGCTTCCCGGATTTCCTGGAAGTCTATTGCCTTTGCCAGATTGGGGAAATTCTCCTTCATTATTTGTTCAAATAAGTTTTCCACTGGTGGCTGTTCCTTTCCCCCTTCTGGTACCTCTATAATTCGGAATTTGGAGTGTTTAGAGATGTCCTGGAGGTTCCTAAGTCTCCTCATTTTTTTGAATTCTTGTTTCTACATTCTTTCCTGTTGGTCATTTTTTTTTCTTCCTTCTGGTTCACTCCCTTGATTTGAGTCCCAGTTTCCTTTTCATCACTATTGGTTTCCTGTGCATTTCCATTCATTTCAATTAGTTTAGCCTTCATATGTTCCTCTAATTTGTGACTAAAATCCACCAGTTCTGTGAGCATCCTGATCACCAGTGTTTTGAGCTGTGTATCCGAAAGTTTTGCTATTTCTTCATCGCTTAGAGTTATGGGCTCTGGGGCTTTGAGATCTTCTTGAGCCATTTTTGGTCTGTTCACGCCCTTTAAGTATGAGGAGCGGAGCCTTAGGTGTTCACCAGGGCGGGGCCGCCCAGATCGCTGGGTTGTGACACTGTATATGGGGGCGGGGTCAGAGCGGGGAAATGGCCGCCCCTCTGCTGCCTCTCACTGCTGGGGCCTGCTCGGTCCCCGTCTCACCGCCCACTCCCTCGCTGGTCTACCAGTGCACCAATGCGCAGTCCACAGTCAACCTGCTGCTCTGCATCCTCGCCGGTCCGCCAGTCCGCTCACTGGGTCCGCCCGTTGCAACCCCACGCCTGGGCTCCGTGAGCCTGAGTTGGTCTGACCGAGTTTTCCTGCTCTGCCAGCTGCTGGCTTCACCCCTCTTACCTGTCAGGCTGAAGAATTTGTTGTTATCAGACTTCCAAAAAATTCAATTTTCTGTGTTCTAGCTGTGTTTTCTGTTGCTAATATTTAGTTGTCTCTAAACTTGGTTGTGTGAGAAAGCACGGCATCTCCACCTATGCCTCCATCTTGGCGGAAGTCCAGAAAACGGATTTGTTCTTAAGATAAAGGTCATAAAGTGGACCCAGACTATTGTGGGGACAGGGGTGGGGGGGTATGCTGGTTATTCAAAAGGGACCGTGGTGTATGCAGGGACAAGGGGACATGCCCATTATCTCTAGCAAGATCTTGTCAAGAGGCCTGATTCCCCAGCTGTACTTCCTTATAGTAACAATGTGCAGTGTAACAGTTTGTGGATCCCTTCTTTGGGTCAGCTCACCTGCCCTTTGATTTTTTCCAAGCAGTTTTAGATCCCTAGCAAAATTGAACAGAATGCAGACAGAGTTCCCATATACCCCCTGAACCTACATGTGCACAGACCTGCCCACTGCTAACATCCCACACCAGAGGAGTACATTTATTGCAGTGGATGAACCTACGCTCATAACCTACACTACCACTCAAAGTCCATAGTTCACATTCAGGTTCATTGTTCCTGCTGTGCATTCTTCAGGTTTGGGCAACTGTATAATGTCATGTATCCCATCATTGTAGTCATACAGAAGGGTTTCACTGCCATAAAATCCTCTCTTCTGCCTGTTCATTCCTCTCTCCCCTCTTGTCCCTGGCAACTGCCAATCCTTTTACTGTCTCCATCCTTTCGCCTTTTCCAGAATGTCTTTCCATGGCTCAACAGCCTGTTTGATTTTAGCACTGAATAACATTTTATGTCTGGATATATTAATCCATTCACTTAATTAGAAGTTTGAGCAGTTATGGATAAAACTGGCATGAACATTCATTTTATGTAGACACAAATTTCTAGCTCTTTTGGGTAAGTACCAAGAAGCCCCGTTGTGGACTGGATAGTAAGAGTGTGCCTAGTTTTGTGAGAAGCACCAGCCATCTTTCAAAGTGGCCGGTGAATGAGAGGTCCTGTTGCTTTACATCCTCGCCTACACTTGGGGGTGTCGGTGTTTTAGATTTTGTTATAATAGATGGGCAGTGGTATCACGTTTGAATTTACAATTCTCTGATGACATGAGCAATTTTTGATATGCTAAATTGCTATCTGAATGTATTCTTCAGTGAGGTATCAGGTCAAAAGCCCATTTTTAGGCAGCTTGTTTGTTTGCTTATTGTTCACTCTTAACAGTTTTTGGCTAAGAGTCCTTTAGCAGATACCTCTTTTGTAAATATTTTTTTCCAGTCTGTGGCATGTTTTCTCATTCTCTTGCAGAGCCAGATGTTTACATTTTAATGAGATCCAGCTAATCAATTATTTCTTTCATGCAGATACTCCGCCTGTGTTATCTTCCGTGAGTTACATCGTGGTCTAGGATCTGTTTTGAGTTAATTTTTGTATGAGGTCTGTGTCTAGATTCAGGGGATTTTTTTTTTTTTTTTTTTTTTGCCTGTGGATGGCCAGTTGTTATCACCGCCATTTATTGAAAAGACTACCCTTTGCTCCATTGTGTTGCCTTTGCTCCTTTGTCGAAGATCAGTTGTATTTCCAGGCTCTCTACTGTGTTCCACTGATGGATTTGTTCTTTTGCTAATGCCATACTGTCTTCAGTATGGTAGCTTTGTAGTGAGTCTTGATGTCAGGACTTGTCAGTCCTCTGACTTCGTTCTTCCTCAGTCTTGTGTTGGCTATTCTGCCTCTTTTGCCTCTCTACATAAACTTTAGAATCAGTTTGTCAGTAATCACAAAATAACTTGGTGGGGTATTGGTTGGGTTTGTGTTTAATTAGTAGATCAGGTTGAGAAGAATTGACATCTGGACAAACTTGAGACTTTCTATCCATGAACATAGAATATCTCTCCATTTATTTAGTTCTTTTTTGTTTTTCTTCGTCAGAACTTCATAGTTTTCCTTAAATAGATCTTGCACATAGTTTATTAGGTTTACAGCAGTATTTCATTTCTGGGTGATAAGGTGATACTGCTTTTAATTTCAAATTCCCCTTGTGTATAGTTGTTACATGCGGAAGTGGGAGCTCGTGTGTATTAACCTTACACACTGCAGCCTTACTCTCGAGTTACTTGTTAGTTCAGGAGCATTATGCTGATGATGCCTTTGGGCTTTTCATATGAATAATCATGTCATCGGCAAATAAGGATAGTTTTTTTTTCTTCCCCATCTATATACCTTTCCTTTCTTTTTCTTGTATCACTGAATTTTGTAGGAGGGTGTCCAGTATGATGTGGAAAAGCATCGGTTAAACTGAATGCTCGGCCTTCTGTAAAGAAGAAGAGCAGCAATGATGAGAGAAGTCCCTGCCTCGTTCTGAGAAGCTGCTGGCTTCTCATTATCAGACACGATGTTAGCTACAGGCTTTTCGTAGCTGTTCTTTACTAAGTTGAGGAGGTTGCCTCTAGTCCTTGTTTGCTGAGAATTTTGATCATGAATGGGTATTGGATTTTGTCAGATGTTTTTTCTGCATTATTGATGTGATCATGTGATGTTTTTTCCCCTTAGGCTGTTGATGTGAAGGATGACATTTAATTTTCAAATGTTGAGCTAGCTTTGCATACCTGGGATAAATCCCACTTGGTCGTGGTGTAAAACTCTTTATGCATTGTTGTATTTAGGTTGCTCATATTTTCTTGAGGGCTTTTGGCATCTTTGTTCATGAGAGATACTATCTGGTTGGGAGTTAGGGGTGGGTGGTGGAGAGGAAAGGGCTCTCCTGCAGGGTCGAGTACCCATACCTCTGCTCTCCACGGTCTGCCCCACCTGGAATGCAAGCCGACGAATGGACAGGCTGCCAGAGGCTGTGCCAGAGAGACTCGGGCACGCCGAATCTGGGCCTTCCCTCGCACAGCCTGACGTCTGCAGGTTCCCTTCACCCGTGTTCCTCTGCCAATCTCTTAAAATGGTTCAAAGTTGAAAATATGAAAAGGCTTTTTCTTTAACCTCACCTGAGGATATATTTATTAATTTGAGACAGAGAGGAAGAGGGGAGGAAGGGAGAGAGAGAAAAACATCAATATGAGAGACAAACATCAATCAGTTGCTTTCTGTACGCACCCCAACTGGGACTTGAACCTGCAGCCTAGGTATGTGCCCTGACCAGGGACCGAACCTACAACCTTGTAGTGTATGGGATGACACCCCAACCAACCGAGCCACCCGGCCAGGGCTATAAGGCTTTCTTATTCATATACAAGCAAATAGGTGAATGTGTGTGTGTGTATATACACATGTATTTTTTTCCTAATGTTCTCTTTAAGTCATCATCCCCAAGCTCCCACAACTGACTAAATGCCACCCAGGGGGAAGATTGCTCTTTGAGATCCTCCCTTTGTTAAGTCCCCAGTCCTATAGGAATCCCAACTCCAGCAAGGTTAGGGGTGGCCACCACCTGGGCTTCCACAGCTGGGGCTTGTGGTAGAGCGACTTTGTCCTGTGTTCTTTTGTTACCATGGAGATTGCCTGGGGTCGCTGGGGCTACTCAGGGTCAGCTGACATTTATTTTTAACCTCGGACTTATCTTTGTGCAACTCATGTCTCCTCTGTACTCTGCACTCTGCACTCTTGAACTGTCTTCGATGCTGAAAAGGAAAGGCGTGTGTGCCCTTGGTGGGTCTCCTGGCCCTCGCACTGCCCTGGGACTGCCCGGTGTCACCTACCATCAGCACCAGGAGCCACAGGAGAAAGATGAGATCGTCAGAGTCAAGAACTGGATTGGTCCACGGGCAGAGTTAATAAGTATAAGGCCTTGCAGCTCTCCTAACACCGCTGGTTGCTAGAAGGGACACTTCTGTGTGCCTTTGGGTATTGCAACTACTCTCAGAATCCGGGTTCTATTGAACTGGGTCTAAATTGTCTAGGGCGTGGCTGTTGTGAGGCTGGGGTGGGGACTGTGTGATGTTTGGGTGAAACTCTGCCCTCTGTGCTGCGCCTGGGAAGGTTCTCTTGGTCTTTGTGATGCCAGCGTGTCTATCACATAGTCAATAAAACATCCTCTGCTTCTACAAGCCGGAGCAGACTCTTTTTCATCCCAGTCTTACCCTGCCAGGAAGCTGAGGTGTGAAGGTGCATCTGAGTTAAACATTAAAGCAGCTATTATTACAGCCAAGAGGAGCGCATAACCCAGGGCCAAGGTGCAGAGCTCCCTGCTCACCTCAGGCTGAGAACGTGGTGACCAGTAGACATGGTTCAATTTTTTCAGGTCCTGGCTGAAATTGGCGACTTCGGTCGCTTTCAGATACAGCTGCTGCTGCTGCTGTTTGTCCCCAACATGCTGTCTGCTTTCTTCACGTTTTCCCAAGTCTTCATGGTCCTGGAGGAGGAGATCCACTACTGTTCAGTGGCGTGGGTCAAGAACCACACCTTGAACCTGACCGCTGCGGAGCAGCTGTCCTTGAGTGTGCCACTGAGTGCTGCAGGCAGCCCTGAGCCCTGCCGCATGTTCCGGCCCCCACCCGACGGTGCCAGCCTGGAGGACATCCTCAGCCACCGCTTCAATGAGACGCAGCCTTGTGACATGGGCTGGGACTATCCTGAACACAGGCCCCTGTCCCTAAAGCGTGAGGTAGGCTGCCTTTTTGGCTGGCTGTCCGCCTATCTCAGGTCTGTCAGTTCCTGGGCCTTATGCTCTGCCCTCTGTCACTGGGGTCACTGCCTCTGTCTTACCCCATGCCCCCTTGCCTGAATGATTGCCCATGGATACGCCTGCTTTTCTTTTTGCTAGTCATCCTGTTTTTCTCTTTGTCTTCTGCCCTCTAGCCCTGTCCATTTTCTGTGGTCTCTCTGTCTACCTGTCCATCTTTGCCTATCATTTTGTCTGTCCTTCTGCGTGTCTGCCCAGTTGCCTGCCTTTCTTCCTGTCCCCTCCTGATTTTCTGTGTGGATGCTTTTCTCTCTTCCATGTTCTCACCTGTCCATCCACTTGCCTTGGTGTTTCAGCCTGCCCTGCATGTGCGCCTCTTTACCAGTCTCCCTTCGTTTTCCTAGTTCTCCTATACCCTCTCCCGCCCCGTCCACTCATCTGCCTTTCTGCTCACCACCCTTGGGCTTCCTATCTTTCACCTTCTCTCTTCCCTTTTATACCTGCTGACCTCTGGGATGCTGGCAGACACCCATGGCTCTAGAACTTGACCTGTTGAATACTGAGCATTTGCTCGTGCTAATACATTCATTTCCTGGAGGGACCTAGACAGATATAGGGAGATTCCCACATCCTCTGTTTCAGGTAAAAAGATGCCTTGGGAAGTACCTAGGCCCACTCTGTTTTATCCTCTGTGCTGGGATGAGGTTCCCCTCACCTTTTTCTCCCATCCCCCCAACACCCCTTCCATCTGGTAGCCATCAAAATGTTCTCTGTGTCTATGAATCTGTTTCTGTTCTGCTTGTTCATGTATTTTGTCTTTTAGGTTCAAATGTTGATAGATATGTATTTATTGCATTTTTATTGTTCATGTTTTTTATCTTGTTTTTCTTTTCTTCTTAATAAGACCCTCTAACATTTTGTTTAATACTGGTTTGGTGATGATGAACGCCTTTTGCTTTTTTCTGGTCTGGGAAGCTCTTTATCTGCCCTTCAAATCTAAATGATAGCTTTGCTGGGTGGAGTAATCTTGGCTGTAGGTCCCTACTTTTCACCACTTTGAATCTTTTCTTGCCAATCCCTTCTGGCCTACAAAGTTTCTGTTGAGAAATCAGCTGACAGTCTTATGAGAACTCCCTTGTAAGTAACTAACTGCTGTTCTCTTGCTGCTTTTAAGATTCTCTCTTTGTCTTTGACCTTTTGCACTTTAATTATGATGTGTCTTGGTGTGCTTGAGTCCATCTTGTTTGGGACTCTCTGTGCTTCCTGAACTTGTATGTCTATTTCCTTCACCAAGTTAGGCACGTTTTCTGTCATTTTTTCAAATAGGTTTTCAATTTCTTGCTCCCTTTCTTTTCCTTCCGACACCTCCATGGTGTGAATGTCAGTATGCTTGAAATTGTCCCAGAGGGCAATTGTTCCTTCCACTATCCTCATTCTTGGGGGTTCTTTTTTCTTCTTGCTGTTTTGATTGGGTGTTTTTTGCTTCTTGATATTCCAAACCACTGATTTGATTCTCGGCTTCTTCAGCTCTAGTATTGATTCCCTGTAAATTGTTCTATTTCAGTTAGTGTATCCTTCATTTCTCACTGGACCTTTTTTATACTGTTGAGGTTCTCACTAAATTCTTTTTTTAAAAAAAGATTTTATTTATTTATCTTTAGAGGGGAAGGGAAGGAGAGAGGGAGAGAAATATCAATGTATGTATGATTGTCTCTTGTGCATCCCCTGCTGGGAACTCGCCTGCAACCCAGGCATGTACCCTAACTGGGAATTGAACTGCGATCCTCTGGTTCACAGGCCCGCGCTCAATCCACTGAGCTACACCAGCCATGGGCCTCACTAAATTTTTTGAGCATCCTTATAACCAGTGTTTTGAAACTCTACATCTAGGAGACGTCTTGTCTCCATTTTGTTTATTTCTTTTTCTGCAGTTTTGTTCTGTTCTTTCTTTGACTCCTCCTTTTGGCAGTCTCTCTATGTTTGTTTCTATGTTTTAGGTAGAGCTGCTACATCTCCTAGGCTTGGTAGAATAGCCTAATGTAGTAGGTGTCCTGTAGGGTCCAGTGGCATAGCCTCCTCCATCACTCAAGCTGGGCACTCCAGGTGCACCTTCCATGTGGGTATGTACACCCTCCTCTTGTAGTTGAGCCTTGGTTGTTTTTGGCACATCAATGACAGGATTTACCTACAGCAGGCCAATTAGCTACAAGGACTCGTTGCAACCACTGACCACCACAGAGGATCAGCTATACAGGGACCCATCCCACAGAGCTGAACTTACTTCAGTGGGGCAATGGTGCCCATTATGTTCACCCCTTGAGGATGTTGCTTGGAGAAGTGGTTGGGTGGTGATGCTTCAACATAATCTGAAGTTGTCCACTGGGTGCACTGGCTCTGGAGCATCCTGGGAGGTACAGACCAAGGTCACCCTCTGCCTGTGTTCTGCCTGGAGCCACCTGGCATGAGCTGCAAAGTGATCTACAGATGGCTGCTACTTGTGCTGGGCTTGGGGGTGACCAGGTGGCAGATGGACAGACAGGTGAGGACCAAGCTGTGAACCAAGGCCAGCTGCTTCTGGGGGACCTAGGATTAGCTGCTTAACCTCTCCTTTCCTTAGGGTAATACTAATAAGTCAAGGATTGTTGTCAGAATTCTATGAGATAATGGACGTAAAGCATTGGGCATAGCATCCCACACAGATGAGGCACTTAAAAGGCATTAGTCACTGTTGCAAAGCTATCTCTCTGAGCTCTGGAGGACAGCTCTCACATCATGTCCCCCCCCCCAAACATTTGTGTATGGAGCTGAGCTGTGTGTAGGGTGCACAGAACTCCCTGAGGGGCCCAGAAACTGGTGGGGTTAGGGGTGATCACATGGACTTACTGTGTGGGCACGTGCCATAGACATGGGTACAGAGCCATATGGGCACTTGTGTTTCTGCCAGGGGGTTCCTCATCTGTCCGTTGGGTCCTCTCTGTATGTCTCCAAGTGCGTTGCCCCCCCCCCAACCCCTGCTCTGACACCACCACCGTGTTTGTGTGCACACATATACTCTGTCCTAACTAACCTTCCTCAAGGCATGTATGAGGGTCCCTTAGTATTCTGATTGCCTCTGAATGGTGACTCTCAGGGGGATTTCGCTTGCAGGTGTGAAAACTTGGGAGGCCCAGGTGGGTGACGGGGGTTTCCTGGCTGTGGGGGAGAAGCCCCATTTTTGCTAGGGAGCAGAATTCTGGCTCTGTTGGAGGTCCTTAATCTCAGCACCCTTAGTGTGTCTGTTACTTTTCATGGCCTCTCCAGGACGTGTGAAAGAAACATGTCACGGCTTTATGTGTGAGGGCTGTCTCACTCTGCAAACAATATAAGCATTTATGTCCTCACAATGTAATAGCTGTTTACAAAAATAAGACACATAAATTGAAAGAACACATTTTTATTTCATTATTTTTTTGAATTTATTTATTTTTGAGATTTTATTTATTTTTAGAGGGGAAGGGAAGGAGAGAAGGAGAGAAATATCAATGTATGGTTGCCTCTCATGCGTCCCCTGCTGGGAACTGGCCTGCAACCCAGGCGCGTACCCTGAGTGGGAGTCAAACCATGATCCTCTGGTTCGCAGGCCCGCGCTCAATCCTCTGAGCCACACCAGCCAGGGCCTGAATTGATTTTCATTGTCTTTTTCCATGACTATTTGTCCCCCTGTATCCTCCTCTACCTCCACCCACCCCTCCCTGCTACCCCATATTTCATTCTTAAGTAAATCCAATGAACAGAATGCATGCACCTATTGGGAATGACACGACTTCTCAGTCCTTAAATGCCACCACCCTCATGTTCTGGTCCACGTCGATTTCTCACGGTTCTTGCTTCTTTTCACAGCAACTGCCAAAAATACAACTTCCCGCAGAGCCGACGTCACTGAAAGTAGCATGAACTCATGCCGAAACAACTAGCAGTAGTTCCCGAGCTAGTAGATCTCAAGCTAGTAGATCCCAAGCTAGTAGTAGTTCATGTGATAGCAGACAGAGGTTGCGTATTGGCTGTATTTTCCTTCAGTATTTTAAATACCATGCTGTGCCCCAGAAGTTCACTCTGGTTCCCTGGGCCAACTCGGCACACAGTTTGTGAACGGAGGGTAGCTGCCCTGGGAAGTCTATGGCGGGTGGCCTAGGCGACAAAGGACTGGCCCCCAGCTGCCCCTAGACTCACATCTGCCTACGTCTGCCTCAGTTCAACCTGGTGTGTGGCCGGAAGCACCTGAAGGAGACCTCACAGTCGGTGTATATGGCGGGGCTCCTCGTCGGTGCCCTGGTCTTCGGGCCCCTCTGTGACTGGTAGGAACCTCGACCAAGCTCATCCCTTACCCAGCGTGTTCTTGGGCGTCCGGCACAGGGCTGAGTTTCTCCCTCGTGTGTGGCTCCTTGGGTAGGGCCCTGTGTCCTCCCTCCCACAGGGATCCCAGGGCTGGGCTGGTCTCCTTCCTCCTTCCCCTCCTGGACTGTCCCCTTTTCACTTCAGGATTGGTCGCAAAGCTAGCGCCCTGATACAGCTGCTGATGTTCGCCCTCATTGGCCTGGGCCTGGCCTTTGTGCCCAGCTTTGATCTCTACCTGGTCATGCGCTTTGCTGTGGCCACTGCCGCCGCTGGATATGCCATAACCAGTGCCAGCTTAAGTGAGTATCTGGTGCTGAAGCTTTCGGCCACAGGGTGAGGCCCTGGGGACTGACCTCATTCCCCAGGCTGCCTGAGGGGGCCTGGTCAGGTACCCACACCTAGGGTGGTCACACCTATGCTTCCTGGGCTGGGACCACCAACAGGGTGACTTCTCGGGACACAGGGCATGAGAGGGCAGGGCCTGGCCCAGTCTCAGCCTCTCTGTCTGCAGCTGCAGAGTGGGTGGGGCCTTCTCGGCGGACTCAGGCCATGGTCCTGTGCCTTTGCGGCTTCTCCATCGGGCAGATGGTCCTCTCGGGACTCGCCTATGGCATCCGCAACTGGAGGCTCTTCCAGATCGCCAGCACTGCACCCGTCTTGCTGCTCTTCTTCTACTTCTGGTGAGGAGCTACTTCCTGGAGCCAGCCGCCCTGGGTTAGCTGTGCTCCCATGGGCATGTGGTGCTGCCCCCACGTTCTCCTCATGGGACCCGCAGAGATGTGTCTGGGAGAGGGAGCCTGCTAGGGCTATGGGGCTCCACGTGCCCTGGGATGGCCGGGAAGGCTCCTGGGGGTCTGGGGGGCCTGTAGGACGCCCTGCCCCCAGGCACAGCCATTCCTGACCTGCAGGGTTCTGCCAGAATCTGCCCGGTGGCTCCTGATCCAGGGCAGGCTTGAGGAGGCTAAACGAGTGATCCAGAAGGCGGCCTCAGTCAATGGGCGGAAACTCTCCCCAGAGCTGCTGAACCAGGTACTTAGGGCCAGGGACCCTGCGTACCCCCTAACCTGACTCCCACGGACCACTCGGCCCCTCACACGGCGTCTTCCTCCCAGCTGGGCCTAGAGAAGACAGGCCCCTCAGGGAATGCCTTGGATCTGTTCAGACACCCCCAGCTCCGGAAGGTGACCCTGATTCTCTTCTTTATCTGGTGAGGGCACTGGGACCCCAGCCCCCCCTGAGGCCGCAGCCAAGGGCTGCTCCTTCCCTGGTGTGTGTCAGTGGGATATGAAGGTCAGTGGTGGCCCTCTGGCTGGGAGGGGCTGTGTGGGAATGACTGGGTGTCTCCGTGACTGTGCTACCATCTCCTGTTGTGACTTCTGGCCAAGCCGGGCTCTCTCTGAGTGGTGGTCTCATCACCCAGAGTGACAGGGACCCTTGGATATTTTGTAGGTTTGTGGACAGTCTGGGATACTATGGCCTGAGCCTCCAAGTGGGGAACTTTGGCCTGGACATCTACCTGACCCAGCTAATTTTTGGAGCAGTGGAGGTACCTGCCCGCTACTTCGGCGCCTTCATTATGCAGAAGTTTGGCCGCAGGTGGAGCCAGCTGGGGACTCTGGTCATGGGTGGCCTCATATGTATCACCATCATCTTCATCCCAGCAGGTACCAGGGCCTGGCTCTCCCCTGTTCCCGCCCACCCTCACTCACCTGTGGCCCGTTGCTTCTCTTTCCTGAGGGAGGGCTTCCCTGGGGTTTGGGTACAGAAAGGGTGCGGAGTCTCGGGGGACCGGGCGGGGAGCAGGGCCCAGGTGATGGGACCATCTGCCCTCTGTGTGGCTGACAAGCATCCTCCAGCAGATCTGCCCACAGTGAGCACCGTGCTGGCCATTTCGGGGAAGTTCGCCACCACCGCTGGGTTCACGATCTCCTACGTCTACACTGCTGAGCTCTTCCCCACGATCATCAGGTAGGGGCTGCTGGTGCGGCTCCTGCTCCCTGGCCACCCCTCCTCCTCCCTCACTGCCCGTCCACAACTGGCTTGCGAGGCTGGCTCTGGGGCAGTGGTGCTGGCTGGGGTCCAGCACCCCAGCGCAGTCCAAACCCCAAGTGGTCCAGAGGCTGGCGGAGGACAGGCAGGGAGGTGGGCCCTGCCCTGGCCATGTCGGGACTGGAATATGGAATAAGTCTAAGAGTGGGCAGCTCAGGAGGAGCCGTCGGGGTGGTGGGGTGGTGGCAGGAGCAGGAGAGCAGCCAGCTGACCAAGAGGCCTGGGGGCAGCAGGAGCAGGGCCCTCCGTTGGATTCTCAGGGGTTCAATATGCAGGAGGAAGGCAGAGTGGGCTGGATGAGCCAGGGGGCCCTGCCGTAACTGTGGGGCCATAACTAGGGGTCTTCTCCTAATGGGGTGTGCGTCGGCAGCACTGTGGCCCGGACAGAGGCCAAGCCTGCTCAGCTGACACTGGCCTCCCCCCAGGCAGACAGGCATGGGGCTGGTGGCCATCTTCTCAAGGATCGGGGGCATCCTCACGCCCTTGGTGATGCTGCTGCGTGACTTCCACAAGGCCCTCCCTATGGTCATTTACGGCAGCCTCCCCATCGGGGCAGGCGTGCTCTGTTTGTTGTTGCCTGAGACACGTGGCCAGGCCATGAAGGATACCATCCAGGACCTGGAGCAGGGGCCCCGCCCACGGTGAGCTGCTGGTTTTCTCTGAAGCCCAGGGCCCTGACTTCACATCAGTAGTCCCTGTGTCAGAAGCCCAAGCCTCTACCACACCATTTGCCCACCGTCACTTAGAGACCAATGTGGGGCATTTTAGGACCCCAGACATCTGACTGGTGTTGTGTTAGATTCCGCCGCCTCTGGGGGGTGGTGAGGGACACTCCTATGGGACCAGTTCCTGGTCAGCCAGTGATGGCTTTTTGTTCCCTTTAGGGCTCTGGAGGTAGAGCCCCCAGAAAATGAAGCCTCAGGAAGAACGTCCAGCCCAGGGGTGGCTGTTGTGAACAGCATGTACTTCTGATTTCATTCCCCTGGACACGGGTGGGACCTGTGCGCAAGACCAGCTTTGCTGACGGAGGCGACACGCGGGGTCTTCACTCCAGCACCAGCGCCAACTGACAGGCCCACACCCAGAAACGGCTGGGACAGTGCTTCTCTCCGTCCACTGCCTTCCGTATCCCCAGAGCCCCACCCCCACCCCCACCCCCTCTTCTGGGTTAGGCTCTTGGTCTTGACTTCTCCGATGGTCTTGTGGGGGGTCTGGCTCCCTGATCCCCTCAGTCTGGGGTCTGCCTGCCCTGTAAACGCAGTCAAACCCAGAACACCTAGGCAGGGCCTTTCTAAGTGTGCTCAGTAGGAGGAGAAAATGGGAAGCCTCTCTTTCCGGGTGGGAGGATGAAAAGGCTGTGGATCAGGAGAGGCGGCGGTTCCTTCTAGGGGCAGCACCAGGCCCCTCTGGCTAAGGCGGGGATCCCACAGGACATTTGAGCCTGCTGAGAGAAGACTCTATGTCCAGGGGAAATCAAAGCTTCAGTCTTGCATTCTCTCCAAAGATCCTCCATTCCACCATCCGCACTCAGCTCCCACCTAACCTGTGTGGCTCGGGGACTGTGCGGAGGTGGGCTCTGCTCCTCTCTGTGTCCCCTTCCCCCTTTGATGGTCTGATGCTTCTGGCTCCTAAAGGGCCCAGACAAGGTGAGGGGGAAGAATAGAGAGGTCTTCGGCTTGGCTGCTGCCAGATGTAGCTCCTTCCAGGCCGTGCTCGCTAATCGTGCGTGTGCCCCAGCGGCATCCGGAAGTCTGCTCTTCCACGGGCGTGTCTGTGGCTGACCGGCTCTCTTGTGTTCTTCCCCAATTTAACCAATGTACTCGTGCTGATCTCTCCAGTGCCTGCTCCCCCTGCTGGCACACCCTATCCTACAGGACAGCCCTCAGGTGTGGTCCCTCAGGCCAGCCCACCTTGCCCAGCAGCTGCTCCCACCGCCTGCCTCCAGCGCACACAGCCTCACCCACCTAAAGCTACCTGCTTCGTGGTTGTCCCTTCCACTCCAGCTCCTGCCACCAGTTTGGGAAAAGTTCTCTCCACTTCCAACACCCCCAAAATATCTGGCGGATGACCAAACAAGTGAAGGACACCCCATTCTCTGACCACCGCATCCCAGCCTTGTGAATCTTTGCTCATCAGCCCCACCTGCCTTGGCCTGCCCAGGCTGCAATAACAGTACCATCAATTGGTGCCTTTCACCAGTAGTTTATTTTTCTCCTAGTTCCAGAGGCTGGAAGTCCAAGATCAGGGTGCCAGCAGGGCCAGGTTCTGATGAGGACCCCCTTCTTGATTGCAGATGGCCACCTCCTCACGGTGCCCTCACGGGGTCTTCCCTCTGGGTGCAGGTAGACGGAGATCTCACTTCTTCTTGGAAAGCCACCAAGCTCATCATGAAGGCTGCACCCTTGTGACCTCAGCTAACCCAAACTACCTCCCCAAGGCCCACTGCTGAATATCACTGGGGGTTAGGGCTTCGACATTAACATTTGGGAGACTCCGGTAGGACATAAGCTCTCGGTCCATGACGCCAGCATTAGCCTCCCTGGGCCCCATGGCCTGTGGACCTCATTACTGCCTCCCACCAGCGTCCTCCGATTTGAGGGTATGAGCCATCATTTGCATATCTAGTGAGAGATGGAGGTCCTTTCCCTCGGTTGCCAACACCCTGAACTTTATCCTTTCCATCCTTTGGTCATACTCCAACTTACAAACCCATAGCAGCCTAAGAGCCCAAACATCTGCCTTCTCTCCCCCTGCACCCCAGGCCACTGGGCACTGCTGGGCACTGCTGGAGAGGGTCTCCTGGCCATTGCATCTGTTCTGGGAACCAGCAGTCACCAGTCTCCGCTGGGCCTTTAGCTGCACCCGGCACTCTCACCTCAGCTTGTTTGCCAAAGCTCACCAGGGGCTTCTTCTCGCCGCCTCTCTGCATCCCTTCCTTCTCTCTCCTACCAGGGAGCTTCTCCTCCTGCTTTCAGAGAAGGAGAAGCCATTCAGTGGCAGCTCCCAAGCTGCTCAGTGCCTCTGCTGCCTTCTCCCCTTCTGCTGCACCGAGTTGGCCGTGCAGCCACCGGGGGCCAGCCCGAAGCAGCTCTGCTCTCACCTCTGCCCCCAGATCCAAGAGCAGCCGAAGGCAGGGCCTGTTGCCCCTCTGACTCTCCTGCCCACCCCCTACCTTAGACATGGGGACTGAGGATGGGTCAGTAGTGTCTGGACAGATAGAAGGCCTTCCCTCAGTGGAGGTGCGACCCTTCGGGGGAAGACAGGTGCTTCCCGGTGCCAGGAATCGTCTGCACAAAGGCATGCGGCTGGCTTATGGGACTCTCCCTGCCTGCCTTGTCCCATTCTGTCCCAAAGGTCTGCGGCCAGTTGGGCATCTGGAGTAGAATGTCGCTCCTCACCATTCCTACCCCACCCCAGGCCCTCCCTGCCCCATTGTGACACAGCTTCCTGGCCACCAGTGGAACCCAAATATTCTGTTACCAACAGTCTGGCTGAGCCTGGATGGTGGTCAGGTGGGCCCTGGCTCTGGTTCGTGGGAGGGTGTGGAGGGTGGCAGTTTGGAAGACACTTGCCAACTGAGGGGCCGCTAGACCACGGGGAGTCTGTGGGAGGCACAGTCTGCCCTCATAGGAACAGTGAGTTCTCCGCGTGGCACCAGCCCTTTCCTGCCTGCAGATGGAGTGGGGCTCCTGGCTAGCCCTCCCTTTCCCAGACCTCAGTGTCCTCTTTTGTACTTGAGAACCAGTCACCTGGGGCCTGTCCACCTGGCAGGGGATCTGTGAGATCACGTAGAGGGAGCAAGCACTCCAGGGCCTTGCAGACTGCTAGACTCTGCAGGTGTACAGGCGCTGCTGGGGGCGTGCTGGGGGAGCCCTATGGGGCCAGGCGGGACAGTCGGAAGCCAATCTGTGAGGAGAGCAAAGGTTTCCACCCTCCCTCCCTCCCTCCCTCCCTCCCTCCCTCCCTCCCTCCCTCCCTCCCTCCCTCCCCGGGAAGTCTCCTCTATCCGCCGCCACCCCTCCAACCATACACACAGGTACACTGCATTCACTTCCTGCTGCTGCTGTAGCAAATGACTGCCAACTCAGTGGCTTACAACACCACAGTTGTATTACATCTCACTTCTGGAGGTCAGAATGGGTCTCCCTGGGCTAACGTCAAGATGTCAGGAGGGCCACATTCCTTTCTGGAGCCTCTGGGGTGGGGAAATCCATTGTCTTGCCTTTTCTGGCTTCTAGAGGCTGCCTGCATTCTTTGGCTCATGGTCCCTTCCCATCTTCAAAGCCTGCAATGGCCTGTCAGGTCTTAATGGATGTAGCTGAAATGTATTCCTTTTTCATTGCTGTATTGTATTCTGCTATGTAAATATACCAGTTTTTCCATTCTTCTGTAAATGTGCATTTGAGTTCTTTTTTAAAAAAAAAAATTTGAAGTGTGTTGTCATCACTGTTTTGGTATTTATTGCCAGGGTCGTATGTAGAAATGTTTTTCCAGAATATATACTTGGGGGTAGAGTTGCTGGGTTACAAGGCATGCAAATATTCAATTTTATAAGACAATGCCAAGTTGTTTTCCAATGTGGAGCTAAGCATAATCCTTCCAGAAATGTATGAAAGATAGAGTCTCTCCAACACTTGGTATTGTCAGACTTCTTAAGTTGTGTGCATCAATTGAATATTAATATCTAATTAAGGTCTTGATTTGCAAATTCCTCTTTACTAAAAATATTGAGCATCTCTTCATATGTTTGTGGGCGCATTAATTTCCTCTTCTCGAAATGCCCATTCATGTGGGCATTTTTCTTATTTCTTCTTCTTCTTCTTCTTCTTCTTCTTCTTCTTCTTCTTCTTCTTATTCTTATTCTTATTATTATATTAATCTTCATCCAAAGACCTGCTTATTAATTTTAGAGAGAGGAGAGGGGAAGGGGAGAAACATCAATGTGAGAGCAAAACACTGATTGGTTGCTTTTCGTACATGCTCTGACTAGGGACCGAACCTGCAACCCAGGCATGTGCCCTGACTGGGAATCCAACTGGCAACCTTTTGCTTTGTAGGACAATGCTCAACCAACTGAGCCACACAAATTGAGTCCTCAATTTTTTGAGGACCCTCTATGTCAATCGCAGAGGCTGCACCCATTTATATTCCCACCAGATGTGCATAAGGGTTTCTCTTTTCTCTACATCCTCAGCCCACTTCCCTCCTGCCTTTTTGATGAGAGCTATTCTGATTTGTGTGAGATGATATCTTAGTGTGGTTTTGATTTGCATTTCTCTGTTGATTAATAATGATGTTGAGCAGCTTTTTATGTACTTGGTGGCCATTTGTATGTCTTCTTTGGAAAAGTATCTATTCAGTCCCTCTGTCCATTTTTACACTGAATTATTTGTGGGTTTTTGTTATTGAGTCCTATGAGTTATTTCATTTTTGCTGTTTTTTAAGGGTACCATTCAGAGGCATCACAGTGTGAAATTATCCGTCTGCAGAATTTTTGCATCTTCCCCAAGGGAACTCTGTACCATTAAACGATAACCCCCCATTCTCCCCTCTCTCCAGTCCCTGGCAACCACCAGGCTGCTTTCTGCCTCTGAATTTGATTACTCCAGTTCTCTCATAAAAGCGAGAACATACAACGTTTGTCCTTTTGGGACTGGCTTATTTCACTGAATGCAAGGTTCTCAAGGGTCATCCTCATAGCACGTATCAGAATTTCATCCTTTTTAAAGGCTGAATAATATTCCATCACATGTATACACCACATTTTGCTTTCCTCTTCACCCATGATGGCCACTTGGGTTGCTTTTGCCTTTTGGCTGTTGTGAATAGTGCCGCTGTGAAGCTTGCTGCACAACTATCTGTTTGAATTTCTGCTTTCGGCTAGTTGGGGCTCACAGCCAGAAGAATTGCTGGATCCAATAGTAACTCTGTTTTTTGTTTTTCAAGGATCTGCCACAGAGGGGCTGCACTATTCTCTATTCTCATCAGTAATGAGCAAGGGTTCCAATTTCTCCACTTTCTCGCCAACATTTGTTATTTTCGGGAGTTTTTTTAAAAATGCAGTATCAGCCATCCTAATGGATGTCTCATACATGTTTGTAAAATTTGTTCCAAGTTCATATTCTCTTAATATTGTAAATGGTGTCTTTTTTTCAATTCCCCTGTTTTAAAAACTCTTTTTAAATTTTCAAAACCATTTTTTAAAATTTATTTATAGAGAGTGATGAAATCAGCTGCCTCTCACACATCCCCAGCTGGGAACCTGACCCAGAACCCAGCCACATGCCCTGACTGGGAATTGAACTGATGGCCTTTTGGTTCCCAGTCCAGTGTACAATCCACTGAGCCACACTAGCTAGGGCAAAAAATCTTTTAAATTCTAAAAATTATTTGAGTGACCAAAAAAGTTGCAAAAATAGTACAGTTATCTCTCCTTATCTGCAAAGGATACATCCCAAGACCCCTCCCAGGCGATGCCTGAAACTGGGGAGAGTACCAAACCCTGTACATACTGATTTTTCTTCTACATGCACATCTATAATAAGGTTTATGACTTTTATTTTTTTAAATATATTTTATTAATTATGCCATTACAGTTGTTCTATTTCCCCCCTTCATTCCCCTCCACCCTGCACACCCCTCCCCCACCATTCCCCCCTTTAGTTTATGACCATGTGTCTCAAGTTCTTTAGATTCTATATTTCCCATACTATTCTTACCCCCCATCTATTTCATATCTACTGTCAATACTACTTATTTTCTGTACCTTCTCCCCCCTTCTCCTCCTCCCACTCCCCTGTTGCTAACCCTCCATGTGATCTTCATTTCTATGGTTCTGCTCCTGACCTAGCTGTCCTCTTAGTTTGCTTTTGTTTTAGGTGTGGTTGTTAATAACTGTGAGTTTGCTGTCCTTTCACTGTTCATCTTTTTCATCTTCTTTTTCTTAGATTAGTCCCTTGAACATTTCATATAATAAGGGCTTGGTGATGATGAACTCCTTGAATTTGATCTTATCTGAGAAGCACTTTATCTGTCCTTCCATTCTAAATGAAAGCTTTACTGGATAGAGCAATCTTGGATGTAGGTCTTTGGATTTCAAGACTTGGAATACTTCTTTCCAGCCCCTTCTTGCCTGAAAGGTCTCTTTTGAGAAATCAGCTGACAGTCTGATGGGAAGTCCTTTGTAGGTGACTGTCCCCTTATCTCTTGCTGCTTCTAGGATTCTCTCCTTCATTTTAATCTTGGCTAATGTAATGATGATGTGCCTTGGTGTATTCCTTCTTGGGTCCAACTCCTTTGGGACTCTCTGAGCTTCCTGGATTTCCTGGAAGTCTATTGCCTTTGCCAGATTAGGGAAGTTCTCCTTTATTATTTGTTCAAATAAGTTTTCCACTGGTGGCTGTTCCTCTTCCCCTTCTGGTACCTCTATAATTTGGATGTTGGAGCATTTAAAGATGTCCTGAAGGTTCCTAAGCCTGTCCTCCCTTTTTTGAATTCTTGTTTCTTCATCCTTTTCTGTTTGGTCATTTTTTTCTTCCTTCTGGTCCACTCCCTTAATTTGAGTCCCAATTTCCTTTCCATTACTATTGGTTTCCTGTGCATTTCCATTCATTTCAATTAGTTTAACCTTCATATGTTCCTTTAATTTGTGACTAAAATCCACCAGTTCTGTGAGCATCCTGATCACCAGTGTTTTGAACTGTGCATCTGAAAGTTTGGCTATTTCTTAATCGCTTAGATTTATCGGCTCTGAGGCTCTGAGTTGTTCTTGAGCCATGTTTTGATCTGTTCTCGCCCTTTAAGTATGAGGAGCGGAGGCTTAGGTGTTCACCAGGGCGGGGCCACCCAGGTCGCTGGTTTGTGACGCTGTATGTCGGGGCGGGGTCAGAGAGGGACAATAGTGGTCCCCTCTGCTGCTTCCTGCCAGTGGGGCCCGTGCGGTTCGTCTCACTGATTGCCTCTGCACTGGTTTATCTGTGGGCGAATGTGTGGCCGTGATCAGCTCTCAGTGAGCCCACCGCCTTTCGCCCTCAGTGAGTCTGCCTGCTTCTCCACACCTGGGATCTGCCTACAGCTGCCTGCATGCCTGGGTCGCGTGCTCAGGTCTGTCCAGTGGATCTTTCCTGCCCAACTCCACTCTGCTGCTGGCTCTGCCCCTCTTACCAGTTTGGCTGAAGGGTTCATTGTTGTCAGACTTCCATGTAGTTCAATTTTCTGTGGGTTGGCTGCGTTTTTGTTGCTAAAACTTTGTTGTTTTTAAAGTTTGTTGTGTGAGAAGGCGCAGTACTTCCATCTATCCCTCCATCTTGGCAGAAGTCTCGGTTTATGACTTTTCTTTGGTGTATCTGAATTGCCAGCATCACTATTCTTGTGCTTTGGGGCCATTGTTAAGTAAAACAATGGTTACTCAAACATAAGCACCGCAATACCAGGTGATCTGAAAACCAAAATGGCTACTCAGTGACTGTATACGCCATGGAGACCCCAGATGAAGGAGTGATTCACCAGGCAAGAAGGAACTGTAAGCCATGGAATATCCTGGTTGAAGTGGTATCTGCCCAGTGTCTTCTTTTTTTTTTTCTTTTAAAGATTTTATTTATTATCTTTTGAGGGGAAGGAGAGAGGGAGAGAAATATTAATGTGTGGTTGCCTCTTGTGCATCCTTTGCTGGGAACTGGCCTGCAACCCAGGCATGTGCCCTGACTGGGAATCGAACCGCAATCCTTTGGTTCACAGGCCCACGCTCAATCCACTGAGCTATACCAGCCAGGGCTTGGCCAGTGCCTTCTTTATATGTGTTCCCTTTGTAATTGAACAGCATCTTGTGGGGAGGTACTCTGAGACTGTGCAAATATCTGCTTCTCCTATTTCCATCCTTCCTTCCCTGTTTATTAATTAGGATTCTACAGTGAGGAAGAACAGCCCCTTTATTCCTGTTTATTTACCTAGTTATTTGTTCATATCGCATGAATTCAGATGTATTTGTTCTATGGGTTATTCATTACTATCATTATTTATTTTGTTGTCAAAATTGTTCCAGATTTGATCACTAGGGACTCCTGTTTGGTTCCCATGTCCTTTTGACATGTCCCTGTCATGTTGGGGACTCTTCCTTACTTTTTGGTACCATAAGACACTCCAAACTCATCTTGCCCTTTCCCCTGAATCCACCCCTCCTCCAAAGAACCCTGGTTCTTTTACCCACAAACCAAGATCTGAGTACTAGGTGCCTCACTACTATGAAAGTGTCGTTGCTTTTAAGGCCATCTCAGTGGACAGAGATGGGAAATACAGGGGCTGGCAGAAGTAATGCCCTCATGAGAGTGGTCAGTAGGGTGAAACTATGGGTGTAATATAGTTTTAATTGAACCACTTACCTAAAATGTCACATGGTGTCCTTGAGTGTGATATTGTTATGTCGTAGAATTACATGCTTATGACTTGGTAATAAAAGATTTTGTAGTAAAAAAGGGGGAGGCACTATTTGTCCCGGACCCCGGATACCTACATGCATCTGTATCGATGGAAAATTGTGAATTCAGCCTCAATCTACTCTGTCATTTCTGTTGACTCAGAAGGGCTTGCTTCCTCCTGTGCATGACAGTCTTTGCTTTGAGCTCTTTGCCTGATTGTAATCTCTCAGAGCCTCCCAGGCTTTGTTTGCAGAGGTTTCCTTTCAGGGTAGGCTTGCTTCTGCTGGCAGCCAAGAAATGCCCTTTCTCGGGACCCCTGCAGCCCTGCCGAGGGTTTCACCTTAAAACAGAGTTTTTGAAGCTTAGTTTCCGCTCCCACCCCACCCCTTGCTTCTGTTTTGAGGTGGTATCCTGGCCGTCACTGTGGCTACCTTACTCCTCCCTTACCTGCCTCTGCTCCAGCCCCACGCTGTGTGTCGTCCCACCATTTCGGTGGCTCTGGCTCCTACCTCTGTGGCCAGGGCTTTCAGCCACCCACCTTAGCCTTGGTTCCTGGCCACTCCTGATCCAGATTGGGAGGCTGGGGGGGTTGTTTGTTTGTTTGTTTGTTTGCAAAGAACATTCTCTGGAGAACTCTCCTTTTGCAAGTCTGGTGGTACCTTGGTGTGGGTGTGCAAGGGAAGTTTCTGTTGCGGGGAAATTGTAGGAGAACGCCTCGGCACTCAGCACAGCATTTTCTGAAACATTAAGAAATCGGAACGGGTGGGCCAATGGGGGACAAGTTATGTTAACTGAGAAGTTTTAGAAGTAAAGGAGGGAACTAGAAAGAACAGTAAAGTTGGAGTCCACAATATTCTAAGTGGAGAGGCCAGTTGCTAGCCAGTGGCTCCCAGGCCCGCCCCTGAGGTCTAGGACGTGGTAGCCATAGCAACTGTGCTGTATTCTTTCTTTGAACAGATGGAAAACGAAGACAACTTGGAGGTAGAGCTCAAATCCCAGGGTTCTTCCAGGAGCTTAATCCAGGATGAGTCAGCAGAATCCTTCAATTCCCCTTCTGTGGAGACGCTGTTACATAGTTTGAGGGTCACCAAAACCGGTCAGGATGACAAGTTTGCCCGTATCATGAATGCGCTGGGGGAGTTTGGCACATTCCAGCAGAGGCTGGTGGCCCTCACCTTCCTCCCCAGCATCCTGGCAGCCTTCTTCATGTTTGCTGACGTCTTCACGTTCACACCCCAGAAACCCTATTGCAACACCAGCTGGATCCTGGAAATAGGTCCGAACCTATCGGAGGCTGAGCAGCTGAACCTGACCCTGCCCCGTGATACCACGGGTAGATTCACGACATGCCTCATGTACACGCCTGTCACCAGGGATCTGAAGTCTATCATCCAGTTTGGCCTCAACTACACAGAGTCATGCTACAATGGGTGGATCTACCCTCGGAGCAGGATTCGGTCGTTGATCAATGAGGTGTGCCTTGTCCAGAGTTGTCTGTAGCTGTCCCAGGTGCCCGGACACGGGCCCTCACCTTCACCCAACACACGGGGAAACAGAAGCTCAGGGAGGAGAAGCAATTGACCCAAGGTCACCCTGCAGAGGAAAGGCCAGGGCAGAAACTTAGGATTCCTGCTGCCCACCCCTGGCCTCACCTGTCTTAGCCAGAAAGCTAGAGTGGGTTCGGGGGTAGGGTCCGAAGGCAGGGGGCAGGGCTTGCCATCTGTCCAGGGGAGCGCTTCTGTAGTTGTGGCTCTGGCCTCAGAGCTCTCAGAAGATAGGGGATTGGAGAAAGAAGCAGCTTCGATCGGGTACCTCTTACAGGGTTTCTCAGGCTAAGCGGCAACCTGCATACTTCAAGGCACAGACCTGTCCAATTTGAATCTCTAGGCTGAGGCCCAAACTTCTGTTTTGGAGAAAGGGCCTGTAGTGCTGCTGGTCCTTCTTCAGGGACCTGTCCATCTACCTCACTGTTGGCCTGTGCCTCTGCTCCCTCTCTTCAGGCCTGACTCCCAGAGTCTGCCGGATGCAGGAGGGAAGGCTGAGGGAGCAGCTGAGGCCAGCTACACAGTTACCTGTCCCTGTCCGAGGTCCCTTCTGCCTAAAGGCTGACCCTGGGAGGAGGCTCAGTCTCTGGAACCAGAGGCTGACCCTGGGTGGAGGTCTGTGGCCAATCCCTGTGTTAATCCCCAGTTTGACTTGGTGTGTGATGAGGAATTTAACATGGACACCATGAAGACCATATTCCTGGCTGGCCTTCTGATAGGGTCGTTCCTGTTCGGGTTAATAAGTGACAGGTGAGTCTCCCAGAGTGTCTTCTGGTCCCTGGAACGCCCCTGCCCCCTCCTCCTGGGCATTCAGAACTGACAAGTCTCAAGCTGGGGCAGGAGAGGGAATGTGCACTCTGGAGGCCCATGGATGGTTTAGGACCTGGCCCTTGGGGTCGGGCTGGGGTAGACACGGAGGTCCAGGTGCTCGGCGCAGCCTCCCTCCATTCACTGCCCTCAGGATCGGCCGCTACCCCTCCATCCTGCTGTCGATCCTGGGGCTGATGGTCTTCGGCTTCGGGACGGCCTTCGTCAACAGCTTTCAACAGTACCTGTTATTCCGCTTCGGGGCATTCCAGGCGCTGATGGGCTACTGCATCAGCAGCGTAGCTTTAAGTGAGTCCTGGCTGTGCGGGCAGGTGGGCAATGGGCACAGTGGGGAGTGCGTGTGGGTGGGGCATGCCACCCCGTGGGAACTAGTTGCGCTGGGAGTGGAGGAAAGAGCCTCCGCGTCAGGCTGCCTGGAGGTGTGGAAAACCTGTGCCCAGAGCGCCTTTCCACTCTCACCCCCCATTCTACCCGCGTAGCACCCCACATATTCCTCTTATGTCCCCTGGCACCCTGCCTGTGGCTTGTATTGATTGAGCCCTGAAGGAGGGCCAAGCCAACCTCAGGTCCTTTGAATTGCCCACACTATTCAGTAGGCACTATTCTATTGTTCCTTCCGCTGAGGAAGATACTTGAGCCTCAGGAAGTCGCCCACCTTGCTCAGCGGTGACAGCGTCACACAGTGGTGAAGCGGAGGCGCTGTGGTTCCTTCCCAGGCCAGGGAGACGAGAAAGCCCCCAGCGCCCAGGCGCTCACTCAGCCCCACAGCTGTCCTCTCCGGCTCGGCTGTGCTCCCCGGTCCCTGGCAGAACTCCTGCCAGAGCCTGGCCAGAGGGACCTGGGCCCTCTGCAGAGGCTGACCTAAGTGGCCGAAGTGCCGATGCGCTAACAGCGAACACAAGGACAGTGATACCTAGTCTCGGTGACACCATGTGGCAGCCACGTTGCCATGTGCCCACACCCAGGCCTTCCCGGCGAGAGGCAGGTGGTCAGGCAGCAGGTGTTCATGGGGGGCAGCCAGCCTGGAGGCAATATACATGAATGGGAGGTCAGGCAAGCGGCCTCCAGTGTGCCTCGTGGGGACACAGGGGACACTCGGCTGCCCTGCTTTGTAAGGCTGTCCCTGGACCTTGGGCAGATCATAAGCAGGCAGAAGAACCCTTGCCCAGCCTCATCTGCCCCAGACAGGGCTGGGGCATCTCCAAAGGCTGGGCGCGGGGGCAGCCCTGGGCACCCTGAGCTGACCGTGATCGAGTCCTCTTGGCCTCTGCACAGCTACTGAGTGGCTAACAGGGGAGCACCGGGCCCACGCAGTCATCCTGGAGCAATGCTTTTTGTCTTTGGGGGCTTTGTTCCTGATGGCGCTGGCCTACAGCCTCCCCCACTGGCGACTGCTGTTCCTGCTGGGCGGGGCCCCCGTGTTCTCCCTCATCTCCTTCATCTGGTGAGCGGAGGGAAGCAGGGCACGCACGGGGTTGGGTCTGATGGGTGTGAAGGGTCCTGGAAGGGATGGAGTGGATGGAATGTTCCCTGGGTTAAAGGGCAAGCAGATGAGGGGGAAGAGAGCTGGGGGCGGATGAGACGTCAGAGTGGTGGTCGGAAAACCAGAAGGCAAAGCTTCGAAAGGCAAGGTTCAAGGACAAAGAATGGACAGGGTTGAAGGCCAAAAAAAAAAAAAGAGGCTGGTAAAGTGCTTGTTGGCCTTGATGATCTTGAGGTGGCTTCTGTGGAATGGCAGGGAGTTGAGGGGGGAGGATGACCTGGAAAATGGAGCCATCTAGGAGGTGACTTTGTCACATGGGGTTCCAGTGGAAGGTGTGGGTGTGTCCTTAGTATGCCTGGGCAGTGGCGGGTGGGGGTGACCCCTAAGATAGAAAGTAGAGCGCTCTCACAGGTGGCAGAGGGAGAAGAGACAGTGAGGCCAAGACAGCACGTGGGCAGGGGGGCACCGAGCAGCCAGGGTCTGTGTGTTGCGTGGGCAGGGGAAGGGATGACTGCCAAGGAGGGAGGGAGGACGTCTCAAGGTGGATGGCCACCTCCAAGGCCTCTAGCAACTGAATGACCTCACACCGGAACAGGATGGGCACTGTTGAGGTGGGGGCAGGGCCCACTTGGTGGGGCATCTGGGAGTGACATATGAGGGGGGTGTGCCATGCAGGGTCCTCCCAGAGTCCCCTCGGTGGCTGATTACGAGAGGGAAGATGCGGGCTGCCAAGCAGGTGCTGTGCTACGCAGCCAGTGTGAACAAGAAGACGATTCCTTTGAGTCTTCTGGACAAGGTGAGAGGCCTCGGGGCCCAGAGCAGGGCAGGGCAGGCTGCGGTGGAAGGGCCTCTTTCCTCTTCCTCCTTTCAGGTGGGACTTTGGCCCAGAGGGTATCCCCAGCCCACTGGTTGAGAGGAAGAGTGACAGAAAACCTACCCCTGCCAGGGGAAGGCCAGAGACCAGGCTGGCACTGGGGGCACAGGGGGTCCTTGAGAGTCCTGTAGGGGCGGGAACAAGCTGGGGTCTCTGCCCTGCCTCTGGTTGGTCCTTTTTGTCCTGTAGCTACAGGTACCTGAAAAGAACGTGCGACAGGCCTCAGTCCTGGACTTCTATAACAATAGGCACCTTCGCAAGATAACCTTTGTGATGGGCTGTGTGTGGTGAGTCCCTAAGGCTGGTGAGCAGGGACGGCAGCACACAGACGTGTCTGCTGGCAACGCTGGTGAAGGAGTGTGGCGTGACCGGGCTGCAAGGAGCAAGGCCTCAGCACCCTGGCTTGGCCCACAGATTCCGGATCTGTGTTCGTTTCTCTCTTCCCTTCCCACCCTATCCCCTGCCACCCCTGCCACTTCTGTCTCCACACCTCGCCCCCTCTGTGTGCGTGTGTGTCTGTGTGTGGTCTCTCTCTCACTCTCTCTGAGCGTTTCTCTCCCGGCTTCATTCCAGGTTCACGGTCAGTCACAACTACTTTACCATGAAATTCAGGATGCAGAGTTTCGGTGTGAACATCCACATCAACAATATAATTCCTTGCATCATAGAGGTGCCCGCCCGGCTATGCTGCATCTTTCTCCTCGAGCGGATCGGGAGGAAGTGGAGCCTCGTTGTGACTGTCTTCCAATGCACCTTCTTAAACTTGCTTATCCTTATCTTCCCCTCAGGTACAGCCCGCCCTTCCCTCCCCCCACCCCCTCCCCTTCTGTCCAACCCCTCTCTCTCGTGCTTCCTGTCCTATCCTGCCAACAAGGCACCCTGGGAGTCAGCTTCCTGCACCCAGAGCCTACCTCCCCTGCAGATGTCCCAAAACCTTGGGAGCAGGCCCCAGTTGCTAGAGCACTGTCCTGCCCCCTGGTGGGTGGGTGGGGCTGATTCCGACAGGCTCCAAACACAGCTCTCAGAGGCCTGGGAGAAGACGTGTTGTTCAGAGCAACCGTCCCTGTGCAGGTGGGAGAGCGGGCAGCCTTCTGCCACCTGATTCCAATCCATGGCTGATCTGGCGGTTCAATGTGAACAGACGCAGTAAAAATGAACTCCCAGCCTGTCTGGGCCTCGGAACACTGACTGTCCTCTGACCAAATGCCCAAGTCAGCTGACCAGGTGGTGGGGTGGACTGCTCAGGTGCCTTCTGGCAGGAATCGGCAAGAGCTGATGGGCAGGCCTCCCCTGCCTGGCCTGATGCGGGGGTGGCCCCAAACTCAGGTGGTCACATTGTCTGGCCACAGAGTCGAAATCCATCATGCTCTTGATTGTTCTGCTCGGACAACTCAGCCTGACTGCCTCAGTCACTGTGGTCTTCATCTACACAGCTGAGCTCCTCCCTACCGTCCTCAGGTGAGAGCCTGGTGGGAGGGGGCCGGCGTTGGGGGGGGCACGGTGAGAAGGTGGGACAATAACGAGGTGAATGGCGGCAGCTGAGATTGGGCATTCACCTGGTGATGGGCAGCGTGCTGAGAAGTTGACATGGATTATTCCACCTCACAAAACAGTCTCCCAAACACCATCATTAGCCCTACTCGAGACAATGAAACCAAAGAGGGGAAGGCACTGGGTCAAGGTCAGACAGGGCAAGGGGCAGAATGAGCACTGGCCCTGGGCAGTCTGACTCTAGTTTCCACCCTGCGCTGAGTGTCCGGGATGTGTCTGCACCACTCTGAGGCTCAGGCCCTTCACCTCAGGAGAGGTGCTGTGGGCAACCATGTCCTCCTGCACGGCCTTCTTCTCACACCCGCCCCCTCACTGCTGTGTGGGTCCCATTTCTCCTACTCCTGACCCCACAGGAGAAATGACTACCCACTTGAACCAAAGGAGAGCTCCATTCTCCCAGGTCTGACTGTGAGTTGGGGCAGGGTGGAGTTCTGGGGAGCTGCTTCTACTCTCCCCAGCTTCTGGGCCCAGGAGGCCCCCAGACAGGCTCTGCCCTTTCCTTCCAGGGCAACAGGTCTAGGGCTGGTGTATCTGGCCTGGGTGTCTGGAGCCATATTATCCCTGACACTCATCAGCCAGAGCCTCACCACCATTTCCAGTTCTCTCTGCTTCATCTCCGCCATTTGCGTCCTGCTGCTCTGCTCCATACTTCCGGAGACGTGTGGCCGGCCCCTTGTCGACTGTCTGGAGGACTACTCCTCTCAGGGGAGGTGGGTGTGTGAGGCCCCTGGGCTCTGGGACTTAGCACAGAGAGGATGTCAGGTGCTGTCCAACCCTGCTTTTTTCCCCAAAGGGTCAGTGACAGAAGAACCACTGTGTCCAGCACAAGCTCCCCAGCTCTTCTGGACACTGACACCCAGTCCATCCGGTCCAGCTTCTGCTCCTCCATCCTGCCTGACTCTTCTGACCCAGCCTGGACTAGGTCCTCTCCTTTCTTTGCCTCCTGGCTGCCTACCTTGACTGGAGGGCTGCCTCCCAGGGCTGAGGGAGGGAGTGGTATTGGTGCCAGGCCCTGTACATGACATGTTAGGTCCTGTCTTATGTGTGCCTTGTCACACTCTGTCCTAACCACAACTACATGCAACGTGGGTCCTGTCACTGCTCCCATTACATAGATAAGGAACTGGAGGCACCAACAGGTTAAAAATCCATAGCCTAGCATTCCCCTCTTCCAGGGTTTTGGGGAGGAATAAACCCACATAAAGCAGCGGGCACTGTGACTTGCCTGTGACAAGTCCTCAGTAAATGGTTGTGATGAAGATGGCATGTGGAACTCCAAAGATGCAGAAGACAGAAGGGTCTGGCTGGAGTCAGGGGATGGTAGTGGCTTAGTCCAAGGGGCTGTCACAGGCTCATGACCTACACGGGTGGGGGAACCCCGCTTCTCAGGGACATAGGGCCAGTGCCGGCAGGAACTGCCCAGAGTTGCTGCTTTTGCTGCTCCAAAAAGTCCAGCTCACGACTTGTTCTTCAATAGCTCGTTCCATAAAAGGAGCTGGGATTTGCCGTCCGGGGACGTGTCGTGTGTTGACGAGTCTGAAGAAGTGGTGAAGAACACTATGCTCAACATGATGATCAGTGTGAACCCCAAAGAGACCACGAACGGACAGGATGACTGAGGGCCAGGCCCTCAGGTGATCTCCACAGAGTTGAGTGGCTGGGTATGAGGCTGTGTATTCTAGGCCGCACATTCAGGGCCTAGTTTAAGTTGGGAGGCAGGCCAGTCCTCGAGATCCAAAAGTGGCATCTTCACAGAGAGCTAAGGTGTGATGAATTCTAATAAAGCTGCCCTGTTGGCCTTGAGACGACTACATCAAATCATCTTTATCTGGAGACCCGGAGACCCAGGCACAGAGGACAGTGGGTCAGACAGGCCCATCCAGAGTCCTTAATATCTTTAGCTAACTCTTGGGGACAGCCAGGAGCTCTCTGGGTGAGGTGCGGGTGGGCCACGTCTGTGAGGGCCAGGAGTGGGCAAGGGCAGGATCGTGCCTCCAGACGGCCCACATCCTCCAGCCCCCCCCCCGCCCCCGCACCTAGTGTGGGCGGGGTTCCCACTCTGATGTAGGCTGAGGACAGATGTCACTGTCCCACTGTATGTACCTGTTGAGGCCACGGATGGAATGTGAAGGAATAATGAGAACTCCCATCTGTACTACATAGCACAGGGCTTTCTCACTCCACTTTTCCTCTGATGCTCCCAAAACAGGATGGCCTTGGGGATTACCCATCCCAGCCTCCTCCGCAGGGGTGCCTTCCCTGATGGCTCCAGCTTGGCTGACCTCTGTCTACCACCACCCTGAGAATGATCCCCAGAACCTGGGTCACAGTCCAAAATGCCCTGAGGACAAGTCTGCCCTTCCCAGCCAGCTACGGGCTCCCCAGGTACAGCCCAGGAATCCTCACCCATTAGCCAGATGGAAACCTCTGGGTCAGGCCCTGGCTTCTACCTCCTTTTCCCTGGAAGGGGGTGGGTTCCAACGAGGCCTCTCTCTCTCTCTCTGCTAGTTTATTGGAAAATCATCAACTTGCAAGGGAGGAGCTTCTGAGAGGATAGAAAAGAATGTCTGTCCTCATGCAGGGAGGCCAGGGAGGCCCTGAGTCTCCAGGGAGGGACTAGAGGGCAGCACAGCGGGGTTGTGGCTTCTGGCACCCTGTCCCCAGCACACGGCTTTGAGTGTATGTCCCCAAACTCTGGGACAGCAAGAAGCTAGTGCCCACACCTTCCCCTGTCAGTGTTGTCTTCTGGTCCCTCCGTCCTTTACCAAGTTCCCCAGGATCGCCCAGGCAGAGGGAGCTCACAGGGCATCTCTTCCGAGGACAGCAGGGTGCTTTAAACGCCCTCTTGCTTTTTGTGGGGACTTACCTTTGACCTGTGATGGGAAACATCTACTTCAGATGGCTTTGCTGGAAGGATTCAGCCAGCGCCATGTCACCTCTTTGATTAGATTTTCAGACTTTTAAAATTTTACCCAGTCTTATGGTTGTGTGGTGATATCTTAGGTTTAAGCTTACCCTGTGCTCCTTCCTAAGGTGGTTGGGCACCTCTTCATAAATGTGTTGGCCCCTTGGGTTCCCTGTCTATGAGGTCCCTAGTTAGGTCTTTTGTCCACTTCTGCATTGGGTTATCTATTCTCATTTTCATAGATTTGCAGGAGTACATTACATGTTCTTTACAAGTTTATTGTCAGTTATACATGTTGCAAATATCTTCTTGCCCCTTTAGTTTGCCATTTATTTCATTTAGGTTTTTTTTTTTTACAAATTTTTCTTCTTTAAAAAAAAATATGAGTGCCTAATTTTTCCAGGGTCCCTTGTTAAAAAGATGTTCTCCCCTCCCCCACTTTTCTTGGTATGTCATTCTTGTGCCCATACCACATTGTCTTGGGTACTGTGGTGTATCAAAGTCTTAAAATCCAGGAGAGTGAGTTCTTCCACATTGTTTTTCTTTAAGGGGGTCTTGGGACCTCCCTTGGCCTTCTGGATGCCTGGGGATCCCCCGGGACTGGTGAACTGGCATGTCTTCAGGAATTCCCAGGTGGTGCCAGCTTGCGGGGACAGGACACACAGGCTCCTTCCTGGAGGTCCAGCCCAGCCACACAGAGGAGCCAGTGGGCAGACAGGAGAGTGTGACACAGCCATCAGCACAGTCCAGTAGCTCTAGGAACCACTCAAGTGCAACAGGTAGACCTCCCAGACCCGCCCCTGCTTCACCAAGCAGGTCCCCAAGTTCACCCAGCTGGTGGAGAGCTGCAGCTCAGGCACGGCCACAGTGACCTGCAGGGGCACCACCTAAGGGGACAGAGCATTAAGTTGGTGGGGACCAGGTGACCTGGCCCAATGTTTTAGGGGCACATGGGCCCTGCCAAATCAAGGTACTGTTGCTTCTGAGAGCACCATCTACAGCCAGAGGCTGCTGGCAGGATTCTGCGCAGGTAGAGGGCCAGGAAGGCACCGTCTGTTCCCCCATCACCCTGCCCTGATCAGGCTCTGCGGTCTCTGCTCCCCGGCTGAGCCTCTTTCCTGCCCTCCTCTCCTCTCTGTTCCAGCCCTGTGCTCCTCTTGGGCTCTGGGCCATCTCGCCTTTTCCAGAGGCCTCTCCAGCTCGGCTCCACACCACAGCCCCCCAATCAACTGTCACAGCCCACAGAACTAGGCCCGTGCTGTTCGACCTGGTGTGCGCAAAGCCCCATGAGAGCCCAAGTCACCCTCAGTGGCCTCAAGTGCTCACTTCCCCTACCCATCAGCCCATTCCCTTGGCCTGACTTTGATGTGGTTTCCCTGATCCTTAGACAGTGATTAGCAGAAGGCAGAAGGTGCTGTCCTGCATTGTGGAGGGATTTTGGCAAGTGTACAAATATTTAAAACGTACATACCCTGGGACTCAGCAATCCCTTGTAAAAAATAGTGACGACAGAGTGAATGGAGCCACTTTAAAATGGAGCCGGAACTCCCATCCCAGAGGAAACGCCTTGTACTCCTTGCACGTCTTGTACCTCAAACCTTCGAGATGCTGGAACAGGAGGTGGTAGATAACCTTTGGGCTGAGCCTCGGGTGACTCCGTGTCCCAAAGAACTGTTTGCAAGCCCAACCAGGAAGCAGGTGTTAGGACTGCTGGGCTGATGGCTACTGGACTGAAAATTAAAAGCATCCTTTAGAATAAACATCACTGTGTTGGCTTCTCTGCACCAATAGAAACACCTTCCTCCTACTGAAGGAAATGTTCCCACCCCCTTTCCCATAATTCCCACTGCCTTTGCCTCCTCATCAGAACACAGGGCTTCTGCCTCCATTGGTGCTTCCTGAGCAGCTGTTCTTTTTTCTTTTTTCCCAAGTACATGCCGTTGCCTCTTACTTTGGCCTTTTATTTGTAGGTTATCGCCCTCTTCTAGGAGGTACCCAAAGGAGATAATTACTAAAATATGAAAATATGTGTACAGAAGGATATTCATTGTGGCTTTGTTACATTTGTGGATGAAGAAAAAGGGGTGCTCACAGGGTGATCTGATCATAAATCCCTAAGTGGGCAGGTCGTGGCTGGGAGTCATGGCCCTGGCATGTAACTTCTTCAGTGAAAGGATTTAAGCCAGGCCTGTCCGCTGTTCTTTGAAATACCAGCGACACTGCCCCTTGAAGGGGGGTTTTAACCTTCAAGAGAACACGATCTTGTTAACCACCCTGTAACCCAACCCCTGCCTTGCTTTTTCCGATCTTCCTTGCATCCCTGCCTTGATTTCAAATGCAGAAAAGAAGCTGCAAAGCCGTTATTCTGCAGAGCACTTGAGACCTGGCTCCCTGCTGTGTATCATTACTTTGGTTCAAAGAGGCCTTGTAAAAATTCTCTGTAGGTTTGGATGTTTCTTGCTTTGCCATTAGAAAATACAGAAAAACTGGAAAGCGACCTTTAAGTCATCACTAGAAGACTGTACCATTCAGACTAAGTAATTGACACAATTTATGTTTCATCTCTGCATTTACTGATGTGAAAAGGTGTCCATGACGTGATGCTGAGGGAAGTAAGCAGCTTATAGACACTCACGTGGAACGTGTACCAGTCACGGAAAATTTAGACATGTGCTTGTACATAGAGGGGTGCTCATCAAATGTGGAGTGATTTCCTCTGGGTGGGTTTTAAAGAAATTATTTTATACTTTTTCTTCTTTATATTTTTCTGTAGTGTTAGAATTACAGAATGTTAGAATATATATATATATACATACATATATATATATATATATATATATATATACACATGATGTTTACAAAGATTAATTTCTAACATATCCCAAAGATGGGAAACATTTTTAAAAGTGTGTTTTTCTTAAGGGAAGAGGACAGAAAGGTAAGTCCCACTAGTCAAGAAATACCTAATCCAACCTTAAATGAAATTTTCCAGAAGACAATGAGAGAAAGTACTTTTGAACTGATTTGAGGCTCGCACAGCCATGATTAAAACACACAGATTACGAGTTTGACAAAGGAAAACTGCCTGCCGGCCGCATTTAGAAACATCGATGTGAAAACCAGAAGCAAAAAATTCTAACCCAAACCTAGCGAAATGTTTAAAAAATGAAAATCCAGTTTGACCAGGTTGTGTGTGTGTGGTGTTGTTTTTTTTTTTAGTTTCTGACTTCATATTTTTCAAAAGGTTTGTCTTTTTTTCTGGCTTCAAAGACTAGCTCTTGGATTGCTTATTATTTTTGTATTTTTATGTTTTCCCAATTGCTTTTTTTTTGCCTTCCTTCTGCTTTCCTCAGGCTCATGCTTTCTTTCTTCTTTCCCCCCTAAACTTTTGAATTATGGTGTGTCTTAGTTTCCAGGGCTGCTGAACCAAAAGCACCCACAAACTGTGGGGCTTAAAATGGACATTTACTTTTTCCCAGGTCTGGCGGGGGCTAGAAATCCAAAATCGATTCGGCAGGGCCAGGCTCCTTCCGGAGGCTCCCCTCACCCCTTCCAGCTCCTGGTGGCTGCCAGCGGTCCTTGGGGTCTCTTGTCTTGTGGATGCACCACTCCAGTCCTTGCCTCCACCCCCAGAGGGCCTTCCTGCTGCAGTCTGTGTCTGTGTCCAAACTTCCCTCCTCTTAGGAGGACACTGGTCACTGGACGAGGGCCCTCCCTCCTCTGGTGTGACTTCACTTTAACTTGACCTCATCTGCAAAGACCTAATTTCCACACAAGTTCACATTCCCAGGTACTGGACATTAGTCCAGTACATATACTTCCAGGGGACACAATTCTACTCCCTACGTGCGGTCGCTTTATTTTCAGTCTTTAATAAAAGCATTGAAACAGATGCACTTACCTCTGAGTAGATCCTTCAGATTCCAATAAGGATGTTTTCATTCTCCTGCTTCCTAAATAGTGTGTTGTAGTTTGACGTACTCTTGGATCCGTAATTATACAAGAGACTGATTTAAAAGTCCTAAGCATCTTGAGATCCCCCCGCTATTGCTGCTTTGTTCTCTGAGTTTTTGTTCTTTATTCTTCTAGTCCACAAGTGAAAAGGTGAACAATACAGATTTAATTAAAATGCAGAAGTCACCTCCTAGCCACCCATTTCTAAACCCCGCTCCCACAGATAGTAGCTAACAACTTGGAGTATGACTTTCTGGAACTATCTTTTGTGTACACAGTGGTACCGGGTTTAATGATCTGCCTGGAATGTCCAGGCAGTGGGGGAAAGACAGGTGCCAAGGGAGGAATGGGGTCAAATCAGACACAGGGAAGGGAGCTACACCAACCAGCTTTCTAAAATCAGATTTGCTTCTGAGGCAGGGACAAGCATACATAGCAGAAGCGTCCACTCTTGGTAAAAAGTCCACTTTTGCTTCAATACCAAAGTCCACCAAACTTTCCTTCAGGTGTAAACGCAAAATCAGCTTTAAAAAATCTTAACTTCAGTTGCATGAGTTATTTATCTATTTGCTTAGCAGGACCCACCTCTCACCCTCAAACCTGGACAAACCAACTCTTGTGAGGGTGGCCCTCAGGACGACAGTTCCAAAGATTTATTTTCACTTGTAACAGCTTCCCACTGACCTGATGAAGAATTTGTCCTACCTTTGAAATGGAATAGACAGAAGAATTATTTTATTTCTAACATACCCTAAGGTGAAATCTTTTCTAAAATTTCAGACAGATAGGTGTAATAAATGAATAAGTCTGAACTCGCAATTGATTTGTCTGTTTCATTTCCTAATTTCAGATTATTTTTGACTCAGTGACTTGTATCTTTGCCTTAGAAGTGTAAGGGACAGGAATTCAGGCTCCCGCTAGCCTCCCAACTTTTTGCTCTTAGAACGACTCATTCAGAAAACTGTAGACAAGCCCCAGGGGCACCCAGGTGTTGCTCCCAGGAAGCCTGCTCGGTAAAGCGTGGGGCTGGCATCATACCACTGACTACCAGGCCGGGGTTCCCAAATGCTTCCACTTCATGGCACCCTTTAAAATTCAACAAGTTTTCCACAGTACTCCCAGGCCAACAAAAAGTGGCTAGCAGTTCTGTTCATTAAGTAGTTAGATCCAAACAGCTTAACATATATGTATATCTGAACTACTTGGTAGCTGTTTGAAGAAACTGATACACATAAATGGGAGGAGAAAACACTTCATTTGATTCTTAATCAGAATCACTTCCCAAGGTGAGGAGTGTGCCCCTTGGGCAGAGCGCACCTCCTCACGCGCTGGGACCAGATGGGGCAGCGCCATCTTTCTGTTTCCCCTGGACTTCCCTGCCGTGCTCGTGCAGGGTGAGCGGAGGCAGTCCGGCTTCCTCACCCGGGGGTCTGGGTAGCGAAGGGAAGCAGTGTCCCCATGGCCTTGGAGGGTCTGATGACCAGTGCTCCAACAGCCTTGAGCCTGGGTCCAATAAACTGTTCTCATAACATGAAGTGGGGTCGCATGTGCAGAGTTATGCTATGTTATATCATTTCTGGCATCTTGCCGGCTTCGTTCCCCTCTAGTACTTAAACAGGTAGGGACTCCCTGCTGGGGGCGATGATGATGATGAGAGACTCACAAGGGGACAGGTGCCACAGTGGGTGCCACGCTGGGGAACAGGGGCCCTGACATGAGACATGCAGAGGCGTGCAGTGTGCAGCACGTGAGGCTTGCCCGCCCATGAATAAAGGCCTGCCAGACACCCCAACGGTTCCGTGGCTATTTTTACATCTAACAAATACCATGAACCTGTCTGGCCTTGAAGGGCGGCAACACAACTTGCGTCTCGCTGCAACTGCTGCAGATGCAGCTTGGCAAAGACAGGAGGCTACTGCATGGAAAGGAACGCAGCCCAGTGGAACGTCGGCCTGGGAGCTGAGTGAGCAGGGCACGTGGCACCTGACAGGTGCTGAGTGTCACTGTGTTTTCTTAGAAAAGTAAAGCTATCCCTCAGGTGCCCGGGGCGGGGGGTTCCCTGCGGCTTCTCAGGCACCCGGTTTGGGAACCACAGAATTAGATATGCCCATAAGAATAGAAACAAACCGTTAAAACAGCGCTGAATAAAAAAGCACTTAAAAACTATGACCTATGGAGATTAGCCAAATAATATATATGTGAGTGGACACGGACAACAATGCCGTGAAAAGGGGGGGTTATGGAGGAAGCCAAAGGGTGGGGGTGGGGGCATGGGAAATTTGTAATAGTGTCAATAATAAAAATAAATACAAATAATAAAATAAACTATAGCCGATGGGGTACCACTGAGTCTGCTCTTGCAAGGTTTCAATGACCCACCTTCTGACGGCTAAACTGGGGATAAGTTTCCATGCAGCTTTGACCCTGTTGAGAATTGCCTCCTGGGAAGGTTCTCCCTTTGGCTTCCACCACACCCCTCTCTCGTGGTCTCTTTTGGCTTGGCCTTTGCACTTCCCTCTGGGGGTCTCCAGCTGTCCCATGCTGAGTCCTTTCCGCACGCTCTAGGCCCCTTCCATTGTTGGTAGCTGCCGATAATTCCCAAACCATTGTCATCGGCCCAGACTTCTTTTCCAAGCTGGGGGCCAATATCCAACAGTTTGCTCCATGTCTCCATGCAGACATCCACAGAAGACCCATCACACCATCTTCCCCGAGCCCACTTCTCCGCCCGCGTGTCCCAACTCGAAGAACAGAGCCACCCCCGTCCGGCAGTGGCCTGTACTAGGTTGCTCTGGTGGCCGTAGTTCTTCACTCCTCTGTGCCCCACACCCTCACCGCAGCCTCACCCCCACCACTCGACTTTGTTCTGGCCACAGACTGACCTGTGGCAAAGTGCAGATGCCTTTTCCAAGCCTAGACCTTCAGTGGCCTCACAGGTTGGTTCTGTTCCTCTTATGCTCTGCTGCTTTGGGAGAGGAGCATGCTGGCAGTGTTCTGCCGGTCCCAGGAAGGGAAAGATGAGAGACACGTGGGGTAGAGCCACTCCCACTGATCCTAGCCAAGATCAGCTCACTCCGCTGACCTGCTGACCTGTGAGCGGCAATAAAGGTTATTGTTTAGCCACCACTGTCGGAGGGGGGGTGTTGTTATGCGTCAAAAGTTAACCCAGCAGGTCACCTAGACCAGAAAACTGGACATGACCTTTGACTTCTCCCTCTCTCAGCCCACAAAGTCACCAGAGCCTCCTAAATCTCTGAGTCCATCTCTTTCTCCGAGTCCTCTGCACCTGTGCCCTAGGGCAGGCCTCCTGCCACCACATTCGAACCCTTTTTCTCTTCCTCCCCTTTCCCGGGTTCTCCGCAGGGCATCTGCAGCGCTCTTCCTAGTTTGCCACTGAGGTCACGTGACTGCTCCTCTGTGGGTGGGCTTTGCCTCCTTAGGGCCTGGGTAAGGGAAGGAGCCCTGGGGAGACTGTCCACATAGCAAATGTCCAAACCAAGGGTTCCCCGGAATCCTTCTGCTACTGGGTGCCCCTTCTCAGGACATCAACAAGGAAGATAACACAATTTGGAATGAAGATGTCTGTCGTCGTTTCTTGCTAATGGATCCGATCATGGATATGCAGTATCCTCGTGTAAGCAAATGGGCTTTCAGAACTACAGCTGCTCTGTGGCCACAGTGAGAGGACCGTTATATCAAGAGAAAGGATGAGTCACCAGAATGGCAGAAGTGCCATAGTCCAAGGGACCTGGAGTAAGACAAGGCCACCCTGTGTGGGGGCTTGAGAAGAAGCAGCCAGTGGCCTTGACCTTTGTGAGATATTTGTATATTGCCACGGGCCTTCTCACCAGGCTGCCCAGGAACTTGTCTTGTTTAGTGGTTAAATGTGGATTCTGGAGTCAAACCTAGCGGCAATGGGCCCAGTTCTTGCTGTTGATCTTGGGGTCTGGGGCTAAGGGGAGGGTCTGGGCTCCAGGGAGGGTCCAGGTGGGGGTGGGAGAGAGAGAGAAAGAGAATGAATGAGACCATTGCACCAGGGGCTTTGATGGGCTGAGAAGCTTCTGGGAGGAGTGTGTCACCTGACTTTTGGAAGAAGTCAGTCCTAGGGACAGGAAGGATGTGGCCAGGTGGAATGAGGGGAAGGGAAGGTGTCCCCAGCTCCAGGAAGATAGGGAGGGGGTCTAATCTTGGTTCTCATTCCTCCTTCGGCAGGCACACCTGAGCCCCTCCGGGGCGGGGGCGGGGGGGGGGGGAACCCGAGTTCTGGTTTTCGTTACAGAAGTGGGATGTGGCACACATCAGGGCCACTCAGACTGGCTGGGTCAGGACACAGCCTGCTGCAGCCCAGTGCTCCCAGCCCCAGGGCACATTGCCCTGTGACCCCCGAACTACCACCATGAGTGGACAGCTGTTCCAGTGCCAAGACACGGCCATGGAGGTCTCCAGGCCCAGGGCCATCGGAGAGAGGCAAGGACAAGTCTGCTTCAAGTTGGATGCGGAGGAGGGGAGGGGTGCGGGGGTGGGAGGGAGCAAGCTGCGCAGAGGACACCGGTCTGGAGCAGGTTCTAAGTTCCCAGTCCGGGTCCTGGGGGCGTCCGCACCCCTGTCGCCCGGCAGGCGGAGCCAGAGCGCAAGCCTGCCGGTGACTCGGGTCCAGAGTCTGTCTGGGCGGGGCGAGGGGTGGGCCCCTGCGTCTCTGGGCGTTAGAGCGCGGCGACTGTCGCTCCCGGGAAAGGACGGACTAGCGCGCTGCCTGACTCTCCGTGGCCATGGCCGAGCGCTCCACTCCCCGGTGCTGCCTGGGCTGGGACTTCAGTACGCAGCAGGTACTGTCGCGGGCTGCAGGCCGCGGGCCCTGGGGCCGCCTCCCCCGCGTCGCCGGACAAGCTGGTGGGGTTCCCGGTGTGGGGACACCTGGGCCAAGCCGCGGGCGCACCTTCCTTTCGAACTTCTAGGGGACCCCGTGCCCCTGTCCTAAGACGCCTTGTCAGTGCCTCCCGCTCAAAAAATGCCACAGCGCCCCAGCCTGTACCCCGGCCCTCTCGGAAACGGCCTCCGCCTCCCCCTTCCTCCTCCTACCCCTGCGACCGGATCCTGGGGGCACTTGGCGGGGAAGTGCCCAGAAGGGCGTGGGGACCCAGCGGGCTCGAGCGCCATCACAGCCACCGAGTGACTGGAACCCGAAGGAACTCAGCCACTGTAACTACTGCAAGATGGGGGAACCGACCAACGACGGGCAGTTGAGCACACAGGCATAACCAGTGACCTGGCACCGCATCACCGCTTGAAACTTTTTTTTTAAGTGCAATCGGCACAATATACACATGAACTTTGTTCCACCCTTGTTTGGCACCAGCGTGCCGGGGTCAGCGTGCCCAGCACTGCTGGCCAGAGGGCACGCTGTGCTGCTCTGAGGATCCCGCAGGCCGTCAAGCAGTCAAAAGTGGTCTCCATACTGGGTGTGGGTTCCCAGGAGCTCCTTCCTAACCTGGGAAGTCAATGCAATTTTAATCAAACCCCTCTTCTCAGACGAGCCAGGCCAGTCCGTGACCAGAAGTCCTGTGGGACCCTGGACAACTCAGATGGCCTCGCAAGACCTCAGTTTCCCCATCCGTCTAGGAAAGGAATTGTATCCTTGGGTTTGGAGGTTTACTGCATTGTGGGGAGATATGTTTCCTGGCCGTGGCCTTGGCCTACGGGAATAGCCCAGAGGCTTTGGCCTGGTAGCTCAGACATCTCCAAACCTTAGCCTGACATTTCTTCCCCTCTGGGGCTCTTTTTTTCAGGTTTCTGGGCCAGGTGTAGGGATCAGCTCATCTATGCACACCTATTTCTTAGAGAGGTTCGGCTTTGGCTGTTTGATAGGCAGAGATTCTTTGAGCTATCTGGGTGTTTCAACTCAGTCTCAGTGTCTTCATTATACTCAGTCTTTGAGTGTGTCCTCAGATAAGGTGTGTTAATACGATGATGCACCCCACCCTTCCAGCAGGTCTCCAGGTTGAATCACTCACTTCTAGGGTTCTGGGCCCCATCTGATGGTGTTTATCCCCAGGCCCTGGTAGAAGCTGCTATACATCATCTTTCTGAATGCCTTCCAGGTGAAAGTTGTGGCTGTTGATGCAGAGCTGAATGTCTTCTATGAGGACAGTGTGAATTTTGACAGGGACCTTCCAGAATTTGGGTATGTACTCAGCGTACGCGTTTCTGTCTGGCGGGGAGGGGTTGGTTTGGGGGTCTTCACTCGGCCTTACGCATTCATAAACACACTCTTCTGACCTCATCAAGCTGCAGGAGTGGTGGTCTTGGTGGAAATCTCTGCACTAGGAAAGGAATTGTACCCTTGGGTTTGGAGGTTTACTGCATTGGGGCACTATGTGTTTCCCAACCATGGCCTTGGCCTATGGGAACAGCCCAGAGGCCTTGGCCTGGTAGCTCAGATCCCTACAGACATGGCCCCTAGAGATACCTCCAAACCTTAGCCAGGAATGCTCTCTCCTTCATTCCTTCCCAGTTCCATCCATTCATTCATTCATGCGTGTATGCAGTAGATGCCAGGTGGGACTTTGCATCAGGTACTGTGCTCAGTGCCAAGAATTTTCTCTAAAGGGAATCATAATTATGTACTTTTTAAAATCTGACTTTTAAAGTTCAGTACAATCATTCTGAGATTTATCCGTGTTGTTAGATATATCAGTAGTTTGTTCTCTTTATTCCTCAGTAGTACCCATTGTATGAATGGATCACAATTAGTTTATCCACTCATCTAATGAGAGAGACATTTGAGTTGTTTCCAGATTTTTAGTATTTTAAAATAGAGAGGCTTTGAAATTCACATACAAGTGTTTGTGTTGACATAAGCTTTCATTTCTCTTGGAAATGAAATGCCCAGAAATGGTGAAGTTGTATGGTAGGTGTATGTTTAACTTTGTAAGATATTTCCAGTTCTCTTTCAAGGTGGTTATTTTAATGAAAATGTTTAGTGAATAAGCATTGCATGTATTTGGTACATAATTCAAAAGAAAACAAAAGGCATGCAATGTAAAGTCTTAATTCCTGTGTGGTCTCATCTCTTCCCTCCTGCCCTCCTTAACTGCTTTAGTTTTTTGTGTGTCCTTTCAGTGTTTCTTACTGAAATACTAACAGATAAGAATATTCTCATTTCTCCCTTTCTTACACACACAGGGCATACCATTCTGTACTTTGCTGTATTCATGTCTCAATCACTGGGCTATGTTTCCATGTCAGTACATAGGACTTCTGTGTTCTTTCTAGAGATGCATCATATTCCACTGGGTAGATTTAGTATCTCTTATTTATGGATATTGGGTTGTTTGCAATGAAAAATGATGTAGTGAATTGTCTACATATGCTATCACAGACAGTGCCAGTTTATCTGTGAGATAACGTTTCAGAAATAGCATTGCTGGATCAAAGAGCAGATAGATGTATACTTTTGGAAGATGTAGCCAAATTGCCTCGCATAGAGATTGTATCGATTTACACCCACCAGCAGTACACAAGAGTGTCCGTTTCCCACCCCACTGCTAATTCAGGGTGATCATGAAAGAGGTTTTGGTTCTCTGCCGATCAGAGAGGTGAAAAATGATATCTCTGTGTGGATTTATGTTGCATTTCTCTTATGGTGAACAAAGCGGAGCATCTTTTCATATGATGAAGGGCTACTTGAATTTATTGTTCTGTGGAGTTATTTTTCATGTTCCTTGTCCATATTTCTGTTAGATTGCTTATCTATTTCTTGTTCAATTCTAGGAGCTCTTCATATCTTAGAAGAATTGTCTCTGTTGTTATTTGAATTGCAAATATGTTTCTCAGATTGTTGTTTTTTTTTTCACTTGTTATGGGTTGTTGCTACTGTTGCCATTCATGGGTTTTTTTCTATGCCATTGAATCTCTCCATCTGTTTTTCTATTCTAAATTTTGGGTCATACTTTAAAAAAAACCTTCCTTACTCACGATTATGAAGGAATTCACTTATGTTTGCATCTAGTTCTTATAAGATTTCAGTTTTCTTTTTCTTTATTAAAGGTTTATTTATTTTTAGAGGGAGGGGAAGGAAAGGGGAAAGAGGGTGAGAAACATCGATGTGTGGTTGCCCCTCACACGCCCCCTACTGGGGACCTGGCCCACAACCCAGGCATGTGCCCTGACTGGGAATCCAACCAGCAACCCTTTGGTTTGCTGGCTGACAATCCACTGAACCACACCGACCAGGGAAGACTTCAGTTTTCTTATATAAAAATATTTGGAGCTTATTTAGGTACATGGCAGGACATTTATATGTAAATTTAATTTTTTCCAGATGGTCAGTTATTTTAACAGAATTTTGTAAAGATTTTATTTATTTTGCCTTTTTTTTTTTTTAGTGAGAGGGGAAGGGAGGAAGAAAGAGAGGGAGAGAAACAGCAATGCACAAGAGATACATCAATTGGCTGCTTCTTGCACACCCCCAACTGGGCACCTGGCCTGCAACACAGGCATGTGCCCTGACTGGGAATCAAACCAGCCACCTTTCGGTTCAACCCATTGAGCCACAGCAACCAGGGTTCAACAGAATTTTTTTAGAAGTCTACTTTTACTTCACTGACTTGAGACACGAGTTTCATCATATGCTAAATTTCTGTGTGTGTTTAGGTCTATTTCTAGGCATTTTCTTTTGCTTCATTGGTTGATGCCTCTGTTCATGAACCAGTAACACATCACTTTAATTATTCCAGCTTTGTGATAGGATTTGATACCTGGAATTGTTGGCTCCCTCTGATTGCCCTTTCTTTTCAGTTTCCATGGCTACTTCTTCTTGTTCTTTGTCACTCTGTATTTTAGAATTAGCATTTAATGTTCCAGAATGCAAAATTATTCATATTTTTGAGATAATATTACATTTATAAATTAACACTAAAGGAATTGACAAGAGATCCAGTCTTTCTGTCTAAGCACATGCTATTTTTTTTGTTTGTTCAAATGTTCTTTTGACCACTTTATGTATGTCTTAATATGTTTAATATATGGATTTTTTATGTTGTAGTATATTGCAAAAATGACCCTAATTCTCCACACCTCCCTGTACCACTGCCCTTTGCAATGTGACTGCAGTTCCTTTCATCAAGAGATGGAGTCTTTCCTGGCCTGTTGATTTTAATGGGTAGAACATGGGGGAAGTAACATTGTACCAGTTCTAACCCTAACCCATGCCGCTACTCTCATTCTTGGACTCCTGCACTGCCACCACATGGACCCGCTCAGGCTAGCCTGCTGGAGGATGAGAGACGTGTCCTCGTTGCCCCACATCCCCAGCTAAGAGAGGCAGAATTCAGCCCCCAGGGGCAGAGCCGTCTAACTACACTTAGCTGATCACAGATGCGGGAGTGAGCCTAGCTGAGACCAGAACAACCACCCAGCTGAGCCCAGCCCAGAATTAGCTCAACAGAATTTTGAGTTAAGTAGTTTCAAGCCACTATGTTTTGAAGGCTCGTGACAAGGCAAAAGCTACCCAGCGCACATAGTTATTTTAAATTTTATTTCTAACTATTTTATCGTTTTGCACAAGGGTCTTTTAAGAGTAAGGAGGGGAGGGAAAGGGTTCAGAGGAATCTCCCATGGCTTGTAATCCAAGGACTTGGGCTGACAGCCAAGAGCTTCCTCACAGGTGTAGTATTTGGGAGGGCGTCTTATCCAGCCCCGTGCCCACCCCCCTCAGTTCCTCCTTGGCCATTGCACCAAGTGACACCATGCCAGCCTTCCAAGGCTTGCTTTTGCCAGTGTCTTCTGAGAATTGCCACCTCTGGGCCACTCTGGGCAATTTCTGTGCCTCCTCTTTTCATCTCACTCAGCATTCGTGCCCCTTCCATCTAGGGCTCCCTCTTGAGGTTGGGGGAGGGGGCGTTTCTGCTACCACTGGATGTATCCAGGATCTGGCACCACTGGGCCTCTGCCCGAGCTCTGTCCCACAGTCTCTCTTATTCTCCTCGTAGGACTCAGGGTGGAGTTCATGTTCACCAGGATGGCCTGACAGTGACTTCTCCAGTCCTCATGTGGGTCCAGGTAAGCATAAGGGTTCCTGTCCCTCTCCTGTCCACAGCCTGTCTTACCTGCAGACCTAGCACAGGAGAGCATCTGTTGAGACCAAGTCCTCACGGGGAAACAAACTCCGCTCAGGTCCTCGGGCCGGCTCCGCCTCAGCTGGTGTGAGCACTCCTGAGCTGAGAGAGCTCGCAAAGGGCTTCTGTGTTGTGGAGTCATAGCGGCCGGGACGTCCAGCCAGTCTTCATCTCTAAAATACCACAGAGCAGGCCTTTCCCAAACACTCTGCAGTCGCCTTTGAACCCTGAGATCCAAACACAGCCTTGGGTTCTTAGTGCTCCATCCCCAGCCCCCGCATCTCCCAGGGCAGGGGCCTCCGGATGGTGGCCCATGACCTGCCCCACCCGGTTCAGACGGATCCCAAGCAGGCCTGCCCATGCAAGACCAATGAGAAAGGAAGGTCTCTGTTGCTAGATCCAGGTGACCGTGGGGCCGCAGGACTGGGGGTGTGGACTCCACAGACAGGCATAATGGGGCTGGGGGCTGCTAGACATACCACAGGGCACCCAAGGCCCTGAAACTGGAGGCCAGCCAAAGGCAGGACCCAGTGTGTCTGTCAGAAGCTTTCCCAGCCCTCCAATACCTGTGTGACCTACCTCCTGTAGTGAATCCTTTCTGTTGAGATAACTAGTGTGATTTCTCTTTGGTCTGTCTGACCCCGACTCATCCTGGAGGATGAGGTTAAGGATGAACGTCCACCAGGCAGGCTGGCTGGAATGTACTTCAGAGGGCTGAGCCAGACAGGGGGGCAGGGATGGGGAGCATGGGGGCAACAGGCAAGAGTTGGTGTCTAGAGATCCCAGGGATGGTGCCGAGACCTTAACTTGGGGAGGTGAGCACTGGGTAGGGAGCCAGGCCTGGGGTTGGGGCCAGGGTGGCTCCTGTAATAATTCTGAGCAGGCCCCAGGACTGGATCTGTTCTAGCTTTGCCAGTCCCTGCTCCAGCTGTTCCACGCTCCCTGCATGAGGTTTGGCAAGCAGGGTTAGAGTTGAGAGCCCTAGCCAGGACCATGAAAGCCATCCCTCTGCACAGGGTGGGTGGCGATGGTGAGGTTGGCCAAAAACTCAGATGGCCTTTCTATCCACAAGGAAATGCCAGCTCGGGGGACTCTAATTCCTGCTGGGAAATCTCAGGGGAGGTATCGAGCCCTCCTGGGTCCTGCCCTTCCCACCCCACAGTGGGGCCTTGCTAGAGAGAAGGTCCTACCAGATGGTGGATGGTGGATGGTGGATGGTGGATGGTGGATGGTGGGGGTTGAGACAAACGGCCACCAGCTGTCCCTGCTCTCTCTCCGACCTTGCTTTCTGGGACTTGGATTGGGCCTGGGGCGCCTTTCTGGTGGGAATCTTCTGCTTTGCTCTCCACTTCTCCATTGCAGAGAAGTGACATCACTAACAGGGTGGGTTGAAAATGCAAATAAAAGAAACCAAAATTTGAGCCGCTTTGTTTTCTCTCTTCCTGAGTGCCTAGGAGTCACAAACCGGAGAAGCAGAAATTAAGGGTTAGTGGTTTGTGCTTTCATACATTTAAAGTGTTTTTAGTATAGTTCGCCTTTTTGTTTGACTGATGCCTCCGTGTTTAATTAATGTGTCAGTTCCTTCTTTGTCGCCCCCACTATGATGACAGGCACTTCCATTTTGGTGTGGGGCTGCCTGGTTTTTATTTCAGTGCAGTCACGGTGGATTCTGTTTTTCTGCTCAGGCTTTGGATAGCATCTTGGAGAAGATGAAGACTTCAGGCTTTGACTTCTCGCGAGTCCTTGCCTTGTCCGGGGCAGGCCAGGTTTGTCTGCAGTGGGCAGCAGGGACCGCGTGAGGGCAGCTGTCCTGGGCAGCGGAGCTGGTGCCAAGGGGCCGGCACCCCACAAGGGAAGGCACTTGGTCTTGAAATCCACAGCGTACATGTTGTTGTTAGTAAAAGCCCCCATCAGCTGTTTTGCCTTGGAGGGTGCATGGCTAGGCTCCTTGCAGAAGGATCTGAGACAGTTCTTTTGATTCGGCACAGTGTAGGGCAGTGGGTGGGGAGGGACCGGATGGAGGGAGTGTTTTTGGGAATTTGTTCTAACGGGGGTGGGTGGGGCCTGAAAGTGCTTTTCTGTTTCCTGGAAGTAGAGCAGAGTCAGAAACGACACTAATAATGATGGCAGTGTTGTTAGTAGAGACATCAGTAATAATAACGAGAATGAACATTGAGCCTATAGCGCGTGCCAGGTGCAGTGCTGGGCCTTTGGTACGAACCGGCTGAGTTCTCATGCCATAGCTACGAGGGGTGAGCACGGGGTTCTGGGCACGCTGCCTGGGTTTGGTCCCCAGTTCTGCCGCTCCCAGCAGTGACCTGGGTGATGTCCACCCAGCTCTGGTGCCTCCTTACCCTCATCTGCCACAGGCTCAATGTGAGTGTTAAATACACAAAATTTAACAGTGCCTGGTACGTACAATCCTGAAGTTTTAGCTACTGTTTTTATTATCATTGCTGTTTACACGGGGACACTTAGGCACAGAGAAGTGATGTCACTTGTCCAAGGTCACATGGCTGCTAGGCGGGGAAATCAGGATCCGATAGTTTCATCCTCAGAACCACTTTGCTCCGTGCTGGGTTAGCCCTTGTTAGACAAAGTTTAGTAATGTTTCTGAAGACACCTCTTCCTCCCCTGACCTGACAGGAATTGGCTGCTTCTGTCCTCGTTAAAATAAGCAGATTTCCTGGGTGACCTTGCCTGCCTCTCACCTGAACCCAGGCCTAGACACCCTCTCCTTCCCAGCATCCTCTTCGCCTCCGTGGTTAGGTGTCTTATGAACACCCAGGCTGAGCACCCATCTACTCCAGACCTCTTCTTTCTCGGGTTCTTTCTCAGGGAACCCAGGGCCACATCCAAGGGTCCCCCCCATGGGTTTGTACATGACTCCTGAATCTACCCCGTCTTCTCCATCTCTGCTTCTGTTGCCCAGGCCCAGTGCCATCATTTTTCCTTGGGCATCTGCCTCAGGCTCCCTGCCTCCCACCTACCTCCCCCCAGGTTCCTCCAGCCCATTCATACCTTCGACTCTGGCCACACCCTGCTCATCTAGAGCCCCTACCACCTCCAGGATAAACCCCAGCCTTCTAAGCCTGGACATCAAGGCCCTGGTGCCGCCACCTTGTCCTCTAGTCTTGTCACCCACCTCCTGTCCCAGCTTCAGGCCCACTGCTTAGAAAGCCACCCTTCCCTACACCTGCCAGGTTCTCTCACCTGTGGTCACCCTCTGCCTGGAGCACACACTCAACTCTGGGATTCTTTCCTAATAGTCACGTCTGCTTCTCCCATTGGTACCCCCAGCTGGTTAGATGCCCCTCCTCTCTGTCCCCGGCCCTATCACTGCACCTCCAGGGTTGAATGAATGGGTAAGTGAACGAATGAGTGAATGTCAGGAAATATTATGAGCAATATATTAAATACGCTTTTATAAAGGCACCAAAATCCAGACCGATCCATCTGTCTTGGAGCCTGCCTACAAATTGTGGGGTGAGCAGGGCGGAGTCCCTCCTTGTTCTGTGGGTGTGAAAAGCAAGGCTCACGAAGAGGGGAAGTTCCGGGGGGTTAAGAAGGGCAAGGGGGGGCCGAGCCCAGATCTCCGGTGTGTGGTCTGGGGTCTTTCTTTGTCTCCAAAAGGCTGTGATGCCAGTACGTGGCCAACAAACATGTACTTGGGTTTCTCCGGACAGCAACATGGAAGTATATACTGGAAAGCCGGGGCCAGTCGGGTGCTGACGAGCCTGTCGCCAGACCTCCCGTTACACGAGCAGCTGCAGGTAACTGGCCAGGTTGGGGAAGGCAGAGAAACTGCTGCAGGGGGGTGGAAGGCCTTGAAGTCTGGGGGTTCGGTGCATCGTCAGGGCCTGGAGGCTGGCTCTGGTGGTGGTCCTGTGAGCACGGTCCGGCCGGTCCCCCTGTGGTGGGCACACCTGCTGTCCGGACAGAGGGTCGGGTGCTAACACCCCTCAGCACCCTGCTTGACTCCGACTCAGTCCCCCCTTAGGATCTCCCCTGGGGCAGGGCACCTCCTCCTGATGCTGGAAGGCCAGCCCTGGCTTCTCTTCTTTGCGGCCCCAAATGCCCCTGCCAGGCTGCATGAGCCCTTTCCTACCCACGTCCAGTGTCCCCTGCCACGCTCGGGCATCCTCACCAGGACCTTCAACGTCAGGCTTGCAGGGAGAGACCCTGGTGGGCTAGATGGAGGCATGGGCGGGAGGGGCTTGCCCAAGATCACATCCAGGGAAGAGGCGTCCACACCTGCTGTCATGGGCAGTGTGACCGCCAGTCCCAGGTCAGCAGGCGGAGCCCCTTCTTTGCAGGCCTGCTTCTCCATCGGCGACTGCCCGGTGTGGATGGACTCCAGCACCACCGCCCAGTGCCGCCAGCTGGAGGCCTCCGTGGGCGGGGCCCAGGCTCTCAGCGGCCTCACCGGCTCCCGCGCCTATGAGGTAGGCAGGCCCCATGGGCTGGGATTGCGTTTGGTCTTGGGAGGAGGGTCTGGTTGCCTCCAGTGCCTTTTCTTGGGACATCGGGGAGGACACAGCTGGCGACTGGCCCCTGTGTGAGTGTCACCCCAGAGGAGCCAGGACTAGACGCTCTGGCCCCTGGTCCTGATCCAGGCTGTCCCACCCTGTGTGCCGCCCGTCGAGCAAGGCGGGCCTCCCCGTGGGTATTCCCAGGTCCAAACTGAGGTGTGAGCACGGCTGTGCCCGTCACGTCGAGCTGAGGTGATGATGGGACACCGGCTTCAGCCTCTCTAATCTGAGGACGAAAGTAGCACTTACATTTTGGGTAGTTTTGAAGCTGAAAGAAATCAGTGCATGTAAGACACAGTGCAGTTCCTGGCAAAGTGGAAAAAAGTTCTTTTTCCTGCTGGCACCAGCTGTGGTCCCACCCCAATGCACAGATGGCTGCCACCCACCCAGTGCCACATTGGGTCATGTGACCCCCCCCCCCCCTGCCGCAGTAGAGGCTTCAGGGCACAGGGCCAACCCTACTGGGGCCACCTGAAGGAAGAAGAAGGTGGGTGGGGCAGATACCTGAGTCCCCTGCATAGGTGCCTGTGGTCACAGTGGCCCCAGGGCTGCGTATGAGGCCCCAGGCCAGGCCTATTCCCTGAGGGCGGTCGGAGACAGCGTCACCTCCGAGGCCTTTTATGGCCTTCGTGGTATGAACTGTTGCCCGGAGCTGTCAAGTGCTGCACTTCGTGCACTTGACAGAGTTAATCATGTAGGGTTTGGGTTTTTAAGAATTTGCCATCTTTTCCCAGCGGTTTACAGGAAACCAGATTGCGAAGATTTACCAGCAGAACCCCGAGGCCTACTCACACACAGAGGTTGGTTAGACATTCCTGCTGGGTTGAAAGTCACCATCGAATTACTGTTGTAATACTTACCTCTAACAGCAAGAAAGCTCATGCGCATTGGTGCAAAAACAATGGTTAGCAGACATTAAAAATGACATAGTCCATGGGCTTTTTTCTCATTTGGGGACAACTTGGTTGCTCCCAAAGAGGAGGGAAAGAATGGAATTGTGGGAAAGAGAAGTCAGGGGATAGAGGTCAGCGTCAGGGTGGGAGCCACAGGGACAGGTGTCTTCCTGGGACCAGCCGAGCGAGAAATCTGGGTGCCCTTTGGGCTCTGTCCCCTCAGTTTCCTGCGTGGTTAACATGGCGTAGCTTCCAGGCTCTCGATTGGCGTGGGGTCAGTGTTTTCTTAGGGAATGTGTAAAGCTGGACTGACGCGTCCCCAGCGGCAGGCTCTTCCACCGGAGGCAGCGTCCCAGGACCCCAGATTTATTTGTTGATCCACTTGCTAGAAGCCAGCACTTAGTGCTGGCGGAGAAGGCGCTCGGTGCCCTCGGTGGCAGTGATTTCCCTCCCTGAGTCATTAGACAGTGGTCAGCTCGTGGTAAACCAAGGGCCCTTTTTAATCTAGGGAGTTTATATCCATTAGTTCTTTAATGACTCAAGGACAAATGAAACAAAGGACAAATGTGGCCTGATGGGGACAGGAGGTGTCATTCTTTTCTGTTCTGTTCGCAGGGTCCGTGATTCCCATGAGGAAGCACAGACCCTTGGCCAACACTTCAGTTCCTCCAGTTCAGGTCTGGGGTCTTTGGCATCCGAGGGGCCAGCTTTCACGGGTTCTTGCTCTGAACCCCCAAAAGTGTCTCTGTTGGCTCAGAGCCCTGTGGCCACACCTCTGACGGCCCTTGGGACTAGGCATGAAAACCTCAGAAGTGGAGGACGGAAGTGCCTCCCTTGGGGCACCATACTCCCCAGATTCCCGGTGGCAAACCCGCTCCCCTGAGCGTGGCGTTTTCACAGGGCCTGTGGCTCCTTGTCTCTGTTGAACTTGACAGTGTTATCATCTGCAGAGTGAGGTGCCACTGCTGTTACTGCTCACAGTTCCCACATTCCTCCCAGTTCAAACCTCTTCTCATTTGTGTGTACGTGTGTGTGAGTGACGCATTCAGTTGCCTAGAGTGCATGGAAGTGAGCCGTATCCTGCTGTTTCCTTCTCTTGCAGAGAATTTCCTTGGTCAGTAGTTTTGCTGCTTCCTTGTTCCTTGGGTCCTACTGCCCCATTGACTACAGTGACGGTGAGTACCAGGAGCGTGCCCAGGCAGCGGGTGCGAGGGCCGTGTGAGCCGCGGCCATCTGGGCGGGTGCCAGTCTTTCAGCTCTATTATCTGTTGCCAAGGAGGGAGAGTATTCGTTATCTTTTGCTGTGCAACAGATGACCACAGCTCGTAGCAGCTGAAGATCACGAGTGTTTCTTATCCCACAGAGTGTCTGAAGGTCAGGAACCTGGGGGCAGCTTAGCTGCGTGGTTCTGGCTCAGGATCTCTGGTGAGGGGCCACACAGCTGGCCACCAGGGCTGTGGTCATCTAAAGCCTTGTCTGGGGCTGGCAGGTCCAGGGTCACACACATGATTTGTTGGCCAGAGGCCTCAGTTTCTCCCCGTGTGGGGCTCCTGTGGGGCTGTTAGTGACAACACCGCCAGATGCCACCAGTAGGGGTTGGGAGAGAGCAGCCCAGCAGAAACTGCAGAGTTCTGCACCTTAATCTTGGGAAGTGACACACGATCACGTCTGCCCCAAGCCACGGGTTGCACAGACCTACCCAGGGACCGGGAGGCAGGGACCTCACAGCGTGAACACCTGGACTCTGGGGAGAGCAGGAGCCATCTTGGAAGTTATTTACTGAAGTTTTCACACTGGGGAACTGATGAGAGTTGTGAATTTCTGGAATGAAAAAAGAAACAACCCCCAAATCAATGGAAATGGTGCCAGGGAAGAAGGAAAGCTGGGTGGAGGTGCCGCAGGAGCTCTCGGGTGAGCCTAGATGAAAAGGAATGACCAGAAGCGGGAGGAAAGTGGAGCACCGGAGCGCAGACCCGTGGACCTGGCCGCAGAAAGAGCTAACACTCTGGGCCCCTTGGAGTTCACCTGAAGTTTTCAGGGAGCGAAAGTGAGGTGACCGAGGAGTGGTCCCCAAGCTTCACTCGCAGTCTGGAGGAGAAGGGGTTTTTACAGCTAATGGCAGAGAACTCGGAGCAGCAGAACCTAAACCCGGCCTCGCCCCGGAGTCTGCCTGCGCTCTCCACGCCTACTGGGGGCTGCTACGTGCTGCTGGGGAGGGCCACCCCATGGCTCCAGTAGGTGTGCCAGAGGGTCACGTTCTTCAACCTCCGCTGGGCCCTCCACGCCGCTCACCTGAGGAGTCATCTCCTAATTTACCAGCTGGCTAACCTCCTCACATGGGCACCTGACTCCATCCCTGTCCCATCCCAACCGTCTGTCTGCCTTCACTGGTGCTCTGGGTCCCCTCCCCTCCCCCACCCTGAGGAAAGCCTGGGGAGGAACTGACGGTTTTAGGAAAGACTCAGTGAGCTGATCTTAGTGAGGAGCGTGAGAAAGAGGAGCCTGAGAACTCTGCTCGAAGGCGGGTGCGATTGGGGAGTCCCTGCAGCCTGGCCCACATCAGCAACAGGCGGCCTCCGAGCAGAACCTGGACCCGCAGGGGGCACGAAGGGCGGATCCTTGTCAACATACGCTGGTGGTTCCCTCCCGGGGCCAGGTCTCAGAGCGGCAGCTCTGCAGGCTAACCGGTATTCCAGCCGGTGGGGAGATACTCGGGGGGCCTGGCGGGGGCCACGTGTTTCCTTGGGCCCCGCTGGTCCTGAGGTTCCGGCGTGACCCGGGCACATGGTACACGTTCCGCTGGCACAGGTTTGCTGCAAGAGAATGAGCTGCTCTCTGCCGGGGTTGTGCATGTCTCCAAGATGTTTCTTATTTCCCTTCTTCCTTAGGCTCTGGAATGAATTTGTTGCATATCCGGGACAAAGTCTGGTCCCAGGCTTGCCTCCGTGCCTGTGCACCTCGCTTAGAGGAGAAGCTTGGCCCCCCGGTACCGTCGTGCTCTGTCGTGGTAGGTCCTCCTTCCAGTGACGCGGCCGCTTTGAGAGCTGGCAGCCACGGGGAAGCAGTGCAGTGCAACACGCTCATTCGTACACGGAGCCTTCAGTCCAGTATAAGACAGGTCAAGTCTGCATCAGTGCCCTGCACTTAGTAGGCACTTGGGTGCAGTTGTAGATCACTGCCTGTTGGCAGTGGAGGGGGGTGTTTAGAAAATTCCACTAGAAACCTGTAGGAAAAAAATGAAAACAACGTTTTGGGTGATTTCCAAAGGTACACCTTTGGGAAAAAAAGCAATTCTGGGGTTAGGGACCAGAAATGGAGCTAAGCAGGAAGGCTGGAGAAAACACAAGCACCAGTGAGCCAGACACAGGCCCGGACGGGACCCTGGCTCAGCCACTGACCAGCTCTGAGACTTTATTCTGTGCCTCAATCTCCTTGTCATTTCCATTGTTCCTGGAACAGTTAGAATAGTAGTACTTTCTGTCTTGTTGGGCTGTTGGGTCAAATGAATGAGTTGATACCTTTAGAATGTTTAAGATACTTGGGATAGTGCCTGGTCCCACTGTAAAAGGGAAAACGTTTAAGCATTAGGCTGATGCCCCATTCAGAACAGACATGGCTGTGAGTGTCCTGCTGTCCCTAGTTGGCTGGCTCAGTTCTTGGCTGCTCTGGGGACAGTGGAGTTGAGAGAGACCCGGGCCGTGTCCACACGGCCCTTTGGTGAGGAGCAGAGGCTACACAGCTAGAAATCCTGGGTGGGACAGAGAGAAAGGAGGAGGGTCCCCAGGCCTGGGGAGAGACAGGGAGCTGGGAGTGGTGGGCCAGGAGGAGACCCGAATTATCACGGGCCCTCCCTCTTGGGATTCCCAGCCACAGAGGCACTCGTCCAAGATCAACACTGACAAGCTGGAAACAGCCTTTGCCATCAGGAGTACCTGAGTACCTTGTGGCAAAGCCACACCCTCGCCAACCAGAGGGCACCTTGAGGCCAGCACCCACAGCGGAAGGAAGGACCCAGGCAGGGCACCACCCAGCAGAAAGGCAGAGGGAGGGCGAACAGAACACAGACCAGCCGCTGGGGCTGGTGGTCCATGCATCGCTGTTATTTCCCATGAGATGGAGAGCGGTGTCTTGTCCGTGGCAGCAGGCCTCGGGGCCACAAACACGGGCCTCCAAGGGGTGCCTGTGTGGAGACTGGCAGCTGGGGACACGGGAAAGGACTGATTCTGGAATGGTTCTGGGTTTTCCGTTGTAACGTATGCACCGCGTGATGGTGATGGGGAAAACAAGCAAAATCCATTTTTTAAAAATATTTGCATTGATCGATTTTAGGGAGAGAGAAGAAGGAGAGGAAAAGAACATGAACTTGTTATTCCATTTATTTATGCATTTATTGGTTGCTTCTAGTATGTGCCCTGACTGGGGATTGAACCCTCAGCCTCGGCGTATCGGGACGGTGTTCTAAGCAACCGAGCTACCCGGCCACAGCAGCAACATCCACTTCTATCATCTATTTTGGGGGGAGGTAGTGTCCAGGAAGGTACCTGGTGACGGGTTGTATCAGACACTCCTCTGGCCCCACCTTGCATCCTCTGGCCAGTTTTTTTTGCCAGCCGTCATCCCCTGGCAGCAGCCTGCCCAGGCTGCACCCCATTTCCCACACTTGGCTCACACTCCGGGGCTTCTGTGACTCCACATCTGTGCTCTGCAAACCTGGAGGTGCAGGGAGTAACCCCCACCAGCGGGAGCCACTGGGGAGCTGCTCCCCTGTCTGGTCCCCAGGCAGACAACCTCAAGTCCACTTGCTACACTGACCCCCGGGTGAGCCTGGTGGCCCGGGGACCAGCTCAACACTGCACCACAGGACGGACTTGCCCTTCTTCCCCATGCGACTCTTCTGCTTCCTCTCATGTTTCCTGGGATCACTGTCCCAAACAAGCCACCTGCCCACGAGCCCCGACTCAAGCCGTGTTTTCTGCAGTGCCTGAGGCTGAGACTCGTATATCTCCCAGGACACAGCTTATTCTGCTCTGAATTGGACACTTTGCTGGAGGAAGCAACTTTTTTTCCCAGGCACCAGGAAGTGTTGTTATTATTGATTTTGTACTTTTAGAACTAAGATGAAGTCAGGGAAAGGGGAAAAATTGTGTGGGTGTGTGTGCGTGTGTATTTGTTTTATAACTATGCTTTCTTTAGACTCTGTGTCTCTCTAGAGGGTGTCCCTGTCCCCCGGTCCAACAGCAGCTCGTGGAGGGGCCCGAGGGCCTCCGTTCCTGGGGGACCCAGCCCCCACACTGCCTTTTCGGGTTTATTTTCTTTAGAACGTTGACCTCTGCCTTTGTATGTGCAGTTATTCTGAGTCTGATTGCTGGGCTGATAGAGGGCACGTGTAAGGGTTGATGGGCTCCCGTGAGTTTGCTTGCTTGTGTCCTCCAGTTATTTATTTTGAAAGCTATATCCAGAATTTGGAGCTTACGTGGTAAGTACAAGGTGAGGATTGGGTGGCTCTGGCGGCCTTGCACCTGAAAACCAAGTGGGTTTTCGAAGGGGTGGGATGAACACGCACCGTGGTGCCAGGCCACAGGGCGCGGCACAGCTGCGGGTTCCACGACTGGGAGCCTGTAGTTGTTCTGTGACGGCCTCAGGGGTGCACAGCTGTGCTGAGCAGCGAGATTGGCCTCAGCGGTGTGCCGGCTTTCCTTCCTCAGGGAGCCGTTTCTTCCTACTACGTCCAGCGCTACGGATTTTCTCCAGAATGCAAAGTGGTGGCCTTCACTGGGGACAACCCGGGTGAGTACCTGTGGGACTTCACTCTCCAGGCAGCCCGACTCGGTGACTCGGTCCATGCGGGCACTTGAGAATGCCAGCCCGGCCTCTCGGTGAAGCCCTTCCGTGGGGGGACCCCTCCCTCTGGACTGTGGGCTCCACTCCTGAAACCTGACTCCTTGGAGCTGCCCCACCTTGGCCTGCCTGTCCCCGAGAGCCACTGACGTCTGCCTCCCCGCCCCAGAGGAAAGCAGATCAGTGATTGGGGAGGGCAGTCCTACCTGCCCATCCTGGCCCTGCCATTTCTGTTCCAAGCTCAACCTCTCAGCTCCTCAAACCCTGCCTCTAGAACACGGTTTCCAGTCCCTGTGCGTCATTTGACCTACAGATGGGACTGACTGCGCATCCACCCACCGTGTTTTCCTTTCAAAATGAAAATGACATCATCGAGTCTCATTAGGAACATGCACTCGTCCTTACACCCACTCTAACAACTAGAAGAAGGTCAGGGGGAATAATGGGCCTGCTTTTTAACCACATGAGAATCCGGACACATTTGAGTGGCAGTGACAACGAAGCAGCTTTCTGTCCTCCTCCTTGGACTCTGGTTGCAGGCTGACAGCTGAAGCTACCAGGCAGGTAACCCTCAGCCAGTCCCTCTCTGAGTCTGACCTTCAGTTTGCTGTTGCCTTAAATAATACATTATTTGCACCTTCATTAAAATAACAGCAACAATAACAAGCAAACAGATGAACAAAGGCTCATGCTTTTTTTTTATTGCAGAAAAAAATTTCAGTATTGACAAACTAAAGGAAGGATGTAAAAATCATCCCTAACTCAGAGATAACCACAGTTAAAATTCTGATGGCCATCCTTCCAACCTCTTTATGTCCAGCCAACCTGGGCAATGTTTTTGTCCAACATTTTAATGGTTGTGGAGGGTTCAGTTGTGCCGGCATTTATTTTACCGGTGCGCCATGATGGAGGTCAGAGGGCATTCTGGGACCCAGGGCTTGGACACACACTGCTCATTGCACCTCACTGGTCCCCACATTCCTCCTTCCATTCATGCTCCTGATGTTTAGTGAGTAGCTACTACATGACAGGCCTTCTTTCAGGTATCAGTGAACAAGGCAGATAGAGATCGCTGAGTGGGCCGCATAGCCTGCCCCCTGTCATACTGCTGGGGCAGGGGAAGGCCCCTCACTCCTGCCACACCTTTGTCTTTCTCTGCCTCACTTGTCCTGGTGTCTTGACCTGACCCCTCAGTTCTCTGTGCTCCCAGGAAGGCCTGGCAGTGGGCGGGGAGTTTGGGCTGCTTTAGGGAAGAGGTCTTAGCCCAAATCAAAGGCCCTGGCCACAGAGCCTCCACCCTCTGACTGCTGGGGCCACCTTCTGGGACCTCCTGAGCCCTCAGCTCCCCACCGTTCCTGCCTCTACCTTTAGCATGTGGCTTCTGGTGGGAGGTGGGGGCTGCGCTCCCATGGGGGGCGGGGCGATTGCCATGGGCTCTGTGGCTCCCACATTGCTAACCAGAGTCTCCCCGGCCCTTCTTAGCATCGCTGGCAGGCATGAGGCTGGAGGAAGGTGACATTGCGGTAAGGTGACTTCTCACACCCACAGCTGGGCCGGCTCTTCTGCCCCGGGGGCCATTTTCACTGCCTGTCAGAGTGTGCTGGTCCCAAACAGCAGCTGAGTAGGGGAACCCAGGCCCCAGGAGCTTTCCACATCATCTGTCTGAGAGGGTCATTTGCCTTTGCCGAGTCCTCTGCCTGCTTTGGCAGTGCCCAGTCTTGCCAGGCACAGTGGCAGAAGGTTCAGCTGTTGGGCCAGGGGCTGAGAGCTCCCAGACGAGTTAGGAAGACATCACCCTTGCCCTCCTGGGTTCAGTGGGAAAGCCACCTGGGAAGCCAGTCCTCACCGGCACCTTTAGTTTTACGCGGTTGTGCTAAGTGCTAGGAAGTCAATCCTTAGGATCTGCAACAGCCATAACGAGGAAGCTGACCTTGGACTCCTCTGGTACGGGAGGGTCAGAAGAGGTTTCTCCGAGGCGGTGGCAATTCATCTGAGGTCTGAGGAGTGACGTGGTAGGGCCAGGGCACCTCACCTCCGCCCATCTCTCCCCAGGTCAGCCTGGGCACCAGCGACACCCTGTTCCTCTGGCTCCAGGAGCCCACGCCTGCCTTGGAAGGCCACATCTTCTGCAACCCGGTTGACCCCCAGCACTACATGGCACTTCTGTGGTAGGTGGGGCCGGGAGGGAGGAGGTGTGGGCAGGTCGGCCCCTACCCGGAGCACCCGAAGACGTTCCACTGGGCAGGTTCTTGTGGGCAGCCGAGCCCCCCAGGACTCACTGGGTCTTGCTGGCAGCAGAGCTGGTAGGGAAGAACTCAGTACCTGGAGTCCCCAAACCCAGGTTCAAATCCCAACCCCACCACCCACATCCTGTACGGCCTGGGGCAGACACCAGCCATAGCATGTCTGAGCCTCACTTTGCTCATAAAATGAGAATAAGAGCGTTTACTTTGTACTGTTAGGACATGTTTGGCACATGGCACATCTTCAGCAAATGGTGGTGAGGGTGTCCTGCTTCCTGACAGTTCTTATGGAGAGGGTGTGTGTGCTCTGCATCCTGACCACAGGCCTTTGGAGACACCGGAAGCTACTCAGGGAGGTTTCTGACCCTCTCAGCCCCAGGAACCGCTGGAGAATGTGTAGGTCTAGGAAATGTAGCCAGCCCCTCCCTGTTACCCAGGCGGTGCAGTGTGCAGAAACCCAAGTTCCCTGACCCTCCCTGGGCTCCTTTGTGTTTACAAGGCAGCCTGCTCTGTAAACAGCCCAAGACCAGTGTGTTTCCCAATGATTTCCGAGACATGAGCTGGCCCTCATACCTGAAGGAGAACCTCAGATCCCTGCCCTGCAGGGGCTGGGGCTTGGGGTCCAGCCGGACCCGCAGCCCCTCTACGTGGTGGCATGTGGGCCCAGTCAGCGAGCACTGGGACCCTCCCTTAGGCTCCTGTGCACTTCTGCAGCTTTAAAAATGGCTCCCTCATGAGAGAGAAGATCCGAGATGAGTCGGCTGCCTGTTCCTGGAGCGAGTTCTCTAAGGCGCTGCAGTCCACGGAGATGGGGAATAGTGGAAACTTGGGTAAGCTGTTTGGTGATGCCTGGGCCCGTGATGGGGCAGCAGCTGCCTGGGAGAGAAAGGGCCTGGTGCCCCATCAGTTGTGGGGAGAGGAGGGCCAGAGAGAAGCCCAGGAGAGCCATGACTGTCTATGCTTCTGCTCCATGGGCCTTAAAGCTGGTGTGAGGCCCTGTGTTCTGAGCGTGGCAGGGCTGGAAGCTGCTCTTGGTGGCCTCTCCGTGCCCTGTGTCTTCTGTCCCCCTCGAAGCCCCTGGTGACAGCATCAGAAATGGCAGCCACAGCGCCTCCTCTACCCTGGTGCATCCCTGTACACAGCCATCTACTGCAGACACAGGGTCCTGTTAGGAGAAGTGCCCAGCGTTTACAGCAGGCCTCTGGGCGGGGAGGGCATGTGCCTCGCTTGGTGCAACTATTGGTTGTGGGAATGGCACCAGGTGTTAAACTGGTAGAGGCAGAATGGACCTGGGTTCAGTGACCTTGGTTCATCAGCCTTAGTACTTGAGTTCTGGCTAAGAAAGAATTCAGAGCCAAGACTCAGACTATAAGGGAAAGTCTATTTAGAAACTCACAAACCCCCTGGCAATGGGGAAGGACACACCCAATTGGTGATGTTGCTCTTATATCAGTCAGGGGCAAAGCAGTTGTACAGTCCTCAGTTCATCCTGGCTTGTTGCCTGCATTGGTGGCCAGAGCTGGTTCATGCTCGAGGCACATAAAAAAAAGAAAAAGAAACTCACAGAGGTAGAAGAAATGGCTGTAGAAGAAGTAGGCTCAGGAAACAAGTTCCAGAGGCAAAAAAAAAGGGCCCCTGGGAACCTAGGAGAGAGAAAGGCAAAGGTAATGGGTCTGGGGTGGGGGGAAGGGGGGAGGGAAAGGCATGGGCGTACTCCCCAAGGGGAGAGCACACGGGGTCCTCCGTCCTGAGGGCTTTTAAGGGTGGGGATTTTAGGGGCCGCCCCAGGGGAAGATCTCCATAGAGTATTCATCAGCTTTTCAGGTGTGTCCTTTCAGGGTCGTGGTCTTCAGTGATGGATCGGCACCAGGGCAGGGGGTCGTGAGTCAGTGCAGCTGGTCCTCAGGTCAGCCTTGGCCTCGCTTGTCTGCTTTTGCTACTTCTCCGAGCCTGGAGCTGGAGCGCAGCTGAGGCCTAGACATATTTGGTGCAGGTCAGAACTCCACTGTCCTGGGGGCTTAATGTTAAAGGCTACTCTCCGGCTGCCTGTTCTGGTTCCCCTCCAAGGGGTCTAACCTGCAATAGGAAGAGCCAGGGTTTCTAAACTGCATGACCAGCAGTATTTCTGTGGGTAGAAAGGTTACCCTGGGGGCAAGGTCCTTGTTTTCCGTGGTTTGGCTCTGGGACTTTCTGCCCTGGTGACCCTCTGGACCCGGCCCATCGTACTTGCTCTGCTCACATTTGTCTAACCACCTGCCACAAAACCATGCAGGTATTTCAGGGCTGGTGGGGCAGCTGCCCCTGGCCTGGTTGCCCGGGGAGCATAGGAGGGGCTAAGAAAAGCTAGGCCTTTCCAGTTGCCTTCTGCCCTGCTAGAGGGAAGGAAGTGTGGGTATTCGTGACATCATTGGGTGAATGAGTGGGGCCCAAGAGACAGGGATGTGGGGTCATCGCACCTTTACCCTTTTCTAAGTCCTGAACAACCCACCTTTTGTTTTTGGCCACTGACAGCTAGTCTCTTCCTGGTCCATTTCAGGCTTTTATTTTGACGTAATGGAGATCACCCCCGAAATGATCGGCCGCCACAGGTTCAGCGCAGAAAACCGTGAGGTACGTGTGAGACTGGTCTGGAATCTGGAAGTACATCGACTCCACTGCTGAGTGTTAAGTTTAACAGCTACCTATCAAATTTTGCCACCTTTAGGGGCTTCATTCATTCACTCACTCATCAGTAAAGCACATTTTCGATGTGCCGGGGTGCATGCTTGATGCCGGGGAGTCAGCGGGACTTAAAATTCGAGCCCTTCTCCCAGACAGGGGCGCAGAACACCTCAGGGGTCTCCCTTGAGCTGACGAGCTCACACCGACAACTACAGGGCGTCACAGCACCCGATTCCTTGCCCGGATTAATCCCATACCTACCAAAAACTCACAGATCTCAAGACCATGAATTTCTTCCTCTTCAAAAGAGACTCTGGGGTTAGGGGTGGGAGGGAGCACTCACATTTATTGAGCTTTGTTTTCTTCCAGTCACTCACCTGGTTGTTTGGGGTTTTGCTGTTGTTTTTGTTAATGTCCTTCTTTGATCCTCGCCTGAGGACATGATTATTGATTTTAGAGAGGGGGAAGGGGGGGGGAGAGAGGGGAAGAGAAACATGGAGCAGTTGCCTCTTGTACACACCCTGACCGAGGATCAAACTTGCAACCTAGGCACGGATCCCAACAAGGAATAGAACCAGTGATCTTTCAATTTATGAGATGACGCTCCAACCCACTGAGCCACGCTGGCCAGGGCCTGGTGGTTTTCTTTCTTTTTCTCATTTACCTCTCAGAGGAACTCTGTGAGACAGGTGTTGCCAACTCCTTTACAGATGCAGAAATTGAGACTCAGAGAAGCTAGATAGCGCAGCCAAGTCACAAGGACCTAGGTGGAGGAGGGGCTCAAACCTGGTCTCCTCTGGCCCCAAAGCCACTGGTTTATTTCCCCCTCCACGCTGTGGCCTCCCAGGAGAGATCCGGTCCTTACTCACTGCTTCGAATGGACTTGTCTGCGGGTCAGCCACCAGGGTCAGCACCACGTTGTGGGTTGGACCTCGGGGGTGTGTCTGACCCAAACGAGTGTCTGAGAGCCTCCGTCCGTCAGTGTCTCTGAAGCTGGCGTTGGATCACAGGGCTGATGGTGGCGTCACCTATTAGATTGTAAATAGAAGTGTGGGGCTTCCTTCGCGTCTTCTGATGGAGGGTCCGTTTGGGTTCTATTTTCACAGAGAGTAGATATGCCTGTTCTCTTTTGTGTGAATCTGTCTGGGTTTGTTAAGGGAGAAGGTGGTTTTCTTCATTCATTCCATCAACAGGTGCATGATTGGTACCAGGCGTTGGGGACACAGAAGAGAATGAGGTACCCGTGGTACCCACTCCATGGCGCCCATCATCTAGGAAGGCACAAAAATATATATGAGTACAGTGTGCATTGTGGCTAGGAAGGACAAGGACAAGGTGCCATGTGAGAAAGCAGGGGCGAGCTAGATGGGGTGACCAGGTGTGGCCTCTCTGAGGAGGTGGCCTTGAGGTGGGCAGACGTTCAGGCAGAGGGAGCAGTTGGAGGCTCTGAAAGTAGGTGCGTTGGGTTGGGGTAGCTCGGGGGGAAAAGGGCGGGAGCGTCCATCTGTCGCTGGTCTCAGGGGCTAGAGATAGGGGCCAGGCCAGAGAGTGCCCACCAGCATCGGCCTGAGGGCGCCCCACAGCAGTGGGTTCACAGTAAAAGCTCCTGGCTCTCACTTAGTGTCCACTACGTGGACCAGGGTCTGTTGTCTACTGTGGTCATTATAACAGCCTTCAAACACAGGTGCTGCCCTGGCCGGGTGGCTGTGTTGCTTGGAGCATCATCTCATACGCCGAAGGGTTGTGGGTTCTATTCCTGGTCAGGGCACAAACCTGGGTTGCAGGTTCACTCCCTGGTCGGAGGGCATGTATGGGAGGCAACTGATCGTTGTTTCTCTCTCTCGTTGATGTTTCTCTCTCTCTAAGATCTATGAGCCTGTCCTTGGGTGAGGATGAAAAAATGACAGGTACCACTGTTATCTCAGTTTTGTTGAGAAAGAACTCAAGGCTCAGCAAGACGTACATCACTTATTCCGGGCCACAGAGCTAGTGGCAGGGGCAGGACAGGAACCCTTGGTGGCCTGAGCTCTCTGGTGCTCTGACTCCCCAAAGTGGGACTCCTGTGAGGCTGCAAGCACATGTGTGTGAGTTGCGTGTGTGTGTGTGTGTGAGCGTATGTGAAAGGCAGTTGGTGGTTCAGGAGCCCAGCTATACACAGGCTCCACTGGAGGCCTGAGCCGTGAGTTCTGAATCTGGGTTTTTGTTTGTTTTTTAATTAAATTATTTATTTATTTTTAGAGAGAGAAGAAGGGAGGGAGAAAGAGAGGGAGAGGAACAGTGATCTGAGAGAGAAATATCTATTGGTTGCTTCTCACACGACCCCAACCAGGGACCTGGCCCACAACCCAGACATGTTCCCTGACTGGGAATCGAACCTGTGACCTTTCAGTTTGAGGGACGATGCGGAACCCACTGAGCCACAGCAGCCAGGGCTGGGTTATTGTTTAAGATGGTAACATGCACACGTGAATAGATAATGAAAGTCCTTCACTCTATGCTCACTTTCCCTTGGAGACAGGTCTCAGCGTTTCCCAAGGACGTGGAGGTCCGAGCACTGATTGAAGGGCAGTTCCTGGCCAAGAGGATCCACGCCGAGGGCCTGGGCTATCGAGTCAGTAAGTGAGCTGCTGGCGGGCTGCGTTCCGAGCTGAGGGGTCAGGGTCCCGCTCACACTGAGGTGCGTGAAACCCTTGGGGCCTTCAGGCACTGCCTGGCGGGCACTGTCTGTCCAGGCTCCATTGTGGGGCCTCACAAAGGAGAGCCAGGGAGCCTGGCCCCTGCTGGTGGCTGAAAGTGAGTTGACCCGCAGTTGTGAGCAGGCTGTGCCTGCTTCTCCGCTCTGTCCTCAGTGACCTGGTCCTCTGGCCAGGAGCTGTAGGGCTTGGAGATCTTCCTGTGAGGTTAAGCTCCAGCCTGCAAACTGGATGTCTCAAGCTCTGGACCCTGAGGACAGGGCCATGCAGGTGGGAAAGGTCTAGGCTGGGGCCATGACTGAACCTTGGCCTCTGTCTTGCCTGTCCAGGCCCCATCTGCCCAGGAGGCGGAGTACTGGGCATTCCAGTTTGGGCAGGGGAGAGTGGGGATGTACAGTTTGGAATGGAGGGGCAGAACCAGGGCAGGGGAGGCACATGTGGGAGAAAGAGATTTCTAAGAACTCCAGCTAGGGAAGGGGCCGCTTTTGGAGGTGAGTGAGTTCCCACACCAATATGGCGTTGCTGTGCTCTGGGGTTCTGCAAGGTAACCAGGTTTCTAAGATGCGTCTGCCCTCTCAACAGCCTCTGTTGTCACTGGAGAGGGTAGAAAACTCCTGAAGCCTCTTTGCTTCATGGCCTCTTCGCTTCATGGCCTCTTCATGGTACTTTTATGGGCAATCTAAGTTCTATGTAGTGTATGTGTTATGTTTTTGAACCCACCAAATGAAAGGATATTCTAAAAATAAGCTTCAGGAAAACCATCTGAAAACCTGTTAGGCAGTACCTACTAAAGCTACAAGCTCACCTCTTGGCAAATGTGTGTTCAAAATGTGTACGCATGTTCCCCAGAGATGTACAGGAGACCATTCCTTGTGGCTCTGTGCTTGGTAGCGCCACACAGAAACAACCCGACACCCATCAATAGCAGACAGGTTAAGTGCATGGTGGGTATTCATACAACGTGATACTGCACAGAAACCAAAATGAACCAGCTTCAGCTACATGCAACAGAATCGGTGCCTCTCACACAGTGGAGCTCTGAGCAGAAGCCAAGCACCAAGTACATAGGGCAGGATTCCATGTACATCAAAATCAAAAACAGACCAAACTGTTTGCTGTTGGCAGAAGTCAGGATAGTTAGCAGTTACCTTTCAGGAGAGGGGCACCAGAGAGTCTCTGGGGTGCTGGTGACGTGCTGCTTCCTGGGATGTGCGGGTGTTTCATTTGTGAAGATTTGTCAGGCTCCCAGCTTATGATGTGTATGTAGATTTTTCAGGGTGTGTGTGTGTGCAATAAAAATGCTAAGTGCAGTCACATGCTGCAAAATGATGTTTCGGTCAACAACAGAGCACATATAGGACAGTGGACTTGCAGGGTTAAAATGGAGCTGAAAATTTCTAACACCCAGTGACATCATAGCTGTCATAACATTGTAGCACAGTGCATCACTCACGTGTTCATGGTGATGCCAGTGTAAACAGACCTACTGCACTGCCAGTTGTATAAAAGTACCGTACCTTTTCTGCGTTGAGCTATGTTTAGATACATGTATACTCCCCATTGTGTTTCAGCTGCTCACAGTGTTCAGTACATAACACGCTGTATGGTAGGGTTGTAGGCCAGGAGCGGAAGCCTAGGTGTGCAGTAGGCTAGACCGTGCAGGTGTGTGAGGTGCACTCTGTGGTGTTCGCATAACAAAATCACCTACTAGTGCATTTCTCAGAATGTTTACCCTTGCAAAGCCATGCATGCTTGTAAATAAATGAGCATTTATAAACACACTCATTACTCTCCACCCTTCCACTCAAACTGTAAAAAGAAATTCCCCAAATCTCTCCAAGACCTCAAAGTTCTCAGAGAAATGCAGTCAGGTAAGCAGGGTGGGGATGGTGCTGAGGTTGGCAGCCACTGCCTGGCAGGAAGGGTCCCCTGGCTGTCAGGAGGGGGCAGGTGGGGGCTGGGGGCTGCCCTCTCAGCTCAGTGTGCAGGGAGAGGCAGTGAGGACAGAGAGGCCTTCCTGGGCTCCTTAGGGGTCGTGTAGTCTTGTCGTCATTCCCAGCCTCCATCGTGGTTCCTGTGCAACACGGTGTACAGTTCCTTCTCCTCCTAGCAAGCTTAATCAAACCTGTCTTGCCAGCTCCTCTGGGTTCCGCTCAAACCAGATCATGTCACATGCTGGGAACCACAGGGGGCCGCACTCAGAAGAGGCATCATTTTCCCGGTTGCTGTGTGGACTGACCTGCGTGGGGTTTGTTCCGGATTGGTCATAGTCTTGTTATAATAGTGTTTAAGGAGAATAAAGAGGCACTTAAAGTGAGAGTGGTGATCATGATGACAATAGCTGCTGACCTGTATTAAGCACCTGCTGTGTGCCCGGCCTGGTTTTAAGCACAACAGTGCTCTGAGATAGATGCTGGTATTACTCTCACTTCCCAAAGTAGGACACCGAGTGTTAAGTCACTTGCTCGAAGCTGAACCAAGCTTCTGGCTCTGGACTCTGGCAACATCTGCTTTATTCAAGAACAATCACTCTGTTGATGTTCAGACACCATCAGACACACACCCGTCCATGCTGGGCTAATGTCGTGGTCCCTTCGCAGCTCGTTTCCATGTATGTTTCCTTTTGTTTAGGTTGATTTGTAAAAGCAATAAAACCTTGTCTTATCAAGTGTGGAAAATAAAGGAAACTACTTAGAATTCCATCCCCTCTTCCAACCACTTGCACCACCTGCAAGTTCTTCCAGTCTCCTGTAGGCGGTTATTTTTATATAGCGATAGTCCTATTTCCTTTGTACATACAAACCCTGGAATTTCTGAAAAGCCTGCTTCCTGGTGCTTTACCTCACTTGCAGTTGACCCTCCCCACAGTGAGGCATGGAGGCTGTTTCTGATTTTCCTGCATGGAATCACGCTGGAACATCTTCCCTGTCCTAGGTTGTTTCTTTAGGGGACTGTCCTCCCTTCCCCTGTCCCAGCCCAGATGCTTCCTTCACGGCCGAGAGTGGAGATGAGGCAGGCTGAGCGGGAAAGCAGGGCCTTAAAACATTTATTTGTTTTTAAATAGGCGTGTAATACACAAATGTGCTTCCATTGTAAAGGTGTCAGGCAGTGCAGAAGCCCATGGCGCTGAATACTGTGAGAATGCGGAGTTCCCTGCGTTCCCACCCTGCCCCAGCTTCCCAGCACCCCACCCAGCAGCAGTCCCTGGGGAGAGCCGGTCCATGGAAGGACCAGCTCTGCCTCTTGGGCTTTGCTGGGCTCCAGTCTGCCCCACCTTCCCAGGTGCAGTTGCTAGATGTCGGGCAGGTCTCTCTCTGTTCTGGCCAAGTTTCTCTGCCTCTGGAGACTTATTATTCCACTACTCTCTACTACCCTGAAGAGCCAGCACTTAAGGGCTCATCTCATCCCAGAATTTAATTTACTTAGACTCTGCATTTACAATGTTTTGATAGCTTTAATAAGAGTATGTTTTTGTTTATATTTTCAGAGTTCTCTGATTGTAACATGATACAAGTAATGTTCTTTCTTGCCTATCTCCCTTTTAACTGGAAGTGGAACTGTGTGTCTTTTGTTAGATAGGCAACCTTATTAAACTTTTATTAGTTTGTCTATTTTTTAAGTGATTTTATTTATTCTTAGAGAGAGTGGAAGGGATGGAGAAAGATGGAGAGAAACATCTATGTGTGAGAAAAACACACATAGGTTCCCTCACATGCCCCCAACTGGGGACCTGGGCCACATCCCAGACATGTGCCCTGATCAGAAATCGAACTGGTGACCTTCAGTTCATAGGCTGGCACTCAGTCCAATGAGCCACACCAGCCAGGGCAGTTTGCCTATTTTTAATTTTTTTAGATGGCCTATTGTCCACAGATAATGGTAGTTTCATCTTTCTTTCAGTCCATCTGTATTTTATTTGTTTTTCTTATCTTATAGCATTGCTTAGAATAGCTAGTACTATGTAGTAGTGTATTGGATGGTATGAATCTTCTCATACTAGTTCTCTGTTGCTGTATGACAAATTATCCCAAAACTTGGCAGCCTAAAAAACAAATGAACACTTACACCTTACATGGTTTCTGTGGGTTGAGAATTCAGGGTTAGCATAGCTCGGTGGTTCTGACTGAGGTCTCCTCTGAGGCTGCGCTCAGCATGCCCCCATGTCTGGGGCTGGAGTCATCTAACTGCTTGACTAACGAAGGCTGCAGGGTCTGCTTCTGAGGCAGCTGTTGGCAGGAGGCGTCAGATCCTCGCCACATAGGCCTCCTTACAATGTGAGTGTCTCCAAGACATGGTAGTTCACGGCCCTTGGAAAGAGTGATCCGAGAGACGGTGGTCTGCAGCAGGGCAGGAAGGAAGCCTCAGTGTCCTTCATGACCTGGCCTTGGCATCCACACTCCAGCGCTTATACCGCAGCTTATGGTCACACAAGTCAGCCCCATTCAGTGTAAGAGGGGACTGCGTGAAGGTGTGAACATCAGGAGGCAGGGGCCATTCAGGGACATTTTTTGGATCTGACAGGCACACCAGCCTTAAAGGGAATGCTTCTGACTGATCCTGTTAAGAGTGATGTGTGTTGTAAATTTTGGATATACGCCTTCATCAATTTAAGTAAGGTGCCTTCTACCCCGGTCTCATTGACTTTGTTTTTTAATAATTAAAAAAGAAATGAAGACACTAAGAAGTGGGTGGGACAGCAGCCTCACTAGCAAATTACATGCGACAAGCCTTCGGGGACAGAACTGGCTTTGGGTCTCTCTGCTCCTGTCCTTTGAGAACAGCAAGAAGCCCTGGGCCCACAGAAGCCCTTTGTGGCCAAGGGACTCTGGAGAACAGCCTTTCTGCCTTGGAAATTGTCATAGCGATTCCTCTTTTCCTTTTTCCTTGCAGTGCCCAGAACAAAGATTCTGGCCACAGGAGGGGCATCTCACAACAGAGACATATTACAAGTAAGTGCTGGCAGGCCCTCTTCCATGTCTGTTGCCTCTAAGAGCTGGACACTCAGCAGCAGAACTGCCCCTGCTCCCACTGCTCCTCCCAGGAAGCCAGCTCTGTTGCCTGACCCCTCACACTGTAAGGAGGTCATCCTAGACTCAGGTGGAATCCGCTGCCCATAGAACTCCACTCTCTGGTATCAGCACTGGCCTCTGTCATCACATGGAAAGTGCCTGTCCCACATGTCATACCTGACATTGCGTGCCAGTGGTCTCGCCTTCCTAAAAGTTTCTCCCTTCTAATTTAAAGAGCTCTGATTTCCCCAGCCATGTCTCTAACCATACAGTTGCCAGACTGTGTCATTGTCTTCATGGTTTTCCATTATGCTAGAAATATGTGACCAAAATTGAAATCAACCTGCAGATGTCTGGCAATTGGGCTGTTACATCTTGAGGCTATCAGGGTCCTGTTGGGACACTGAGTATTTTTTGGATGTAGCCTGAGGCTGCCTTAGCTGTTTGAATAGCTGCATGAGCTCTTGACTTGTATGTAATACTCCTGTCTGAGCACAGATTCTCTAGAAGCAGAGTTTGAAATGGACAGTGTAAGTGATGTGTTGAGAGAGTTCTCCAGGGAGAAAGGGAGTGAGGGATACTGGTGGAGCAGGGGAAGAGCTGCAAGCGAGGATGTGTTTTGGCTGGAGTCGACCTCAGCTCCGTCCTGTGGGGAGACCTGGAACATGAACTCTGCCACAGACTTGTGACCACCTTGGGGTAAGGGGGCCAGCTGGCCAACCTGGAAAGGGGTGAAAATAACCTCCTGTGGGAGGCAACCCCTGTTCAGATGAGAGTTCTTTAAGGGAGGGGCAGCTGTGAGCCATTAGCAGCTCATACTCATAGCATGTGGGGTGGGGTGCACACCGGTCCAGTCAGGGGGTCCCGAGGGGGCGTCAGCTCCTCTTAGTACATGTCCTGCATTCTAAACATATGGGATTTATTTGGGAGACCTAAATGGAATGCTTTATCTTTATCCCTATAAAACATGCCCTTGTTAGTTGGGTTTGGGCTTGTTAATATTAGTTTGCTATCCAGCTGTCTCCACCTTGACCGTTTGCTAAGCCTACTTCCTAAGTCTTCCTCCTTGTCACTGATAACATGTTGAAGCAGTGCAGGGACAACCTGGAGAGCTGGGCCTCCACTAGAGACTTCCCGCCAGTCATCCTAACCCTTTTGTCACCAGGGTGCATGGCCACGAACATCCTTGACTATAGTAGCTTTATTATATAACAGGAGGTCTGAAGGTCATGGCCAGTGTTGGTTCCATGGTTCAACAGTGTCAGGGCTCTGGGTCACACTCCCTGAAGTTCTCCAGATCAGCAATGGACAGTGGGAACCTCCTGGGAGGCACCAGGAGATGGTGAGGGAAGAGGGCTGGGATAACGTGCGCCAGAGTGCCCATGTTCCCTCTGAGGACAGACTCACCACAGTCAGGACCTCTGTCCTTTCCAGGTGCTCTCGGATGTGTTTGGCGCCCCAGTATATGTCACCGACACTGCCAACTCGGCCTGCGTGGGCTCTGCTTACCGGGCTTTCCATGGTAGGTTGGTGGGTGGGGGAGGATGCCTCCGGGAGAGATTGGGGCACTGGCTGAGACGAGGAGGGTGGAAAGGGGTGATTGGAAGGTACCCAGTCTTTAGGGACATTGGGGTCTTCAGGGACACAGGGCAGTGGGCTGCAGCTTCCCTTTTCTCCCTCCCAGCAGGCGAGAACCACCTCAATTTTTGTTCCTTTATTCTGTACGTAACCTGGCCCTAACGGAGTGAGACCTGGTCAGCAACAGGCTCAGCACAGGGACATTGGGAAAGACAGAGGGCATGCTGAGGGCACACGGGCTTCGGTGTGGACAGCAGGTGGGCAGGAGACGTGGGTGAAGGCCAGAGCCATCTTGTCAGCAAGAGCAGGAAGTTGAGACAATGATGGAGGCTTCAGAGCCGAGCACTTCAGGACCCTGGACAGCGGCCCAGCCCCCTCGGCTCCCTGGAGGCCTCCCTGAAACTCTGGAAGCTCTCTCCACCTAGGAAAGTTCTGGGCCGCAGGGCAGCACATGCCCACAGGGTGTTTTTACTTCCATTTGGCCAATTTGCTCCGCCCTCTGCCTGCTCGGGGGATGCTCCTCTGGCTGCCCACGTGCCATAGGGGCTTCGTTTTGTTTTTTCCCTCTAGAGGTTCCGTTCTTCACACATTTGCTCTCGACTTTTTGATGTGCCTTTTAATGCTTATATTTTCTACCAGCATTGACAGCTAATTCGGGACCATATCCTTCTCTTATTACCTTTTTTTTATTCCCCTCCGTCCACACCCCACCTCACACCACTTTCTATCACTTTCTGTATCATATCATTGAGCAATTTATGTGCAGATTGTCATGCTTTTAGTTAAAATCATATCATATCATATTGGGTTTTATTTGCATTTACCTCTGAGTTTTTCTTTTTCTTTTCTTTTTTTAACTCACGGAAACTTTTTTCCCCCTCTCTCCTTTGTGTCTATGCTGGTTTTCTTTCAATCTACCACCTAAATACATTTTTTTGAGGAGGACATTCAGTAGGTGATCATTTTCTGAGGGCTCCCATGTCCAGCAAGGGCTGACTCTGTCCTCCCCAAGAATGTGACCTTGGCTGGGCAGAGGATTCTAAGTTCAGAATTACTACCCTTCAGAACTGTGAAAACACTTCCAAAATCGTCCAGCCTCCATGTTGCCCAGGAGAAGCTAAAGCAGGAGCGGAACTCCTCTGTAGGGAAGGGCCCCTCTGTTCAGGTGCATCGAGTTGCTTTTTCATTTTTCCTTTTCTGTGCCTAGTTAGTTGCCAACGGTTCCCTGAGGTGCTGCCCTACTCTGCCCCGCCCTCCCCAAACCAAAGCCTGAGCTAAGTCCTTGCACACTGAGGCGTCTCAGCCGCTTTGTTCAGAGACCTGCTCTCCCCAGCTGGGTCCAGGGGTGAATTTCACACGTAGCCAGTCTATGTCTGAGTGGAAAGGGAGCCAGGCCTTTGGATTGGTCTCACCCCTGGCCGCCCCACCACTCATCCCATTCACCCGCCCACACAGCTCCAAGCTGGGATGCTCCGGGTCTCTGATAAAAAACTGGACCTTGCCCTGGCTGGTGTGGCTCAGTGGGTTGGGTATCATACTGCAGACCAAAGGGTCACCAGTTCAATTCCCAGTCAGGGCACATGCCTGGGTTGTGGGCCAGGTAGTGGGGAGCATGTGGGAGGCAGCCGATTGATGTTTCTCTCACACATTCATATTTCTCTCCCTCTCTTTCTCCCTTCCTTCCCATCTCTCTGAACATAAATAAATACAATCTTAAAAAAACAAAAACAACAAAACTAGGCCTCACCTCTTCAGTGGGCATTCCTTCGCTCCTGGTGACGTGTTTCCCTGTCAGTCCGATGCTACGCCTTAAATTGCCTAGAAATTCTTCACTATTTCTTGCCCACCTGTGGTAACCTTTCCTCTTTTCCAGCCCTGCCACTCTTTTTGGGGGTGAGTATATATCGAGTGCCTCCTGTATGCAGGTAGTACGTGAGGTACCAGGGCTCTTGTGGAGACCCAGTTTCTGGCCTCACCGAGCCAGGCAGGGGCCTTCAACATGCCCATGGCCGGGAACTGTGAGGGGTTCTCTGAGGGACGTGGACGGTGCAGTGAGCCATGGGGCAGGCGAAGGGAGAGCTGAGGAATGAGAGGGAGGAGGGAGGACAGGCGGGCGGCTTTGCTCTTCTGTTAGATGCCGGGGCTCAGCCATGGTTCTCGTTATCAGTGAGCAAGACAAACGAGGCCCTGCTCCAGAAGGCTGCACTTGAAGTTCTTTTTTCCCTCTCTTTTGTAAAATGGTTGTATTGAGGCATGATTGTGTGACATAAGAATCACCCGATTTTAAGCAGACAATTCAGTGATTTTTTAATGAATTTACTGCGTGGTGCGACCATCACCATAACGCAGTTTTAGAACGTGTTATCACCCCCAGAGATAAAATGCTATTTCCAATTAATGTCCTTATTTGCAACATACACTGACGCGAAATGAGTTGTCCCTTCTAGGCCTTGCAGCTGGGACAGATGTGCCCTTTTCTGAGGTTGTGAAGTCAGCCCCAAGCCCCAGATTAGCTGCTACCCCACGCCCAGGAGCTCCTCAGGTGAGAGACCATCAGAATTTGCTCATTGCATTTGCACTGTGAAAACCAACTGGGTTCCTTTTTCCCAGGAGGTAAGTTTCTTTTTCACCTGCATTCGAGTTGATGTGCCTTTTGCCTGGCAATCAATGTCAATATTTATCTCTTAAAAAAAAAGTTGATGTGCTCCATGAAACAGAAATCCTGCTTTTTAAAAAAAAATTGTCAAGAAACCAGAGCCAAGGAAGCCAGGTTGTCAGCTGAGATTCACAGATACAGCTGCTATTGCAGCCCCAGGGGTCAGATAAGTCACTGGGCACGGCTTCAGCCGCCCCAGGGCAGGCCCTTCCACTTCACCAGTTCCCGAAGCCACTGAAAGACTCATCTAAGCACAAGGCATGCTGGGTATCCAGCACTTAGATCTGAAGTCTGGATCCAAGACAGCTGTGCAGTCCCTCGGGGCAGGCAATTCCTGGGAGGCAGTCCCACTGTTGTAGATCTGCTTCCCCAGAAAGCAGACTCCGAGATGTCTTGAGATGTCGATTATGGAGGCATAAGGTTTATGGGGGCGTGCTCTTGGGATCCAGTCTGCAGACTGGGCAGAGGGAGGAGCTGAGTGGCAGGGCAGTCTCTGTGGGGCCCTCAGCCATCCCCACAGGGGCTTCCAAAGCTGGGATGACCCTTTAGAGTTTTACCCAGCCGGGGTGCAGGGCCCCACCCCAGGATGGGGCAAGGCTATTGGCTGAGGACTAGGATAGGTTCTCCATTCCTGAAGGGCAGTCTGGGTGGTATGCACAGCGTCCACCGCAGCCCTGTTCTCTTTGCAGAAGGTTTTTGCAGCTCAGGAGCTGGGGTGGCACAGACAGAGGGCCTTGCCCTTCACCGTGGTGCAGCAGGCAGCCTGAGCCTCATGCTCGCCCCAGTTGTCCTTGGCCCTGAAATGCCCTGGGGCGATGTGCAGTGGGCCCAGGTAGCCACTGTGCACATACTATGTCTGTGTTACAATGGAGGGACCCTGATCTCAAAAAACCCCAAATTTATAAAGGAGCAGCAAGCAAAGCTGCCCAACCTTGGTCCCCAAAGGAGACACTATCTTTATTATCCCAGTCAGCAAAAAAAAAAAAAAAAAAAAAAAGTTCCTTCTGCCCCCAGAGGGCGACACTACAAACATCCTTGAAAAGATGCTCAGGAACAAAAGCTGTCACCAGACACAGACACACCACAGAGTTGTTCCTAGCATATCTTGGAAGCAGAAGCTCATGCTTTCCTGGCGACGGGGAAACCCAATACATGGGTGCCCCCAGGTATTGTTATTTGCTGCTGTGTGCCCTTGCATTTAAGACCCAGCTCAATGCAGTGGAAAGATCCTACCTTGAGATAAAGGGCCTTTGGGTTCTGCACTCCTTCTGCCTCTCTCTCACTACCTGGCCTTCACCTAACCTTGAGCAGCACTTCTTATCTCTGAGCCTCTGTGTCTTCATCTGTGAGTTGGGGACATCTCTCCTGGCTACGTTTAACCTGCCAGTTGTGAGACTCAACGAACATCCTTGACTATAGTAGCTTTCTTATATAACAGGAGGTCTGAAGGTCATGGCCAGTGTTGGTTCTGGGTTCAACAGTGTCAGGGCTCTGGGTCACGCTCCCTGAAGTTCTCCAGATCAGCAATGGACAGACAGTGGGAACCTTCTGGGAGCCACATAGATCATTTCAAATTTTCTAGTCGTTTCATTAAAAAAAAAAAGAAACATATACTTTTCATAATATTTTGTTTAATCCAGTATATCTGAAATATTGTCATTTCAACATGTCATCATTAAGAAAAAGTGTTAATGTGATATTTCGCTTCCCTTTTGTCTGGAGCTTTTGAAATCCAGTGTGCACTCGGAACACTGGTTACATGTCAGGTTCTCAGAGGCACTTGTGGCTACTGTATTGGATCCTGCAGCCCTAGGCATGTTTCAGATGGTTGCTGGGTGTCCCCCCCACAACTGCATTCATGGGGCAGAAAGTCTTTCCCCACTCACTTACTAAGACATACTGGTCTGTCCCCTTCAGTTCCCCAACAGACTGCTGCTGGGTCATACAGTCAGCCTTGGTTGTAAGAAAGACCAGGTTAGGGTCTGGCTCTTTCATCCTGTCTACAAGGAGGCCAGCAAGGAAGAAGGTATTTGGGGAGGCAAGCAGCTGCACCTGCCTCGTTACAGGCAGCAAATCCTCAGGGTGTGTGTGCACTGCCACCCTCCTTGGCTTGCCCATGACCTGTCACTACTAGTTCTCTGAACTCTTTACCACGAAACCCAAGGGTAACCTCAGAATCCTGAACACCAGGTTGCAAGCAGGGAGAAGTCTATGATTGTTGGCGTAAGTGACCTGTTTGAGAACTAGATTGTAAATTCCTCGAGAGCAGGGTGACGTCCTGTTCCTCTCTGTGGCACTTCCAGCAGTGCTGTGCTCAAGTGGAAATTCCGAACAGCAACAGTGTCTTCTCTCTGGTCTCAGCAGAATGTTGCAGTTTCTGCCTTGGAGAGGAAATCAAGGCCTCCTTACTCTCTCCACATTCATAGACAGAGCTGCTCTAGCTGCTCCAAGAGTAGGTCCTTATTGCACAATCAGTTACTAAAGTACTTCACTTTGGAGTTCATTAAGCCATGTCAACAAGGAGTGGGATTGGTGTGAACCAGTGGTGTTTGTGAGTCCCGAGGAAATCCGGGTCCTTTAGTCCTAAGACAACACCTGCTCACCTAAAGTGCACCAGCATTTCTCAGGCAAGGCTCATAGAGCCACAGGAAAAAAAGCTTTAAAACAAATGAATGGAGGATAAAGATGTGGGGTTGCATTTCCTTGTGGTCCTTTTTCCCTTGTTGATTTTTTTTATTTGAGTTTACTAGACAGCACACTCTCTATATAACTTTGTAGCCCACTTTAAAACTTCCACATGACCCCATAAGTATTCACATTCTTAAAAATGCACTCACACATTATTTTTAATAACTGCGTAACAGCCTCTCTGGCTAATGAACCATACTTACCTTGAGCATTTTCTGGGTCTTAGAAGTTGCTTCTCATTTTTTCAATTATTATAAGTCAGTGTATGTGGGTAAAGGGTCAACAAACCCTTTTTCTATTCTGTTAACTTTGTGGCTCGGTTTCCTTTGCAATTTAATAAAATGGAATGTCAACAGTGTTACCAGGTAACACCACTTATGTAAAAGGGCTTTGACTGGGAAATTGCATCTGGTGCCGGGAAACCATTAATACCTGTTGGGAAGTCATACTCGGGGCTTCCCTGAGTGCAGGGACTTCTCCCGGGCATGCGTCCCAGAAGAGACACCCCTGTGGGACATGTGGCTTCAGAGCCAGGGTGGTTCTCGCCCCCCATTCAGTATGGATTTCATCTCCTTGCACCTGAGCTGTAACCTGGGGGGCAAGGAAGGGAGAAGGCAGGGGGGCAAAGAGACCCTTTTCTGGACACCTGTGGGAGCTGCTGGGTGGCCCACTCTATGGTGTCCCATCGAAGAGGAGTGCCTGCAGCCTCCATGCCCACAGGTATGTCTCCAGGATATCCTCTGGAGACCCGTGGTGGTCTTATGAGTCTGAATGTTTTGTGGTGCCTAAGAAGACCAGCTTTGGTGGGCTCGGCACCCTACATTTAGGGCTATTTCCTTAGGAAAGCTTTGCAGAAGTAGAATCACTGGGTCAAAGGCTATGGGCATGTTCAAGCTCCTTAGTACCGGTGTAAAGTCAAGTTGATTCCCAAAACAGTTGCACCAGCAACTTCCACCAGTTGTGCAATAAGACAGCCTTGTCCACGTCTCTTCACCAGATTTGTTTTTCTTCATTGGATAGAACTGATAACAAAAATTGGCTTCTTGTCATAATTTGCATTTTTAAAAAATCTTAAACTATAGGTTTGAGAAGTAGTAGCATTTCTCTTTTTTCCTGAGTTGATGCTTCCTTTCTATTGCCCAGCAAAAAATTTAATTGTGAGTAAGTGGGACAAAAAGATTTCAAACTGCAAGTTGCAGAGGGATGGAAGCAGCCCTACCCCTCCCTGTTCTCAACTGCCCTTTCTGCCCGTGCAGGTCTATGCTGCCCTCCTCCCAAGGTATGCCCAGCTCGAGCGGAGAATCCTGTCCCAGTCCCGCGGGCTCCTGGAGTGAGTTCTGCAGGCCCAGGAGGCCCGCTGACCCTGCCTGCCCAGACTTGCTGATCCCTCGTGGAGATGAGGCCCTGGACAGCGGGGGATCCTCTGCCCTGTTCTGGGAACCTGCCGCCTGATTCCGAGGCCCTCCAGCCTGTCCTGGATTCCCTGGAAGTCTGACTTAGCACATCTTCCTGAGCATAAATGGGCCACTTGTGTCCCTGTGTCCTTGTGCTTGGGACAGGGAAGCATCTCTTCTCTGTCTTTATTTCAGGAGGCAGGACAGCACTGATCCTGGGATATCGCCAATAAAAATTGTGCCTTTTTCCTTTTCAAGGGAGAAGGGAAGCTAATCCAGGAACCTGAATCAATAGAATAGGGGAGACAAGGCTGTCCCACATACGCTGACCTCAGCCCACCTGCTCCTCCAGTCCTGACTCTCTGGCCACTCTCCCCCAGACCCTAACCTACAGCCACCCTTCCACCCCCCTAGTCCCTGCTCATCCTCTGCCCCAACCCTGACCCTCCCTGCTGCGACCTCCCTCCTCATTCCACCTGTTTGAAGTGTTGCCCAGTTTGCTGACCTGTCTTCCCCATGCTCAGCCTTCCCTTATGCTCTTACATTTCTTTCAGCATCTGTTCCTTCTCCCTCCCTGATCTCTCCTCCCTCCCCTGCCCACCTGGTGTAACTCACCACCTCCTGCCCCAAACACGAGGCACCTGGTACTTGTGCTTCAGTTCTGCCCACAGGCTGCCTGGCTCCCAGGCAAAACAGAGCACTCAGAGGCCCAGGCAGCACAGTTTATTCTTTCCCCCTCCCTGAGCCCCACTCCCACCCCCTCTCCCCTTGCTGAAACCCTCCCCCCCCCAAAAAAAAACACAACTGAGAATTTCCCAACTCTGGATTTTGGTGATTCTATCCCTGCAGTGTCATTACCATGTTCTCTGTTGTCTGCATTGCCTGTGAATTGGTGGTTGGATCTAACACAGGGTTTCCCAGCCTCAGCACTATGGACATTTTTGGCTGGATGATGCTTTGTCGTGGGGGCTGCCCCGCCCACCATAGGATGTTCAGCAGTATCACTGGCCTCTACCCACTAAATGCCATTATCACCCTGTCCCTAAGTCGTGACAATCAGAAATGTCTCCAGGCATGGCCAGGCATGGCCAGATATCCCCTGGTGGGGGTGGGGGAGCAAAGTCGCCCCTGGTTGATAGTCACCAACCCAGAGGCTTGGTCAGAGGCATGTGTGATTATTTTCTTTCTTATGTAAGACTCTTTTCTAGATGGCGTTGTGTTCTTCCATCAGGAGGCACACTGTGTCTGGTTTTCTCCTTTCTATGGTGTTTATCCCTAGCTCCATGAGTTCACTAGAAAGACAGTTTTGTTATCCCTCTTCATTTATTAGCTGGGATTCTCCTCTATACCAAACATCCCTGATCCAGTTACCCAGTGGTATTGTTTACCCAGGAGAGGCGGAATAAATAGATTCTTTCCTCCACCAGTTTTCAAAATAATTAGTTGGTTCCCAAGCATCCTCTAACAGCAAGTAGGTTTTTATTTTTAGTATCAGTATGATACTGCCTTTCGATAGCCATTCTCTCCAGCTTTTCTCCTGCAGTCCTAATCTCTCATTCATTCCTTCTTCACAGAATTATTGCTGGGCCCCGGATCTCTGTGCTCATCCACCTTCTCCTCCCATTATTTGCTGTCTTATCAGATGATTTCATCCATTCTCAGGCTTCAGCATTCCATGCTCGTGTACCAGTAATACTGAGATCTCTCGTTTCCAGCCAGCACTCTCCTTGGAGTCTACCAACATTCTCTTCAGCCTCCACTTGTCTTCCCTGCCTCTTCCCCAAACCTCCACCTCCAGAGTTCTTGTTTCAGTGTATTGGCAATGCCATCCATCCATTCATTCTGGAGCCTGAACCTAAAACTCATATCCTCCCTCTTCCCAGAAATATCTGGTCACCAAGTGATGTTGGTCATTTCTTTGGTATCTTTTTGGTAACTCCTAAAGCAGTTCCTTTCCCTCCATTCTTCCTGTTTACTTTACGCTCCTTTTTTTTCTTGCTCATATTATCTCAAAACCTCCATGGAAAGTCCTCTCTGACCTGCCTCCTGCAAACTTCTCTAGATTTATCTTCTTCCATGGGCCTAAGCTGGGACTTCAGTTAAACCATACTGCTTGTGGTCTCACCTAGAGTGGAAGATACTGCAAACAGGTCTGAGGGCTGGTGGATCGGAGCAATGGCTGGTGCGGAGTCCAAAGGAAGGGGTTGACTGAGAAAATGAATGGACCAGAGGCATCACTTCTAGGAGAGAGGACATCATCTTGAAATGGAGTGGTACCCCTTGCAGGCTCGGTGGTTGATGGGGGAAAAAAGGAAGCGAGAAGCTGAAGATGAAATTTTATGTTATTGACCAACAGAGCTCTCTTGGACCAAAAGGTAGAGGGCCACTCTTCATTCCCCATTTTACCTCGGCCCCTATAAAGTTGCCTGTTAGTGTAAGTATGTAAACATACGTAGAAAAAAGAACTCACCATCTGTCTAAACACAGGAAGAAAACAGTGAGAATCTTAAGTTTTCAAGCTGATGAAATACTCCACAGTAAAAAAGAACAAAGTCAGTAAGGTAAACGGGCCCTCGAATAGGAATTTTAAAATAAAGTTTAAAACACAATTGCAGATGTGAAAAACTACCACAGATTGGGAATTCAAAAGCTCAGAAGGAAAATTCAAAGCAATGGGCATACAAGAGAACTGATCAAACTTGGGAAAGACTGAACAAAAAGGCTAAAGTCGTCATAGTTTTGAAGCCTGAATTACAACATAATTTGAGGGAAAATACTAAATAACTACAAGTACAATAAAGCATATAGAGAAAAGGAACGAAAAATAAAAACCTCAGCAAAAATAATACAAAGGAAGAGCTTAAAAAGCCCAGAAAAAAAGAAAGATAAAAAGGCAGGTAAAGAAAGACTAGTGGGTAGAATCCTGGAGCCAAAAGACGAGACAGCAGGGCAGCGTTAATATTGAAAACTGTATTTCCCAAGATAAATTTCTGAACACAAAGGAAGACCTGGATCAATATCTTAAAAGGGCCTCACTTGTCACTTGGAAAGTTGTCCAAGAATGACCAACTAAGACATATCCCAGCCAGCTGTAAAGGCGGCCGGGGGTGGGGGAGGGAGGGCAGATCTCTAGGCCCAGAAACCCGGTCTTTTACAAGGAAAAGGCAGGTCGGTACAGGACTTCTTGCAGAGCAGGCTGCAGTGGAGCAACATTGTTGAGAAACTCAAAGAAGAAAAATGTGAAGTAGGTTTTTAGTATCCATCTAAGCTGTCCAAGTATCAAGAATATATTTTATTGATTATGCTATTACGGTTGTTCCATTCCCCCGACTTTTTCCCCCTCTGCCTTGCACACCCCCTCCCACCCACATTCCCCTCCTTTAGTTCATGTCTATGGGTCATACATGTAAGTGCTTTGGCTTCTCCATTTCCTATACTACTCTTACCCTCCCCCGTTTATTTTCTACCTACCATTTATGCTACTTATTCTCTGTACCTTTTCCCCCACTCCCCCTCCCACTCCCTGTTATTTACAAGAGACATGCCTAGAACAAATAATAGATCCAAAAGGGCAATAATGTACCTGGCAAATACAAATGGTAAAAAGCAAAGATTACAACAATATCTACCCTGTCTGACAAGGTAGAATTCAGGAAAAAAAAATCAAACATGGCAAAGGACATAATAATGTATTGTTTTAAGTTTTTAAAAAAGATTTTAGAGAGGAAAGGAGGGAGAAAGAGAGGAAGAGGAACATCAATCAGTTGCCTCTCACACACTCCCAACTGGGGACCTGGACTGCAACCCAGGCACGTGCCCTGACTGGGAATCAAACCGGTGACCCCTCTTGCTTTGCAGGAGGATGCCCAATTCGCGCTGGTCAGAGCAACACTAGAATGTTAAAAGCTACAATATGCAATGAAGATATACCACTTAATGAATGTTATAGCCTCAACCATTTGGTTTGTCAAACAACCCCTATCCAGTTATCCAGTGATGTTTGCACAAGAGAGGCAGATGAATGTGGCTGCTTCTTTAATTCCATAGTCGTAGGACTTTCATTCAGCTCGGTTTCTAATGGTCCTGAGTGATGGTGATTCTCTATAGTGTAGTTGTGATTCTGATGTGATGGAGGGGATGAGCCAGGTTTACCTATGCCGCCATCTTGGCTGGAAGTTCTGGATTATGTTTAGGAAGCAAATATACCATTGGTCTCTGTACTAGGTTGCACAATGCCCAGTTCTCCACTTGTCTGCATATCCACGTATTTTGCCATGGAATTTTGTTGTGCCTTCCCCTCTCTGATTTGGCCCTGCTCTGTGGGTTTGGCCAATGGGATTTTTACAAATATGGTATAAGCTGGGCTTTGAAAAGCCCTTACGCAATTGGGATTGCTCTCACTTCGCTCTCTGCCTTTTTCATGAAAATATTGTGCCTAAGCTAGCCTGATCAAACCTATCCTGGCTCAACCATGGGGTGACTGACAGCCCCAGACAACATGTGAGGGAGTCCAGATGCGACTAGAAGAACTGCCCAGCCAAGCCCAGGCTAAATCACCAGCCTATGTGGCCTTGCCCTGGTAGCTCAGTTGATTAGAGCATCGTCCGAGTCAATCCCTGGTCGGGGCATATAAACAATCAACTGATGAATGCATAATGAAGTGGAACAACAAGTCGATGTTTCTCTCTGTCTCTCTCTCTCTCTAAAAACCAATCAATAAAAAAGTGGATCAGCCTAAAGATTCATGAGCTAAATAAATATTATTTTAAAACATGGAGATTTAAAGTGATTTATTACACAGCAATAGGTAACTGATATAGAAATTGGTGCCAAAGGGGGGAAAAAAACCCCCAGCAAAACCCTAACATATATGACATTGAAACTAGGCTGTGGGTGCAGACAAGAAAATTGGCAAGTAAATCATTATAGGTGGCTGAAAACTGCAAGGACACTGAGCACCTGTGGTGACTTGGAAAATAGGAAGTGTACCTACTGAACGTCTGGTCTCGAGAAAGTAAATTTCTAGGCAGAATGTTGACCATGTCAGCTGATTATTACTCCAAAAAGAACTAGCCAGATTTCAAGTAGAATTTAGAGGGACTATAAAGACGTTACAGAGAAAAAAATAGCTCATTTTTGTCCCTTTAAGCCAATAAAAGATGATCAAAT